CTTCACACGCCTTCTTTTGTTGTCCATTGGTCCAACGGAGGGGAAGCGGCAACGGCTCCAACACAACTACCGGTGGAGATGCTAGCGCTCAAGTGGCGCCTGGTTTGGCACAATGCCAGCATCCGGCCTTTGAAGCAACTTCAGTCCACGGCTGGTCAACAATGCCTCGCTGCTCGGCTGCGTGAGACAATTGCTTCGGCACAGTCCGCATCTACCAGTTGACGGTCTGCCTGGGCATCCCCTGGCTTCTTTGAGGGAAAACACCAGACGGCATGCAAGGCACTTGGTCGCTTATCAAGCGTGGCTCTGTGGCGGGGTGTCTATGACAGCTTACTATCAACGACTCCTCTTTCTGGACAATCCATCCGATGGCGCTGGCACATGTCAATCGAAGAGAGGGAAAACTCTCTAGCCAACCAAAGACATTGGGAAGCAAGACGGGCCCTGGCCATTGCGGCTGTTGATACGGCGTCATCCTCGTCATACCCCGGCCCGTTCATCGACAAGATACCCAGACGCAGCCAGGCCGCTGTGCTTGGGCAACACTCAGCCTGACTCGCGAACGATCGGCCCCCTTTCAAGAACAGCATCACCATCAGAGTCGTGCTCTCGGCCCTGCCGCGCTGAATTCGCCTCGGGGCAAGGGAAAACAGCCTGTCGTTGGCCATCTGGACCCTTTGCCGCCTGGTTCCTCGAGGGCATTTCCTTCCCGTCCGCCTCTGCAGAACCCCGCCATATCCATGCATCTTGCAGGGCCGTCAATTGCCAGCCCAGCCTTGACCAAGTTTTCGATATCCCCACTCGTCTAAGTGGCCGTGCCGCAGCAGTTTTCATCTCGTCATTCCCCTTTCTTCGCGCCTGTCGCGCCCGGCGTTTGCGCAGCCGATCCGCCCTCGGAGCGCCGCTACTATCTCTCTGACTCCTCAGCCCTTGGATCTATCCGGGTGGCCTGGCCGGCCGTCTCCGTGTTTTCCTCGTCCGTTATAATCAGTTGCTCCCCCCTAGCGACTTAGTGCACATCACGACCTCATTTTCCACTCACTCTGTGCTTGGCGCCTTGGGCCGCCGCCATCAGCTAGTGTTCCCACTTCAACACCGTTTCCCCGCGCCGTTTATTGTATTTCTGCCCGACGGAATTCTCTTATCTTTCCTTTTTTTTTTTCTTTTATTTGTTTTTTTGGCTCTTTGTTCTTTGTCTCTTTGACTTGACCATGCAGGGTACTGACAAGCCCAGATCCGCTGCGACGGAGGAGGAGGGCGCGGACCATATCGGCTTCGAGACCCCTCGGTCTGGCGTGGCCACTCCTCACCCCGACCCTCAAGACAAACGCCTGCCCGGAATCACGAGCTACTTTAACCAGGTTCGTCCAGACCTCGCTGCAAACCAGGAGGACTTTTCTTCAATGTCAGAAACACAGAGAGGCGTGTCCTCGGGCCCGACGCAGGTCCAGCAGTTGCTCGACTGTTTGGCCACTGAGTCGGAGTCGCCCGAGCATGCTGGAGGCTCTCAGCCTTGCATACAGTCACTGCCCACCGAAAGTCGGTTCCTGGCTATCCGCCCGCGCGCTAGCCACGACCGATTCGACGGGTTGACAAATTCTTGCCCGCCCCCCGCCACCTCACACTCCCCTTCCTCCTCTTCCACGACGTCTTCAGGTCCAGATGGCATCTTTTCGGATCGGGGGACTAGCAGTGCCAGTTCTTCAGGCGCTTCCAGTCGCTCAGAACCCGAATCCACAAAGTCCATAGATCTGCAGGACCGCCGTGAGGCTACTGCCCGAGCACCTACACTTTCTTTGTCAGAGACGATCGCTGCACCAATTCCTTCTTCCGAATCACATGCAGAAGCTCGCATGATTTCCTCCCAACCTGTCCAGTCGCAACAGGCGGCAGGGCCTGCCACGGCCCTAGCCAAATGGTTTTCGCTTCAAGGACTCAAGCAGCTAACTCGTATCATCTTCAAGAGCGGCCCGCCTACCCCGACCAGAGCCCTTTCAACGGTCACCTCAACCTCGGATGGCAAGGAGACTCCTAATGGAGGCAGCACCGAGACAGTCAGCACCGATGCAGCCAGCAACGAGGGCGGAGAGACGAGCAGCGGCACCCAGACCCCCAAGAACTCTGGCTCCCGAGCATCATCTGCCAAGGGGAGGTTGACCATCAAGATCGTCGAGGCGCGGGGTATCCGCAAGAGCCGCGACCCCTACGTCGTTGCTGTCTTCCAGCGGAGTGAGCTCATCTCTGACGGTCCGCATGAGATTGAGGAGGAGGAGCAGGCCGTAGGAACACCGTCTGGCCTTGGCGCTATCCCCATGAAGCGTCAAGTCAGCGATTCCGGTAGGCCCATGGCGATTCCGATGCGCAGCCGCCAGAGCAGCAACACCAGCATCAGCGACTACAACACGTTCCGCAATCGAAACACCAAGACTCTGTACTCAAACCCTAAGTGGGACGCAGAAGCCGTCTTGTGAGTCTCCCATGACCGCCCCCCCTCAAGACAGAAGTGACGCTGACCGGATTAGCGATGTTGTCGACTCGGATATGATGGTAGACATCTCAGTCTATGATCACGCCGCGAACGGGGACGAGTTCCTGGGCCATGTCAACCTCGAGGCAAAGAAGGATGGCCCCGTCAAGGGTTGGTTTGCGCTGCAAGGTCACGCCAACACGACTGTCGACAACATCCCCACGGGCGAGGTTTACGTCGAGGTCACTTATCAGAAGACGGAACGGAAGCACTTCGGCCCCAGTGACTTTGAGATCCTCAAGCTCATTGGCAAGGGCACCTTTGGTCAAGTGTACCAAGTCCGGAAGAAGGATACTGGCCGAATCTACGCTATGAAGGTCCTGCAGAAGAAGGTGATTGTTCAGAAGAAGGAAGTGGCGCACACCGTAGGCGAGCGCAACATTCTTGTTCGCACGGCCACGTCTGATTCACCCTTCATCGTCGGCCTCAAATTCTCGTTCCAGACCCCATCAGAGCTGTACCTGGTGACAGACTACATGTCTGGTGGAGAGCTGTTTTGGCATCTCCAGAAGGAAGGCCGCTTCGACGAGAAGCGAGCCAAGTTCTACATTGCCGAGCTCATCCTGGCAATCGAGCATCTTCACAAGAACGACATTGTCTACCGAGATCTCAAGCCCGAGAACATTCTTCTGGACGCCAACGGCCACATTGCCCTCTGCGACTTTGGGCTGTCCAAGGCGAACCTGACAAAGAATGACACCACCAACACCTTTTGCGGAACCACAGAGTATCTCGCGCCTGAGGTCCTCCTCGACGAGTCCGGATACACCAAGATGGTGGACTTTTGGTCGCTCGGTGTCTTGGTGTTTGAGATGTGCTGCGGTTGGAGCCCCTTCTACGCCGAGGACACACAGCAAATGTATAAGAACATTGCCTTTGGCAAGGTTCGGTTCCCGCGGGACACCCTCTCTCAGGAGGGCCGCAACTTTGTCAAGGGGTTGCTTAATAGAAATCCCAAACACAGACTAGGAGCGACGGACGACGCCGAAGAGCTCAAGCGCCATCCCTTTTTCAACGACATTGACTGGAACCTCCTGGCCAAGAAGCTCATCTCGCCTCCTTTCAAGCCCAAGTTGAAGTCGGCAACCGATGTGTCATACTTTGACCCGGAGTTCACCAATGCGCTGGACCAGAACGGGTCTCTCAATGAGAAGGCGGCCGCGCTGGCTAGAGGCTACGCGGCGTCTACCCCTCTCTCACCGTCGGTACAAGCCAACTTCCACGGCTTCACCTACGTTGACGAGAGCGCGCTGGACGATCACATGCGCGACTCCTCAAGAGTGGACGACGAGGACATGGATGACGCTCACGCCAATGGCGACGACGACTGGGACAATCTGGACGATATCGATCCCAGAAAGTCCAACAGGATGAGCGGCGTCTTGAAGTCTGGACACGACGAGCAAATGGTCGGAGGCTCGCATTTTGACCCATAATGGATGATATTATTGGCTAAGGTATATGGAGAGTGATAGGGGCCGGCTGCATGGCGTTTGTTTTAACTATTTCCCCCCCACTGATTTGTTTCTTTCTTCGTGTCATGGCAATGCAGGTCTCTCTGTACCTGAAGAAGAAGAAGAAGAAAAAGTTGATATCCCGAAACAACCACGATGTTTATACGAATGGTTAAATCATGACATGAACTGCATCAAGGGCTGGTTGGGTCTTTATATTTTTCTTGCATTTTGTGTGTTTGTTACCCTGGCCATGTGCAGGAAAGGATCCTGGCGTTCGGGCTGAGCTGAGGTGGTATGTTGACGATGATTGATGACGACAGTCTGTATTTGATGCAGAGGTGTTTTGATTGCTCGCTCAATGCGCACAAGTCTGATGCAGACTGAGCAAAATTGAGAGAAGGATAATTTTGGCAATGGAGAGAGAGAGAGAGAGAGAGACGACCTCATACGATGTATCGGAAACGAACCATTGGACAGAAACAAAAGCATATAAGGATCACTCTGATTCGGTTCTTGTTGAACTTCGTGCAGGATCTATACCACTCCTTTGCACCTTTGTCCAAAGTGGGTGACGCGTAGAATCCAGTTATCAAAGGACGGAGAAAATGACATGCAAATGAATGGTTAATATTTTGATAAATGACATCTTACTAGTTGACAAGTATGATATTTGCGAAACGGCAACGAAGTTGGACTGAAGGGGGTATTCGGACCATAAGTATGAAGTATCTAGTGATGCTATACCGTGAAAATGAACCCCAAAGATGTTGGCTGAGGGAGCGTCTACCTTAGGTAGTAGGCAGTTTCATACAATACAGTATTTTACGAGGCTTCGTACTTGCAATTTCCAATGGCCATTTATCACCACTCCCATTTGCAAAAAGAACAGATCGTCAACGTCAGCTGAGGAGGTTGCACATCTTTCAACTGATGTCGACATTCAGAAAACGACGGTCTTACGCTTAAATCGAGGGCTTGTTTTGGTTGAGAGCAAAAAAAAAAAAAGTTGTAAAATTGTACAGTAGGACGTTTGTCAAGAGTTGTCCCCTCTCCTGGCAATAGAAAACCGACATCCTTGCGTGTCTGGCCAGCAATCGAAAAATAAAAAAGCCTGGCTCAGGAATAAAACGTGCGGAGTGTCCGGTAATGCCTGCAAACTAGCCTTCTTGCCTCCCCTGGCGCCTCGTCTCCTCGCCATCTTTTTTCCTTTCCATCCTCCCACCCCCTGTGCGTATATCAAGTCCGTTTGGGCCTCAAAGCGTACTCGTACACTGATTGCTTCATGTCTCTCATTACCCTTCTCCTCCTAGTTCTCTCCTCCTCTATCGTACCAAAATTGACAAAAGCTTCTCTTGTTTATTTCAAATCAGGGAGCGCGGTCTTTTCTCTTCTTTTGTTTTCGGTCCTCTAGTGGTGGGGCTCCTCCTCCTCCTCGGCCTCGAGCCAGTCAGGCAGCTGGGCGGCGCCGGCGGAAGTCTGGGCAGAGGCGTCCTGGCCCTCGATCTCAACGGCCATGGACTCGTACGCCTTGAGGCTGTCGGCGAGGTTGGCCTCCTCGGGGGAGGCGGGGGTCTTGGGCATGGTGAAGACCTGGACCTGGCCCTCGGCATCGGACTCCTTGACGGCGGGGGTCTTGTAGGCCTTGAGCTCCTTGAGGTACAGCTCCTGGACGAAGTCGGCTAAAAAAAAAAAGGGCATGGCGTTAGTTACAATGACGAGGGTTTGGGTCTTGGGAGTTGTGGCGCATCAGGGGAGTGCAGCTTGGTCGGAGGTAAAAGTGTGTAGTGACAAATAGCGCAACACTTGTTGCGCGGATGGCCTTGTATCGAATCGTCGAAAATGAGGATATATGCATGTCGTGTTGCTTGCAACGGGGTGGTCTGATGTATTGAGGTAGTATCGATCGGAGGTATCGGCTGTAGCTGGAAGGGCGTAGAAATTCGAGGCCAACTCGATGGCTGCACTGTCCGACGATTCGAAAGACGAGGCGACGACACCGTAAAGCGGAAATGAATATGCATGATCGCATCGACCGATAGAAGGAGATGCAGGAATTCGAAAAGAAACACTCAGGAGAACACAAGGCGCATGTTGTTTTTCGTACCTCGTCGGGAGACGGTAGGGGCAATGAAGCCCCTCACCTGGACGGCATTTGCTCTGGCGGCGCGAGCGGCAACAGCGCGCTACAACGGACAGCAGGTTAGCAATCAGACAAGAGGAGTCAAGAGAAAATGAAGGCAATGAATCTGCATCTGATCAAACAAAGCACATCATGTCGAGCCAGCGCATCATCATGCGGGGGGCGGGAACAAGCGGGCGAGGCGACGTGGACGAACGGGGAAAAAAAAAACTCCTCTCGGGATTTCGCTAGAGGCTACAAAGTCGATGACACGCCAGAACGATAAAAAAGCAACAAAGAAAAGCACAGATTGGGAAGGGAGAGAAAGAATAAAAAAACTTACAGAGGCCCGAGAGATTTGGCTGAGCATCTTGAGTATGGAGGGTTTGTTGCAGAGCGGGAAGAAGCGGTGCTCAATTGGGCGGACGGCGAATTGGCAGCGGGCTGGTGGACGAGGGGAGGAGGAGAGAAGGAGAGGAAGCCAAGCTTTGCGCTTTGAGAGGTTTTGCGTGAAAATCGTGATGCCGGACAAAGCTGGAAAGCGCCGCCGCCGCCTCTCCAGAAAAAAAAATTGCGGAGCCCTTTTGGTCTTTTGGTGCTGCCGCGCTTGGAAGTGGTGAGTGGTAAGTGGTAAGTGGTACTGTGTCTGCAGTTGCTATTTCTCACTGTATTTCCAGGCGGGACACCGCTGATTCTTCAGTGGCTTCGCCCGCTGGAGTTACAGAGGGGAGCTACTACCTACCTAGGTATGTTGCAAAAGTGGGAGGAGAGGTGCACGTGACTCGGGAGAAGTCGCGACGAGCCGGAGCGACGTCAGTCCTCCAAGCTTGAGTCCCTACCTAAATGCAAAGACACGACATGACATGACTTACAATGTTCCTGATGATGGAAGCACATGTTGGCTCAATCTATATCTTCCACTTGTTCAGGATGATAATGTACTGACGAGTCCACGAGTCATCTATACTTTGCTATCGAGAAAAGTGCTTAGCTCCGCTGTCGAACAGGCTTCATGTCCCCGTTGATAAGATCCATTGCGTCAGTGATAAGGTAATGCAAGGGGAAACGCTCATTGGCAGCTTTATAGCTGTATAAGTACAGTAAACCTTGGCTATAACAATGCATAACAGCAGCCCCTACCCTATTATTATAGTTAGAGTATTATAAGAACCAGGTTTTATAGGGATTAGGTACTGCATAACTAAAAATAGGTTAAAATCTTATATTAATATGCGCCTAGTGTAGTAAGAAGGTACTAGTTAATAATTTATTATTATTTTATATTAACCTAGTTAATATACATTTAGTAAAGAAATGCATAATACTACTAGTAAAGTAATTAAAAAAGTAAGAAATTTAATATTTCCTACTATTCTTAAAAGTTAATAAGCTTAATAAATGCATTAAATGCTTTTACTATAAAAATAATAAATAAAAGGAGTTAATTTAAGTTATTTTTATTATTATTTACTAAAGCTAATAAAAATTTTACTATTATTTAATTTAAATTATTATTATTAATATTAAATATATGCTTTTTAACTAGGTTAATAAGATTATTTAAGGTAGCTTTATTAAAGTTTATAATATAGTTAATTTATATTAGCTTTTAAATATATATTTAGGCTAAAAGTTTATAAATAGCCTTATAAGATTTATTTTAATTAGCAGGCCTTTTAGCAGGTTTATTAAAGCTGCTAAATAGCTATAATTTAATTTAGCAGCTATTAATTATATCCTGCTTAATACTACTAGACTATATATTAACTAGCTAGCCTATAGCCTATAATAAGGTTACTTTCTTTATTAAATTATAATTATAAAAGAAGGTATTAGTAATAAACTCTAGCTAATACTTTTTATAATAAACCTTTAAATTATTAATAATACTTTAATTTATTAGCTAATATAAAGAGGTTATATTTATTAATAAAAATATAATATATATATAGTAAAAAAGGTCTTTTATAGCAGCTTTTTTAGCAGCCTTAATATAAGCACTAAAGTTATTTAATAGTAAAAGCATCTTTTAGCTAGCTATCTAGTTATTAAACTATTATAACTACTTAATAAATATTTTACTAGTTATTTATACTATCTTATTACTTTAATAATATAAAAGGTGTATAGAAATTTATATATTATTCTTATTAAATATATATAAATTAGCTATAAACCTTATAATTTAAAAATTAAGTTAGTAAAAGCTGCTAGTATTACTATAAGGCAGGATTATAATTTATAACTTACTACTCTTACTGCTAAATTAGGCCTTTATTATTAATATAATACTAAGTAAAGAATACTAAAAAAGGCTAGTTTTATTAATATTATAAATATTATTAAATTTATATTTATTAATAATAACTTAAAAGGCTTAAAAGTCTTTTAAATAGTTAACCTATAAGGCAGTATAAGCCTTACTATATTAATAATAGTATTAAAAGAAATACTATAACTTAAAGCTATTTAGCTAGCTAGTTAAAAAAAGCAGCACTAGCTAGCTAGTATAGTTATTAAAATAGATTTAAAGCTTAATTATAATTAATTTAATAATATCCCTAGTTATAAAAGCACCTTTTCTATTTAATTAAAGTAAAGCTTTATTAAAAGCTTTTTTTAATATAAGGAAGTTACTTTATTAAGCCTTTTTAATATTTTATAGCTTTAAATTATTATTAAGGTGCTTATATTAGCTACTTAATAACTTAGAAATTATTAACTATAATAGTTTATACTTAAATTTAATTATAGCCTAATGCTTAAGCTAGGCTTAGGTCTAAGTTAAATTTTTATTTTATTTTTTTTATAATAACTAATACTATTTTTATAAAATTATAAATCTAGTAGCCTTAAGTACTAGAGGCATAATAAAAAATATAAAAAAATATATTAAAAAATATTAAATTAGTAATATTATTATATATTAAAGGAAAAAGGTTAGGCTGCTTAGGTTAAAATTAAGTGCTTAGCTAAGCCTAGGCTAAGGACTAATAATAATAAGTAGTCCTATTTAAATAGTTAAAAATCCTTATTTAAATAGTAATAGTCTATGCTATTAGCTAGGCCAACCCCTTAAGTATAATTATTTATACACCTATACTAAAATATAGTGTGGCATACTGGCGGTTATTACTATTAAGGAGATATTATTAGGAGAAGGGCATAAGGGTTAAGACTAGGTAATTAAGGCAGGCTAATTTATTTAAAAATAGCGTTTTCTTTATTTTCCTATTAAATGTGTATATATTTATAATTAGGCTAGTTTATTTTAATCCTCCTAAATTACTAATACTAGCTAGGTGGATAGGATAATAATAACCTTTTTAATAGCATTACTGTTATTACTGTTATTATTATCTAGGGCGGCAGTAGTAATAGCTTTAAGTTATCTTTATATTACTTATAATCTTTATATAGCTGGCTGCGATTTAGAACTTATAAATAACTATAAGGAAGCCCTACTGCTACTGCTGCTGCTGCTGCAACTATATCCTTGCCTATATCCTTAAGCCTGGGCTGATAATAAAGGCAAGCTGCTGCTGCCCTTTATCTTATACTATGATAAGACTTGCTGTATTAAAGGGTTAAGCTAGTATGTTAAAGCTCTTTAATAAGGCTGCTGGCATGCCTTAGTTTATAATAAGGCTGCTAGTAATAATGCTGGCGCAGCTTTATCCTCCTTATCTTCCTTTACTTTAAGGGTTACTAGCATAGGCATCTTACTGTTATTTAAAAGTTAGGGTTAGCTGCAGAGACTTTAAACTATATTAAGATTGCATATATAAAAAAGCAGCTCTTTAAGATCCTAAAATATATATTTAGTAAAAGTCTTATAGGAAATAAGTAGAAATTTTACTAAAGGCTTTATAAGCTATTATTATAGATAAATATTATCTTTACTAAGGGCCTTACTATCTTCTAGCTTTTTATAAATAATATAGCTATAAGGAAGACTATATTATTATATAAAGGAGTGTATATATTTAGGCAGGGGTATAAGGTTATTATTTAAAGGTATTGCAGTAAGGGTAAGTTAATACTGCTTAGCTAGAAGATTAACACTATAGTAGCTAACTGTTAAAGGGATATCTTTAAGCCAGCTTTATTAAATAAATTACTGCTGCTGCTGTATCTGCATTTTAGCTATATTATTATAGTAGTTTTGCTTTTTCTTTTTTATTATTTAAAGGATTATATTATAAAGATATAGAAGATTGCTAGTACTAAATAAAAAAAAGGACTTAATATCCTTATATGCTGTTTTAATAAGGCTGTTAACTCTTTAGCTAAAGTTATAATAGTGTTTAATAAAGTAATAAGCCTACTGCTCTTGCTATAGTATATATTCCTTAAAAATATATTATAAAAGGTGATTTTATATAATAGCATAAGTGCTTTTTATTATAGCCTATGCTAAATAAAACGCTCTCTTATCCTTAATAAAAATAATATGCTTTTACTTAAAAAACATGCCCTTATATATTAACTCTTTCTTAAGCTATAGTCCTGCTAGAGGTTATAAGTATATAGCAGCTTTAGCTTTTTATTATATTACTATAGCATAAGCAGCGCAGGCAGCAAGGTTATTATTAAGGTTATTATTAAGGCTGCTGTTTAAGGCATTATTATTATTATCTTTATTTTTATTATTACTATAGTTACTGTTAAGGCTTTTTTATTATATTTAAATTTATAATTAAATGTTTATGTTAATATAATAGATATATAGTTACTGCTAAGTACTTAAAAAGACTATAGTAAGGGCGTTTTTAAGCGCCTTCTCTTTATTTATAATTACTATAAATAGCGCTAGCGCTAGGATCTCTTAATAAAGGGCCTCTAGTTTTTTATAAAGCTATAGAAAGCTGTCTTCTTTTTTTAAGTTAATTAAACTAAATATAAAATTAGTAATAAATTTCTAATTAGTAATGCCTATAGCCTTAAATAAGAATATGCTAAAATAGTTAGTTTTATATATATTATTAATATTAAGGACTTTTAAGAACTAATACTATATAGTCTTATACTATAGGTAAGTCTAGACTACACCCTGCACTTTATTATTATTATTTAATTTAATATAGTGCTTTAACTAATTATCTTAAAGTTGCTTAATCTAGGCCTAGGTTATAAAGAGGCTACCTAGGCCTTAAAGGCATATCTACTGTTTATTATTATAAATATTAGTCTCCTAGAAGAAGGTAGGCTTATTAGTTACGTCTTTAAGGATCCTAGTTATCTCTTAAGTAGGAAGGGCTTAGTATTTTATAAAATTATACTCTTACTACTGCTAGGCTGCTATTTAATACTAGTATATAATATAAGCAGATAGCCTAATAAATAGAGGGTAGTTATAATTAGGGCAGTTAATATAGTATATTTATTTTTAACTAAACTGCCTAATTACTAATACTATAATTTTAAAAAGATAATCTTGCTATTAAGTTAAGGTTCTTTAAAGGCTAGTGCTTATAGAAGTCTATAGCCTAGTGTAATTATAAATAAGGATATAATATATCTTAATTTACTAACTATTAACCTCCTAAGGGTTAGTGCTTTTTATAATTTTAATAGTAGCATTATAATTATAATAGAATCTCTGCAGGAAGGCTAGGAGCTTATTAAATAAGTTATAGATATTTAATAGTAGCAGTGGCGGAATTTACAGTAATATTAATAGTAATTACTGCTATAAGTCTATAGCTTTTACAGTCTGCTTAAGTGCCTTTAGGTCCTTTATGTTATTTATATTATCTGCTGCTTATTATATAGCTTCTGCAGCCTTCTAGGCTGCTTATAAGACTTTTATAATCTTATCTTATTGCTAAGGAGCTTCTGCAGCTACCTAGGCTTGCTATAATAGCATAGTGTATGTAAGCGGCGGTCTTAATGCTCTCTTAATATATAGAGGCGGCAGCAATAGTGTCTTTTCTTAAGGGAGGAAGGCTAGATTTCTAGGATTAAAGAAGTCAGGGTTATTAAGAAATTATATTATAAATGGCTACTTTATATTAAGTTTAAAGTTATTATTAGTGTTAGATTTTATAGCTACTGCTGCTGCTACTACTGCTGCTACTACTGCTACTACTAGCTCTAGCTCTAGCTCTAGCCCTGGCCTTAGTAATGCTGCTGTCTTTAGCATGTTAAAGTTATTATTATTAAGCTTGTTGCTATTAAATTATACTGCCTCTAGCGCTAATAATGCTTTTAGCGCTAAAAAGCTATAAAACTTGCGGATTGCTGTAAATCCAGCGCCTTACAATAACTTTAAAAATAACGGCGGCTCTAGTTAACTGTTTATTATTACAATCCTGACGTCTGTAGTGTTAAAAATCGCAATGCCTAAGGATAAGGGCGAAAAAACGGCTGGAAATAATAAAGTCTTGGTGTTATATTATAGCTATAGGCGTTGCCAGCCTTTTATACTGTAATTAGGTGTGTGGCTATAGGGGCATTAGTGTGGGCGCAGTAAGTTTAGTATAGGCATGGACTATTACTGTTTAAATAGGGATTTTTAACTGTTTAAATAGGACTACTCTATGAGAATATTAAAGCGCTGTAGCATCTTGTAATTGACACTGGTTAAGCTCTCCAGCCACTGGTCGGAGTCGTCTTCCCGTCACGGCTGGTTTTCCTGGATACCTCATGTGAGCTAGGAACGGGCACCTCGAAAGCTTCTTCTGCTTTACCGCAGCACTGCCTCTTTGTCTCCTGCTGAGCGGCGCCGTCCCGCGCTGGACTAATGATGCCGGATACGGCAAGCTCAGGCCCGGTGGCTTTCTCGTAATGCAGAGTGGGTGGGCAGACCACGACTATGCGTTGCTGATGACGATTCCAGTTCGAGTTGGAAGATTGCAGGCGATTGTCTCTTTTTAATAATTCGAAGCAGAGGGTTTGAGCTTGGGTCTAGTTAGTAATCCGCCTCGAGGATGCACTTGCCGCTGTCTAAATCCTCGACTCTTGCCCAACATGTATCTACATTCTACTACTCAGGTAGTACCTAGTATTAGTTGCTCTTTCCGTTTATTACAGCCAGCGAATTATGTTATTCGGCACTACAAACACTGAGCGCTCTACCTGATATATCAATGCAATGGATCTCACAGCTAGCTACCATTACAGCGAATAGATGCACCGTAAAAGCATTGCCAGCATTGCCAGCATGCCATAGCCACTCCATTCAGCAAGCCTTCCTTCTCTGAATCAAGCATTGACGTTGCTTCACACTTCCTTTTATAATAAACAGTACTTAGTTACTCCACAACAGAACACACAACATCAACCACTTCCTAGGTATGTATCTCTTACATATTGGCAACACATTACCGACTGTATTTGTTCAAAGATCCTCATCTTACACCTTGTTCCAATAAAGCAGTCTAAGTGACGCATCAATGCCACAGGTTGCCGCCAGCCGCTTATCACCGAACGAGATGCCTGGGTGTCCGTGTCCAGGGGAGGGGCGTGTGCCATCATCCCCCATCCACACAGCACTGTTAGTATGTCAGAACTTCGATAGAACACAGGATTGTTACGAACTGGTGAGTACCTACCTAGTCATTACGTCGATCTTGCTGAAGAATCATTACCTACAATAGCAAATGCAAAGTCTCAGCCACGGCAGCTTGCGTGAGCGATAGACCAGCCATCAATTGTCTCGAAGTAGACTGTCGAGGCAATCATGTCAGGACATCGTCTTCCTCTTTTTCTATCAATACCTTAGGCACCCAAGAATCAGCCTACGAAAAGCTACTATAGCCGGCTTGATTGCTATCATCATCAGGCATGTGGATATTGGGACACAAATTCCTCGTCAAGATAGAGTATAACTGCTGCATACGGAAAACAATACTCCCAAAACTCCATTACAAATTAGGTATCTAAGCTGTAAGCCGTGAAGTCAATACTATGGTACCCAGTAAGTCGGTAACTTTCGTCCCTCTCCCTGGATAATGTATCTAGACAATGCGGTCTATTCCAGTCTCAGGTGAAAAGCCCCTCCTCCAATTAACGCCGGTTCAATATCCATGCTTATGCTTCTCCGGCACTGCCTAGTCTATTTCAACGACCTGTCAAGTAACCCCCGCTCTCGAGCAGGCTTGATGATGCCACGAAGCTGAAGCCGCCAAATGGGTCGTCCTTAGGGAGGCTGGCGGGCCAAACGTCCCTCGACGATACCGTGGGACTCAAGGAAAGCTCCGTGAATTCTGGTGCAAAATTCTCCGCCAATTCAGGATCAGTAATCATGGGCTGGATGGGCGGTTCCATCTCCCGTGCGGCCAGCTTCTTCCAGTCAATCTTGCGGAAAAACCGATGCTTCTTCATCGTTTGCATATCCTTGGGCATCACAGCGCCCAGTCGTTTGTTGGGGTCCTTCCTCAGGAGCCGGGTGAGAAGATCTTTTGCGTCCAGGCTGAGGTAGTAAGGTAGCACGAGCTTCTGCTTGACAATATTGTCCTGGATCTTGGCATGGTTTCCTCCCCTGAAAGGAGGGTTTCCCGTCATCAGGTCGTATGCGAGAGCCCCAAACGACCACCAGTCCACGGCCTTGCCGTACTTCTTTCCCTGAATAACCTCGGGTGCCATGTACTCGACTGTGCCCAAGATGGAGTTGCAGCTGTCCTCCGATTGGTCGACTGCCACCTTCGAGAGGCCAAAGTCCGTCAACAGGAGATGGCCCTCTGCGTCGAGAAGACAATTCTCAGGCTTGAGGTCACGGTACACCACGCCCAGGGTATCGTGAAGGTGGGAAATTGCCAGAAGCATTTCAGCCATGTAGAAGGCGGCCACCGATTCGGAAAACATCTTTTCCGTATTGAGATGGGTGAACAACTCTCCGCCTTGTCCGTACTCCAGAATCAGATAGAGCTTCTCTTGGTCCTGGAAGGCATAAAAGAGCTTGACCACAAAGGGATGTCGATTCACCGATTCCAGAATCTGCCGCTCGGTCTTGGTTTGTTCCACCAGCTTCTTGTGGACGACCAGAGATGCCTTCTTGAACTGCTTCTGAGCGTAGAGCTTTCCGGTGGTGCGTTGCTTCACCAGCACAACCGTGCCATAAGTTCCTTTGCCAAGGCATCGCAGCGGCTCGAAATCATCCGACGTCATCTTACGTCTCGGGTTCAGTCCGCCCTCCAGAGGTTCCATAAACGATCTCCCGCGCACGCTTTCACTGACAAAGTCGTTCTCCAAGTTGACCTCGTAACTCATCGACCCGCCATCAGAAAGGTCGCTGCCACTTTCGCTGCGACTCCCATCCCGGCTTTGGGAGCGGCTCATGTCCTCGAGACTGGTCTGAGAATTCAGGCGGGTACCATTTCGAGACATGGATGAGGAGCGCGATGCCGGATCAAGGCTCAGAGGCTCCATCTGCAGCCGCAGTTTGGCGATCCCCGACATGCTTGGCGAAGCAGTGCTGCGCAGGACCGGGCTGCAGTTGGCGCTCACAACGTCGTTGATGCGAGGACGACCACGAGGGGCCGACAGGCGTGGTGTGTCACAAACACCATTGTCGGAATCTTCATCGCCAGATGCCACTGGCGTCACCTGAAAGCCACGAACAGTGGACAGTGCCACCGCCGGCGAGGACCCCGATGCTTGCTTGATCATGATAACAGGCAACGCAGCCCACTGTTTCTAGACAAACTGCAGTTTCAACAAATAAGAAGAGCGACAGCCAGGAGCTTGTTCAACTCCCGAATCACACAAAACTCGCTGCTCTCAAGGCGTGCCACGGCGGCGCTCCGGATCTACTCGCTGCGCGGATTCGGTTTGTCGCTGAGACTCAAGGCGGCTCGACACACGCATCTGGTACCTGAAGAAGGACGAGGGCAGATCAGAGTCGTCTTGTATATGCATTTGTGAGTGGCCGGTTCCAAAGGGAAGAGTGTGAAGAAGTGAAAAGATTGCCTTTGTTTCACCGAAAGGTGTGAGGAAGAAGAAAAAAAAAACAAAAGAAGGAAGGGAAGCGAAGGGAAAGCAAGGAAGGAAGTGGCAGATGAGGCAGGCGGCTGGCCAATCCCACAGGCGGAATATTTTTAGTAATTAGTTGACCACCAAAGGGCAAAAAAAAGTGCACCTCACCTCAACTTTTTTTTTCCCTTGACGGCTTCGGGCTTGGCCTGCAGGCAGCCTCACCTGCTGCTCACTTGAGCCCTTTTGACCCCTGTAACCAGCCCTTGAAACCTTCCTTGCCAGGACGCTGGTCGTGGGATCCAGCGGATTCAGCGCTCTGTTGCTGCAGACTTTACCGGGCAAAAGGTATTTCCCACAGCACATGTCAGCGCGGTGCCGGGGGCGCCAGAGGCCGCTAAACTTTGTTCGGGCAAAGTTGGGCTCTCTCCACAGAGAAAAAGAGGGCTGAAGGAAGAAAAAAAAAGTTGGAAACGAACCCCAGAGATCCATCGTACGATTGCCCCGGATCACGAGAAAATTGGAAGACAGACTACAAAAAAAAAAGTGAGACCTGATCGTCATGACTTTGAAGCCAAATGAGCCACTTCGTGACGTGTTATGAATCACTTCATAGGCCTGTCAGCTGCCCTGATGCTCCAGCAGAAAAACCAGGGGAAATCTGCAGTCGATCCCAGCAGTCTCGCATCGCCCTCGTCGACTTTCCAGGGGCTGCAATGGACCCAGCGTCTTGCACATGCCATGCATGCTTGGTTGGCAACCCCGGAATGTCAGTGAGCCAGCGGCCACTCCGGCGTGCCTGACTTTAATCACTGCCTATCGATAACATGAGAATGCTACGGTGTTGAGTGTCGCTTCGACGGGGTATTATCTGTGCCTCTCCTTTGCCTGGTTCGCTTGTTTCGTACTTGCAGATACCTCGAAAGCAGATAGAGCTGCCTTGTCCACGGCACAGGCATTCTGTGAAGCCCCATCTGCGATACGACGTGGAAGAGGACTGACTGCTGGATCCGTCGGCTTGTGGCGAATGCGTGCCGTCACGAGTGCCCCTGGCTGAAGGACTGCATCTCGATGAGCACGGATAACGACGGGCTTCACTACTAATGCATGTGATAATAATCGAACGTGGAGAAGAAGATGACCGAAAATTCTGTGGCAAAAATTCCAGCACACTGCCCTTCTTGTTCTTCTTTACTCGAGATCCCTTGCCCTGGTGTCATTGACCTGATTCTCTGGGCGGGTAGAACTTCGCCAGGAGTTCAAGGAAAACATAGAAATCAAACAATTTCGTATCTGCATTATCCTGCGCGTATGCCAGCCCGAGTCCTATTTTAATAGATTGTCTTCAGCTCAAGAGTAAACCAAATGTTTATTCGAGACCATATATACACACACAAAGACTGTAACAGGAATTCTCATGTTTGCCTGTTTGCTTGTTGAATATCTGCCTCTTCAGTGAACGCTAGGCCTAAAGGCTAAGCCTGGGACGTCGCAATAGGCACTAGCTTACCTAATAGTAGTCCGCCAATGAACGATGGTCTCAAATTTCCAAGCTCCAAAAGCTTCCAGGTTGCCTGCAGTTCGGCTGGCAGCCTCGTCTCAAACTGATCCATTGGTGAAGCGCGAACTGGTGATAAGCTACAGAGTCGCGCTGCTCTCGAGATTTGGCAGGGACTCGTCTTGGCTACTTGACCTTGGCTTATACAATTGTTATTCCTTCTTTTAGATCCCGCGTCTCTACCTGATACTGCTCTGTACTGCTTCACAAACCCCACGATATCATCTCGCTAGGTTCTCGCGAAGACCACTCTTCTGTCACGACAATTCCATATCGTCCTTCCTCGACCCCTCTCGACAAGATGATGCACCCATCACGACAAGCATATGTGGAGGATGCGGAGCAGCAGCCCGCGGGAATCGCCCTGGAAGATGTCCCCGAGGACCATGACTACGAAATAAACATGGGCGACGGCGCCCCGCCAGAGAAGGCATCAGCAATTCTCAACCAGTTCAATCGAAAACGACTCGCTGCCACGATTGCTGTCCCGACCGACGATGGACGAGTCCGCGCCAAGCTTCGAGAGATGGGTGAGCCCATCACCCTATTTGGTGAAGGACCAGCCGATCGTCGAGACCGATTACGAGAGCTCTTGACGATTCAGGCAGAAATGGCTGGACTCGAGAGCGGCGACATCACAATGGAGGACGCGCCCGAGGAGGAAGAAGAAGAACAAGAAGAAGAATTCTACTCTAGAGGAGGGCCCGAGCTGCTACAAGCTCGTATCAACATTGCAGAGTATTCCCTGCCGCGAGCAAAGCGAAGGACAGCTTTCCAAAAGGCCGAATCTACAATACCCCTACGGACGCATGTGAGGTTTCGGAAGCAAATCAAGGAGAGATTACAGGCATTTGAGCTGCAGGGAAGTCAGACCATTGGCGAGAGGCATATCAGCATGACCAGATTCTCGCCAAACGGGGAGTTGATTGCGGTGGGCAACTGGGGCGGTCAAGTGAAGCTCATCGATACAGAGAACCTTACCGAGAAGATGAGCTTCCGTGGCCATACCAACAAAATCAGCGGCATTTCATGGTTTCCAGGGGCTACCTTGCCCGAGAGCGGAGTCTCCCCAGATGCAGTCAACCTTGCTTCGGGCGGTGCCGAGGGATTGGTTCACCTTTGGTCTTTGAACCAAGACACTCCTCTCTCCACCTTCAAGGGACACGCGCAGCGAGTTTGCCGCGTCGAATTCCACCCATCTGGACGGTATCTGGCATCTGCCTCAGAAGATACCTCGTGGCGACTTTGGGACGTTGAGAAGAATGCCGAGCTTCTGCTACAAGAGGGCCACTCTCGCGGTGTCTACGCCGTCAGCTTCAACACGGATGGCTCTCTTCTTGCTAGCGCAGGTCTGGACAGCATTGGCAGGATATGGGATTTACGATCGGGGCGGACAGTCATGATTCTCGATGGACATTTGGATGGACACATCAAGCCGATCCACTCATTGGACTGGAGTTCCGATGGCCACCGAGTCCTGTCCGGCTCAGCTGATGGATGGATCAAGTGCTGGGACGTTCGAAAGGTGCAAAGGACAGGAGGCATTGGTGCCCACAACAGCGCCGTGTCCGATATGCGTTGGTACAAAGGCCTGGACGACCCTCTCCTCGGCACCCCGCCGGGGCAGGACGAAAAGGGTGCTCAGCTGCCCAAGAAGTCCGGCACCTTTTTCATCTCGAGCGGTTTCGATCGGGACGTCAAGATTTTCTCCCCCGACGATTGGACCCTGGTGCAAACCCTGAGCGGACACACGGCTCCAGTTGCCAGTGTTGATTACAGCAGAGACGGGCGGTGGATCGTGAGTGGAGGACACGACCGCACGGTGAAGCTGTGGGGGAGGAATGACGGCGAAGCATTATAAGCACGAGGCTATACATATTTGTTCAATGGAATCAAAGGCATGTCGGAATAGATACCCAGGTTTGGCACGGCAAATTGTGTTGAATTTCCTCAAAAAAAAAAAAAAAAAAAAAAAAAAAAAAAAAAAACAGGTGAAGACAAAGAAGCCACAAAGGGGAAAATACAACTTCAAAATGCCGGCTGAGGGCAAATTGAGAAGAGAGTGTCAAGCAATCGAAGGTGACGTCGGAATGGCCTGCTTAGTCATGTGACTCGCCGCTGCCGATTAGATAACAAGAAAGGACGGGTCATAGCTGTAACCACGATTTCGTCCCTGGTCTGTCGCGCCGCCCATTTTCAATCTTCATCATGACGTCCAGCTGGCTGCGGTCCGACGAGTGAAAGAAAAGCAGGTTTTATTCGACACCGACGCTCTCGATGAAAACGCGCAGTCGCTGCCCCCAGACAATCGCCAACTCGCTCTAATTGTCCACAGCAATGGCAAGCATCGACCGCTACCGCCCCCCGCGAGAGGGATATCAACCGCCAACGCTGTCGGGCTCTGCGCGCCACGAGAGGCCCTCTCGGTCGCCGCCTCGCCGTCGCGATGTCCCTCCGGCCGCGCCCACGCCTCCTCAGCACAGCGCGCGGACGTCTCCTCCGAGGCCGCAAGGCGTATCCAGCCAGCAGACCCCTTCGCGATCTGGGGAAGAAACGCCGCTGGCGCTACCGAACCAGTGGTTCTTCACCACGGACGAGGTGCTTAGCACGCCCTCGATCATCGACGGAATCTCGCCCGCGGAAGAGAGGCTCAGGAGAGCCAAGGGCATCAACTTCATATATCAGGCTGGCGTGATGCTCGACCTACCACAGATAACGCTTTGGGTAGCTGGAGTATTCTTTCACAGATTTTACATGCGCTGCAGCATGGTGCAAGATAAGGGGGGCATTCATCACTACGTACGTGCTCTTGTTTGTGATTCCATTCCATTCCATTCCACTTCTTTGCCACCATTCCACCTTTTGCTCCCTCGCCTTGCAACGCTTGGATGTCTCAGCCAAGGATTACGTCCAGCAGCAATGACTGACACTGTACGCACAGAACATTGCCGCAACCTCCCTATTTCTGGCCAACAAGACCGAAGAGAACTGCCGAAAGACCAAGGAGATCATTATCGCTGTTGCTCGAGTCGCTCAGAAAAACACAAAGTTGATTATCGATGAGCAGAGCAAGGAATACTGGCGATGGAGGGACAGCATCCTGACGTACGAGGAGGTCATGCTAGAACAACTGGCATTCGACTTGATGATTGACAATCCCTACCGTCACCTGTTTGAGCTCCTTGGACAGTTGGAGGTCATCCACAACAAACAGCTACGGCAAGCCGCTTGGGCATTCTGCAACGACGCGTGCTTGACGGCCTTGCCACTGTTGATTGAAGCAAGGGACGTCGCCATCAGCTCCATCTACTTTGCCTGCGCCCACACGAATCAGCAGATTGACGATGTCAACGGCGAGGCCTGGTGGAAGTTTTTGAAGGGGAGCGAAGAGTGCTGTGCAAAGGCGATTGAGACGATGCGGCAGTTCTACACGGAGAATCCGCTTAGAAAGCAGAACCCGTCGCTGCCATCGCCCGCTTTCCACCTTGAAAACACCAGACGACGCCACGATGCGCTGAACGACACCCAATCGTCCAATGCCGGAACGCCGATGGAGCTCGACCGAGAGAGCCACAGCCCGGGCCCCAAGATGAACGGGGCGACCGATCGGCACTCGGACACGAGGGACAAGGAGCACGAGGGTCCTTCCAAGGCTGCGGGCGACGGCGATTACGCGCCACGATCTCCGCCCAAGAGAAAAGATGCTGAGGCGGACCTATCTGCCGAAAGTGAAAGGGCCGAAAAGAGGGCCAGACTCTCTGAAGACGAGGGCGAGCTGGTTGAAGACTAGGCTGAAGCACAGGCGTGCTCAGCCCATCAACCCTGCTCTGGGGAGCTTTGGCGTTTGGGTATCTCTACTGACCATGCTGCTATTTTTCATTACTTCCTCCTGTATTACAATGGCACGACGGAACGGTCCTGACAAAGGTGTGAGGGTTTCCCTAGTGATTTGAGGTAATGCTACGAGCTCGAGGACGGCGTTGAGGGACTGTATTATTTGCTTTCGAGAGCTGATCACATCGAATCGGTTTGTTGGATAGAGGCTGCCGCATAGGCACAAGGGCTTAACTGTGACTTCTTTGAGCTTGGGAGCCGGGTTTTTCTATGTTTCCATTTCCTCATCTTTGTTTTCTTGCGGCGGCTGGACAGAGCTTGATATCCCAGGTAGTAGTATGCAAATTGACTCTATACGATCTACGCTTGGGCAGCGTGCTTTCTGCGTTGTTGTACATTTAAATGCCGTCGTAACAACGGGTGGGTAAATGAACCTTTGTTGAATGATGGCTCACTATCAGTACCTACCTATAGGTTAGTAGTGACCGTTGACCGTTTGCTCTGGGCAAGCTGCATTCACCTGTCCCAAGGCTGAGTCTTCATCTCAACCTCTCCTCACCCAATCGATTCAGCCGTTTCTGCCAACTACAAACGCTCTGACCGCCTCAATGTGTCTATTAAAGTCCTGCTTCCAACCCATTCTTCCTCTTTTTTCTCTTTTCTCCTTCTTCTTCTTTTCCTTTTCTCCAGCTCTCTTTGCCTTTTGGCTTAGATCAAGTGTAGTATCTGTTCTTTTCAGTTTTAATCTCTGAAATGTCTCCACGCGAGACTTTTTTCTTTACGATTAATTCTTATTTTTGGTGTTTGGGGCGAGAGTCTTTTCCCATGTGCTTGCATATGGGACTCTTGCTCAGTGTGTCCCTGGTATTACACTGCTTCCGGGTGACGCGAATGTTGGGGGGGTTTTGAAGCTTTTCGTTGCCCTTTTCTACGTTGGCTTGTCTGACGGGGTGAAGAAGAGTTTTTCCTTTTTTTTCTTTTATTCTTGTGCTGCGTACTTGGGGAATGACATGTGAAGGGATTGTTGGTTATGGATGGGGTTGAGGTTGGAGTTGATGATGTTTTGATTGCGCTCGAATACGATGGAAGTTTACGGCAGAGTCTTGAGTTCCTTTGACTGCGAAGCTTTGATTCTTGCATAGTAGATCATCGAATAGAGATAGATTCAGCTTCTTAGCTAGAAAATTCTATATCAAAATGCGTCCCTCTTCCGAACAGTAGCTCGAGAGATCGAGAGATGGAGCTCCGTGGTTGGCGTACCTATCCTAGCAACATCCCAGAAACAGCTTAGCGCGCATGATGAGAGCTACAACTTCTGGTGCTTGCTTCTCGAAAAAAGAGCAATCCATAAGTTACTGAACATCCACTATTACAACCCCAATCCAACAACACATTCTCGGCCTCAAGCAAGCAACCAGCCAAAGCCTCTCCATACTCGTCCAAAGCAGCCAAGTTACACCACTCCTCTTCGCGCTTCTCATACAAAAGCTCCTCTTTGCGCAATGGCCACGTTAGGAGGATATCTCAACAGTGAGCACAACAACACACACACACACACACACACACACCACTCGTCCCAAAAGCCCCCGCAGCCCACGTTGGAATCTTTGATCACTGACGTATGTTCTGAATGTTGCTTTGCAGAGACGGTCCTCATCGTCACGGCCGATTCGCGAATTCTTGTTGGAGAGCTGGCAGCTTGCGATGCATCAACAAACCTAGTACGTCACGTCATATCTATCCCCCTCTGGGAATAAATCCTCTCGTGTGGCGAAGCTTTGAATTGAAGCTTTCTTTCTCCGCCGAGGATCGAGTTGAAGAAGAGAAAGAAGAAGAGATGGTTGCTAACTGTTACTTTGCGCAACAACACAGGTCCTCAAAGGCGCCGTGGAAAGAATCATTCGAACGCCCGACGACCCGGAACCCTCCGCAGAGGTCCCGCTGGGCTTGTACCTCGTCCGAGGCGACAACGTCTGTTCCGTGGGCCTCGTCGACGAGCCGCTGGACAAGAGCATCGACTGGACAAAGGTCAAGGGAACGGTAATAGGCGGCATCAAGCACATCTGAGGCGCGCCCGCTCTTGCCTCGACCTTGCGGATCTTTTCTGGAGCGATGGCGATGCTCCCCTACAGAGATTAATGGGTTTCGAACCGCCAACGTCTATTTTCTTTGTGAGGGACCAACTCGGCGGAGATGAGATCGCGCTCTCTCTCTTGTCATCTCAATGTCTCTTGCTTCGTTATGGGAATTACCCGAGATCTCTATCTGTCTCTCGCCTTTCGGGTGTGGATGGAAGATGCAGCCTCGAGAGGGATCGGGAGTGGTGGAAGCACAGCTGATCTAGTTTGTCTATTTTCTTTCTATTTTCTTTGTTCATTTTGGTTTATCTCGAGTATGGGTCGGTATGGGCACTTGGGAGCGCCTGGAGTTTATATGGTCCAAAGCATGAAGCCGGCCTTTCTTGCAAAAAAGGGTACGATTCTCTCTGTCTAGATTCATCTTATATCAATGCTATCTCTTTCATTTGCTATACCTGAGTTGCGATTTGCTGACACGGCGCTCCATCTATCCAGAAAAAATTCCAACAAACAAAAAAAAAAAAAGAAAAAAAATGCCCCTACCTATACTCTAGTGAAAGACGCGCTGCATCCAGACTTCCTTGAAGATGGCCTCGCCGGGGGACTTGATCAACCGCCCGATTCTGTTACCCTTGCGGACACTCAACCAACCCATGGTATCTCCGGGGACCTCGTCCAGAGTCACCAGGTGGTCGGCGTTCTCGAGGTTCTCTGAGAGCTCACCGGCGGCCTCGCCAGGCTTGGTGCGGACACGCTTGTCGAGGACGTAGGATCCCCGAGTCCACTGTCCAACGGTCTCGACACGAAGATCCTCGGCCTTCGCGGGGGTCTGCCATCGCTCATCATCGTGGGTGAGCATGTACCAGACGGTGAAGGGGTCGTGCAGAGCCAGCTCAGGCTCCCTGCCGTCTCCCTCCATGGAGTCGATCTTGTCAAAGGCTCCGTTGATGAAGTGGGCGGTCCATCGGGCAAGAGGGCTGCCGGCATCGACGAGAGGCTTGACGGTTTCGTTGAAGTAGTTCTTGTTGATAAAGTGGTGGTTGGTGATGTCCAGGGGGCAGAGAGTGACCTTGAGGCGGCGAGAGAGCTTGGCGGGGTAGGGCTTGATGTTGACATGGCTGGGAATAGGGGGCAGAGTCGAGGCAGGGGTGGGCGATGTGAGGGCATAGACAAGAGCGGCGGCGAGGGGATCCGCGTAGGTGTTGAACTCGGCCGTGGGGGTGACGTTGCCTGGAACTTCGACAGCTCCGCCCATGACGACGAGCTCCTTAACCCGGAGGAATGTTTCGGGGTCTTCGGTAGCCGCCAGGGCAACGTTTGTGAGGGGGCCGACGGCAAGGATGCTGATGGTGTCTGGAGGGTTCTCTCTGAGGAGACGCAGCATCTCCTTGTGGGCGGGCTCCTTTGAGGCTTTGAAGCGAGGGTAAGAGGGGCCGTGGTCATTGCCGTCGTCCTTGTCGAACAGAGCCTTCCAAGTCTCGGCGGGGCTCAGGTCAGTGTGAACATCATGGACGTTGTGCAATCCATCAGCGCCATCTAGATGATTGGTGTCAGTCAGGCATCTTTTATACAAGGGAAACTGAGCATTCATATCCAAGAGTCACGTACGGAAGTAGTCAGCAGCCAAGACGGGGTCGGCGAGGGAGTGCTCGGCTCCAGCAGCAATAAGCGTCTTGTGAGCCTTGAGAGTCTCGTAGCCCTCGGGACGGCCTTGGAATTTCCTCCACTCGAATTCCTTTTCCAGAACGTGATACATGGCAGCCACGTTGCGAAGGCAGCTAGAGGAGGGTCAGCCAGTTGGAACACGATGAGTAAAGGGATGTGCAGTGATATCCATGATGATGATGATGATGATGATGATGATGATGATGATGATGATGATGATGACTTACGACTGCAGCGGGACGTTGCCGTATGTGACGGAGATCATGGCCAACTCAAGCTCCTCGGGAGAGGCACTGAGAGCCAGGAGAAGAGCCATGACATCGTCGACACCTGTGACGAACGTAAGTTTTTTTGCTATTCGAAAGGACTGGGTAGAGAAAAAACATACCGGGATCGGTGTCGAGGATAATCTTGCACTTTGGAGCCATCTTTGTTGTCGCTTTTGACGATGTTTGTCTAGAGGGGCTTGGAGGGGTTGAGTTTAAGGCTGGATTTTGACAGAGCAAACACCAAGCCGTTGACAAGAAGCAGCAGCAGAAGCAGCAGCAACGACGAGGACAAATAATGATAATAACAATGCGAGGTTCGGAGGGCGCGTACTTATAAGCAGCAAAAAAGAAAAAAGGTCCCGTCCAGGGGAAAATCCTCAAGCCACTTCTTGGGTCAGAAATATTGCCCTTTGTCAAACCAGGAAAAAAAAAGATGGGGAAGCGGCGCCAAGGACAAGAGGATGGCGGGGTTTCTCGCTCTTCACTTTGACACATAGTACTATACATGTACCTACCTAGGTATGATGACTGTATTGATACACTACCTAACTAAACTGTTCTAGCTGAGATAATCGCAGATGGATTTTGGTTGCAAGACGGAGCTTGCCCCGTTTGGTACGCCTTCTCAGCGGCCGGCAACGGCCGAAATCGATCGGGTTCAAGGAGAGACGGAGGAATATTATTCGCGAAATAGAGACAAAAGAGAGTAGTGATATGATGGTGGTGGTGTGTGTGGATGGGCTTGGGCTTGGGCTTGGATGGGCGACCTGCTGTAAATTGTTGAGTGCACGGCGATTGCCCAACGTATTTATGCGTAATATGTCGATCTCCAAGTCTTGATGCAAGGAGTTGCAGCGCAGTCGCTTTGGAGACTGGAAGATGAGTAAATACAGAGGTGATTCAGTCTTGCTTGGGCTGGGTTGCGCGGCTGATGCTAGAGTTTGGGCAGAGTTTGTCATTCTCTTGATGGCGGCAGTAAAGTCAAAAGTCGAAACTGGGATTGAGCTGGATGAATCACAACAGCTACAAATAGGTACATTTACTTAATAGGTACTGTACTTGGAAACAGTCTGCCCAATTGAAGAAAAAAAAAAACACTGGCCTCCGTGATGTGTTGATGTTAGTCCACTCGTACGCCGAAGATGACTTTGTAGGTCTGGGAAACCCTCGAATGTTTCAGGGTAGGCGCTTTCAACTGGAATCAACAAGCCCTGATATGATGATGCCCGTACCAACAGCATCGTCAGCCATACGCAACATACATACATGTCCCGACAGAGCACAGCAGCGCAAAGGGGAAAAAAACACGTGGCGTCCATCTGCAGGGGCAATCAAAACCGTTACGCAGAGCTATTGATCCAACCGAATTGTTGGTGTTGCAAAGTCCAGGGGCGCGCGGTACCTTGCATCTTGAGGACTCACGGACTGCACACGCAGCAGCTCGATGTGTTACGGATGATGCAAGTCTGGAACCTGATTGAAACCGGCCAGGTCGTCCCAATCGGCGTGGCTCTACTGCCGCCAGGTCTTTCTGATGTTGACCACCACGGATGCAGTATCAGGAGTGTAAGGGGGATATGTAGTAGGCCGTCCTAGGATATCGGTGGTTGAGAACGCAAGTACTATACCTGAACATTTCGAGGTTCAGCATCTATCCATACTTTAGGTACCCAGGGAGGAACTGATAGCACTGATAGTCGTAGAGCCTGCACAGTAACAGACACGTTACACATGAGAAAAGGGACGAGAGATGCAATATAATACTTGCACCTGCGCAACCTCGCCCTCTGTACGCGAACGCGACCCGACGCGAAGAGACCCCCAAGGCACAAGGCAACAACTGCATAAAAGGAGGAAAAGAGGCGCCGACTCTCCCTCAGACTGACACAGCACAAATACCGGCCCAGGGCAGCACACGCCAATCTGGCCACCCCCAAACGGCATCTTACGCGAAAAGGACGATCGCAGTTCATGTTGGTGCTCATGCCCACCCATCTACCTTATCTATCCATGGGTTCCAGTCCCGTCCCTGAGCAGGAGAGAGCCCTGCAACCAACTGGATACAATGTGCCACATATTAATCGACAGCTAACGACAAGAGGAAGAGAGATTCGGAGCTGGAGTCGTCTGGCCGGCCCCGCTGTTGTTCGCCGCCCAGCCACTCAGACGCCGCCGCGGCCACTTGGGCGCCGCTCCCCTGCCGGCATTTCCTCCCTCCCCGCTGAACGCCTCCCTCCAGCCCCCTGCAACTCGGTGCCCTCCAGTGGCGGCCAGCGAATTGCACAGCGCCCACACAGCACTGGCCGCTAGTGGCCAGCACGCTAAGGCGACCCCCGAACGCAAACCCCCTGCCCTGCCTGCGTTGAAGCCACCTGGTGCTTTCGGGCCTGGTTTCTTTTTCGTGTCCTCAACGGCTCTCGACGGCTTCACACCTTCTTCCTTCCTCCCCCCCCCAGCCGCTGCTCAATCTCCAGCTTGCTTGCTTGCTGCCATCGCCCATCGTTCACGGGTTCAGGCAGTGCAGTAGGGCCTAGACCTGATTCTAGCCTTCCAGCTTGCATCGATTCTGGCATCTTCATCCCGACTGCCCGCGATCCAAGCTCTTCGTCAGCGGCCGAGTTTTCCCAGCCTGCGGATTCGCGCCACTGCCGGTTTGTCGCTGCAGACAACCTTGCTGCCGCATCGCCCCTGGGTGCAATCAATCGCTCCCGCATCCCGTCAACCCGCGGCACGCCTCTGCAGCTATCCGACAATCGATCGAACGCCTGACCATTGCGTCGCCCTAGTCTCGTTTCGAGCATCCAGGGACTCCTTCTGGAGATAGAGAGCTTGGTCACCCATCTCGTGACTACCTCTTCCGATCCCGCTGATCATCGTTGACGACGCGGACGCCGTCCAGACTGCACCATGTCTGACGCCAACATCTTCTACACAATCGGCGCCTATGCCACCCTCATCGGCATTGGCTATGCCCTCTACCATGTCTCAACGCAAAAGGACAAGAAAAAGGGCGGCGTCGCCATCACCAAGACGGCCAAGGCCTCACAGCCAGAGGTCCGGAAGGAAGACCGGAAGAAAAAGCAACGTCTGGAGAGCTTCGTGACGGACCAGGACTCCAGCAAAGCCTCCAAGGCCGATGCCCAGAAGGAAAAGGCCGCCCAGGCACCTCACTGGCTGAGCAACGAGGCGGACGACAAGCAAAAGGAGATTGACAACCGAGAGTTTGCCAAGCAGCTCTCCAAGGCCAAGGAGGGTGCCAAGTTCAACACCAAGAACGACGGCCCCAAGCAGCGCGAGAAGACCGTCAAGCAGTCCAAGGCCAACAAGGCCAAGGCTGCCCCCGCCCCTGAGGCTGTTCCCTCTGCCCCGTCGTCCAACGGCGCTGATGCCGACGATGACGAGTCTCCCGTTGTCCTGTCCCCCGAGACCCGCCCCGTCGACGTTGGCGGTGTCAGCGACATGCTCGAGCCAGCCCCCGCCGGCCCTTCCGTTCTGCGTCTGACTGATACCGAGTCCAAGAAGGACAAGAAGCCCAAGGCCGCCAAGAACCCCGAACCGGCTGAGACCAAGAAGCAGAGACAGAACAGGAAGAAGGCTGAGGCTGCCAAGGCCGCCCGCGAGGAGGCCGAAAAAGAGCGCAAGATCCTTGAGGAGAAGCAGCGACGCACTGCTCGCATTGCCGAAGGCCGCGCCGCCAAGGATGGCTCTGAGTTCATGGCCGCCGTCAACGGCAACAAGTCTGCTTGGAACGGCACCAACGGCACCAACGGAACCAAGAAGGACGAGGCTTCTATCCACGCCCCTCTCGACACCTTTGAGCAGCCTGCCGAGAAGAAGGCCGCTAAGAAGGCCGCTCCTGCTGCTGCCCCCGTCGCTGCTCCCAAGGAGCCTGTCCAGAACCTGGAGAGCTCTTGGATCTCGGCTCTTCCGTCTGAGGAGGAGCAGATGGAGATGCTCAAGGATGAATCTGACGAATGGAGCACTGTCAAGAGCAAGTCCTCCAAGAAGTCCAAGAAGGCCCCCTCTGTCGAATCCGGAGAGGAGACTCCCCAGGCTCGCCCCGCGGCTCAGCCCAAGCAAACTGTCGACACCAACGCCAACAAGTCTACTAAGCCCGCGGCCAAGAACTTTGGAGGCTCCTTTTCTGCATTGACCATTAAGGGCGACGATGCTGAGGAGGACGTCGAAGAGGAGTGGGACGTCTAAATGCGAGAAGCATGACCAACTAGAACAAGCGTGCATACGATGCGTGCATTGCACAGTGGCCAGAAGCTGCTCGATAACCGCCTTCTCGCCACCGTCTACCATTTACTTGCCAGCATACCATGGCTGTCGGTATCTCATCTATCCAACCTGGCTAGTTTCAGGGCAGTCATACGATGTTGGATCAGGAGGATACCACATAAAAGCGTCTACTGCGGAAAGTGGAAGAAAATGAAGGGTCTCACAAGACCTGTTGACGTTGTGTGTTTGGCCGAGGCACTGGACAACCTGGCTGGCGATTGGGAGCTGTAACGTTTGAGCTAGCCAGCGCAGCTGATTTACGTGTGTCCCAGTGCCATGAGAAGCCACGCATTGATCTTTTCTATTTTGTTTGGTTGTTCTGCTTTCATTCTTTGTTCTACTATTTGTCGTTATGAATGCTAGTTGCCAAAAGAGTAAAACTGGGATAAGGGATCTTGACACAGGGAAGCCAAGCGGGCCAAAATGGGAGTGTCAAAGAAAGTGGAACTGGACGTCGAGGGATGAGAATACAGGGAACGAAGCGAAACTTTTGTGTGTGTGTATATACTGTGTTGATATCAAGTCGCGCAAAAAGAAGCAATCACTCTATGCTTTGCCACGGTAGAGATTCGCCGTTGATGGGGTTGGGCTTGAGCTCTCGGATACGAAGGCATCGCCATCTTCAGACTATCAGACTACTACCTGATCGAACAGATGAGGGGCTTGCATGTAGGTTCAGCTGAAACCAAAGACGTGACACAGAGTTACCATGCTTTCGGTTCTTGCACTGCAGTTGTTACATCTCGCCATATGGAGGGAGAAAAAGGGTAACCCGGAAGTAATACCTAAGGATGAGAACAAGCTACATGGCAGGAGTGCACGGAACGAGTCGAGGATTTGCTGTTTAAGAAGTTCCGCACGATCTTGCAAGAAACCTCTTTTCATGTTGAAAGACACGAGATTTACCTTATCTGACCCGAATTACTAGAATTACGGAGGCACTGCGTCATTGGGAAGGAAGTTGTTTGCATGTATCTGAATGATTCTCTGTATCATTGTTCCCTTTCATGGGATATCTGGAGTAGTTGTTGTTGCCGTCCAACTTCATGTAGCTACATACATAGGTAGGTAGTAGTGAACCGTCTACATGTAGATTGTTTCCCTTCAGACTGCCCTGGCCTTGACTCAATAGTCTGCCTCTCTATTGGGAAAACGGCTGCCTTGGCTAGTATGTACATAGAGGGGGACAGACAGACAGACGGGCTGGCGCGGCTCGGCTACGCAGAAAACATGTCGCCACTATCTTTACTATGTTCCTGATAAATTTTGCCGCCACCTTTTTTTCTTTCCCGTGTCTACTGTACGATTGTCCCTCCATGAGGGTTTTTTGTATAGCATCCATCATGAGAAGAGACGGGAGTACTTGCCAATGGAAAAAGGGATGTCCGCTGGGACGTCTTATAGACCAATTGGATGCCGTTGAGGCTTAGGTACCTACATACATTACACCAACTTGGCTGGTACGTGGCAAATGTGAGCAACAACTTTTTGTAGTGACGAGCCACACACATACGTACACATCTTACTGTATAATACATACAACACAGACAGACAGACACACAGACAGACAGCCAATAACAACACACCAAAAAAGCACCATGCATGACCCCAAAAGAGTGAGGTGAGGAGAAACCGGAAGACCGGTGCCGCGAAAAGGTTCCCAAAATCCAGCCCCAAGGGGGGCCCTGCAATAGGCTCCGGCGTCTGGAGTTACTACTAGGTAGTCCAGTAGCATATGGAGTCGCTGCAACCCCCCCTCAAAGACAGATGCTTAGTATGGGGGAGAATGAGGTGCTGTTTGGTTTAGCGGCCATGCGGGGATCCCCCCCCCCCCCCCCCCCAAAACTCCATCGGAGATGGTGCTGGGTTCTATTGGAGGGAGGGTAAAGGGAAAAAAGGAAAGGCGATTCAGGGCCTTTGAATCTCGATCTGGAACTTGCTGTTGTGCTGGGTGCTTTTTGGCAAGGACGTTGGGGCAATGACTCTTGAGAACTCTGAATTGATCGAGATGTGAAGTATTGATTGGTTCACTGTGCCGTTCAAACAGTATCTTGCGCTGTAAGCTTTCGTTTCTGGCTCTTGTTGTATTAATAGTCATTTCTTCGTTTCATTCTAGCTCGTGTAAGCGGGATGGACGGGAAGAACGGATGGACAAGGTCCCGAGACGGCCTTTTTCTGCTTGCCGCTCTGGCGAAACGGACGTGCCGGCTTGTTGGAGAACACCCGTGTTCATTCACTTGCGGCATTGTTGCGGATGACTTTTCGTTTTTCTTTTCACTTCTGCTGCGGTCGATTCTTCCGCGTCCTGTTGCCTCGTACACGGAACGCCGGGATGAGCGATATACCATGTATACCTTGATGTCTTCTATCAGTCCTCATACTACTACTACAGTACGTCTTTCCAACGCCCAGCAGTCAGCAGGTGGAGAAGCAGCACGCACGGCCAGCAAAGCTTGTTAACCGAGTCGTGTGAGAGTGGGAAAAGAGTTGAATTCGAAAGAAGCTTCCAAGCTCCAGAGTTCTGGTGGAAATCTGCTGCCTTAGCCCTGGGCTGCAGCTATTTTGTCTGCGTAAGACAGGTGAGTGAGTTGTATCAAGGCCAAGCTGTGGGTGGATGACGACGTGGCATCTCGGTACCAGATGCGGCCACGGCGTGCTCCCCGTGTTGGCCTGTCGAGTCAATTCAAATGCATTGTGTATACTAGATTGCAGTAGTACTGTATTATTGAAAAAGAGGGGAAAAAGGGTAATGATAAAACGACGCAATCCTTAATCATAGGCACCTCAGGTTTTTGTTGGCCAGCAGAGGGCCCAAACTCTCTGGAGACTCTTGTGATGTCAAGTTCCAAGAGGCGTGGCTGGTGGACAGTAAATAGGACGTCGAGGACGGCCAACATGCTGCCATTGGCGCAAGCAGCCAAGTTTGACGGCGAGCGACTTGTTGAAGAAGCCTTTTTGCTCCCAAGAACCTGGTCAGTCCAGGTGGCGCTGCTGTACAGTTAGTAGTCGTCGTCCAAAGGCAATCCCGCGCTTGTAGGTAGTGTATGTACGAGTATGTACATACGAGCCAATGTACATGTATGAGCAGCACGGCCACAGCCCTCGAAGTGGTCGGTGCAACATGCCAAACCTCGAGATCCAATTTTGCATCCCGGACCCTGTCGACGAAAAGGAACCAGGGTTGACGGGCTCAATTTGGTCTGGCCACCTGTTGGCACCATCCAATACAGGTGCAAGTGCGAGTCCAAAGTGCATGCAAGTGCCTGGCCTGGTGCCACGGAGGACGGACTGCTAATGAAACGAACGACAGGCATGTCCCCGTTCCGCCCTCTCGCTTGCTGGATCCATGTCGCGGCCGTGGATCCCAATGTTGTGCCGCCCGGATCCCTACGGGGTGACTGACTGGTGAATGCACATGAATGTTCGGTCTGGCTGGCGGCATTCCCCCCAATTGTCAAAGACGGGGCGAGGATGATGATGATGACGATGACGATGATGATGCGCAAGAGCATCGAAACAGACCCCCTGCTTCTTTATGCCCTGTCCAATCTGGCCCCAAAAGAGTTGAAACGACCACCAGCAGCCCGTCGCAGGTTCGAGGTTTGTTTGTTTCATCGACAAGGCTCAGCGCCTCCCCAAACCCGCAAGGTCGCGCGCGCGAAGAGGTTCGGCCTGGACAAGGCCCAAGCAACCAAGACAGCCCTTCTGGGGGGGTGACGAAAATACGGGGGAGAGACTTGGGACGAGCGACGCCAGAGGTTTGATGGCCAATGGATCCTGGAGCGGTGACGAGGGCCCGAGCACTAAGGCGAGAGGCTAGAGGGCTACCTAGAGGCATTTGGGGGGGGATTGGGGGGGCAGGTACCCGTGCGTGGGAGGGAAATGAGAGAATAATATCCCACGCCTTGGAGTCTCTCCTATCGTGTATTATACAGGTAGGTAGATGGTGAGGGTGTTATGAGTCCACAGGCGCGTGTCTGAGGCCGCCTGCTTCATCTGTGGACGAGACTCGATTGACCATGGATTGATGGTATCGTCTTTGCCAAGGAATTGTATTCCCCTGTGTGACCGGTAGCAAATGGCTGGAGTTTGTCCCAGAAATTGGGTTCAATGGCTTGCGAATGGCCTCTTGAAGCGGCGCCTTGGGTTCCGCCGCCGTCACGGGCAAACCGCATGCAACAGCAAAGGCCCCCCCCAATCCATCTGCGCCGAGCCGGACCACCTGCCCGAGTCGTACAGCGCCTGCTTTGAGGCCTTTGTGGCGATTGATTGAGCCATCAGATGGAGTCCGGGGCGGGGTTGGGCGCTGCTAGTTGAGGCCCTCGTACATAGTATGTTAGTACTTGTAATGATATTGATCAATTGCTGGATAGGACGGTTCGGCCCATTTCGAGTTGATGCGAATGGCACAAAGGCACTCCAGCTTGCACTCGCCTCACTGCTCCGTTACGGTAATACTGTACCTACCTAAAGACGCCGTCACAGCCCAGGCACCGGCAGCATCATAAGGAGTCCTGGACCCCCTGCTCCCTTCTCTTTGGATCCTGGATCCTCCCGTTTCGTGCGTCTGGGTGATCGTCTTCGCTCCGCTGCTGCTGCTGCTGCTGCTCTGGCACCTGCAATCTGCACAATCTGCGTTTCCCACCCCCCCATCCATCTCATCTCCATGCCCATCTGCATCTCCGTCTGAGCCTGAGCCCGACCCTGAAGATCTGCTCATTCAGTAGCGCCACGTCTTCAGCACTGGGCTGCACGTTACAGCACCCGCCAGCACAGCACATACGGCGATCAGGCGCTTCCCCAGTACTCGTTCGTACTCCAGGGCGCCTTTGCCGCTGCTCACAGCCCAGCCCAGGTGTTATTTTTGGCGGTCCAGAGCGTCTGCCGCGCTGAAACTCGTCGCCTAAAGCACCTTCTCCTGCTCCTGCAACCTGCACCTTCGCCTTCGCCGCTCTCGCCAGTTCATCGCTCGCTCTCCTTTCCACACCTCGGCCTTCGTCCCTCCTCTGTCGACGCTCCTCCTTCTATCACGCAACATCGTTCTGCCTGCCTGTCGCCTAAATTTTCTTTCTCTTCTTTCCATTTCTGGCCTTTTCATCTTTGTGACGACTTTCTTCCTTTTGACCGTCTTTTTCTTCTTTCTCTTTCTCTGCGCACTTCTCTCTTGTCACGGCTCCTTTCTTCCACACCTCACGCAATTTCACCTCTGGGGCCTCTCGAGACGTGAAACTGTCGCAAAACCCCCCTTATTCCTCCTCTCTTGACGATACATACCACTACTCGCTCCCCCACGCCCCAATCGAACGGCGAGCTATCGAATTCCTTCATTCCAGTGCACTCGACGAACGGCATTTTCCAGCGGACAGCCACTTGGCTTCTTTTTTGACCTTGTTATTTTCTTCCTCATTGGAAACTTTTGGGTGGATTTTTCTCTACGGTCGGTCTGGCACGGCTTCTCTCTCACCGGTGTCCTGGTTTCGCATTCGCCTCCTTAAACACGCCACTTCTACTTCCATGCTGGACACCGCATACGTCAATTGAAAGGCATTCGTGATACGGGGACGTGCCCTCTAGCCGTCCAACATGTCTTTCCCCGTCGCGCTCCAGTCGGCCATCTTCTACCTGCTCGCCTGCACACCATGCGCCGAAATGCGGCATCGGCACAAGGTCAAGGACCAGGCCAAGAAGGAGCGGGTGGAAAAGGCGAAGCTCGAGACGTCGCAGCCCGGCCTATATCGACACCCATCACCGTACAACACCAACCCTTACTGGCAGGAGGAGATCAACATGGGACCCAGCCTACCGAAGAAGTCGACGAGCAAAAACTCGAGCCAACGGGGCCTGATGAGCGCGGGAGGAGAAATCAGTGCCCTCAGCCTGTCGGGACGCACAAACACGGGCGACAGCCACCTCACCAATTACGAAGACAGCACCTTGGTAGTATCACAGGACGGCATCCTGTCCGACGACTGGAATTCGCGACATGGATATCAGCGCGAGGATGAGGAGCTGTGGGGGGCGGACTGGTCCGGCCACAAGATCAAGGACGCCTTCTCCAAGGCGAGGGATTCCGCCGGACGATTGATTGAGTCCACGCTCGGCATGGACAAGGAAGTCACAGAAGAAGACCGCCATGCCTTTTACGCGGCCCCGAGAAACCCACCCGTCAACGACTTACACCCGCCCGTCGTCAGCAGCAAGCTCCCCCACAGAGAGGCTCACAAGTGGATGCTGCAACCACCGCCGTCCGCCAAGGTCATGGAAGGCAAGGTGCCCGTCAGCAGAGCCATGAGCTCCAAGAGCTCGAGCAGTAGGACAAGCGGCCGGACCGTTGCGGCAGGCGAGGAGAAGCTGGCTCGCCAACTTCAGGAGAAGCTTGTCAGGGAGAGGATCATGAAGGAGATGCCTACCGAGACCGAGCTCATCGACTCACTGTTTGTGACCAGAACGAGGAGTGTCCGATCCGACATGACGCGCACTCGCAGCCTGTCGTTCGACGGCTCCAGCGAGGCTCTGGACGGAAGCAACCCCTCGTTTGAGAGACGCAAGCGGAGCAACCGCCTGAGGGCCCTGGCCACCCCTCCTGGATACGAAGAGTCCGAAGACGAATTCGAGGACATTTTCTCACAACAAATCACAAAGACGACCAGCCGCACCAGCCAGACTGGGCACGCATCGCAGCGGCCGAAGCTGGAAACCATCAACAGCAGTGAAAGCAACAGCCGTTCGCGATCCAAAAGATCGAGGCGGCGGAAGTCGACCAGATCCAAAAAGACGCTGGCAGGAGCCGACTCACCTGTTGGAGACGACTCTGACTAGAGGATGCACCGCGTGAGGTGTTTTGCGACGAATCAAGGCAATCGAGCATGCTGCTGAGTAGATCGGCGCAACGTTTTTGCTCGTGTCTTTTCTTCGTTGACTTCGCTTTGCTGCCTTTCTGCCGTTCACTTGCACATTTTCTTTGACATTGCCTTTTCATGTTTTCTTTCTGCCACTGAATTGTCTGTCTCGCTTCTGTTCACGCATAGCACACACACACACACACACACACATGGGCGCTGGGGGAGGGGAGGCACGCTTGGGTAGCCTTTTGGGTTGGTATCTGCCTTTCTGTGTCTTTTTCCGGTGCGTGTTTTAAAAAGGCAAGGCGTCTTGGTTTTTCTCACTGTCTTTTGCTGTCATCTTTCTGTGTGTTTTTGGTGTACTCTTAGCAAAGACAAAAGAGGGCGAGGATTTGTATAGCCTTAGAGAGGGGGAGTTGCAGTGCTAGCTTTGCACGGGAATGACAACATTTGGATTGTTTCTTCCACCCCCACTTCCTTGGTTTTTGCGGCCTGGTGAATATGTCGACTTTCTCCTCTCGTTCTAGGCTTCCTTACTGCATCCTTGTTCCCACGATCTGGAATCTCCTTGTGTGACCCTACTGCTGTCGTGATGGAATGTTGTGAAACTAGATATATTGCCTAGAAGGGGGGGTATATATCGTCCAAGAGGACGGGTGTCCATCCAACCTAATCGAGATCCCGAGAAAACGCCAATCATGCAGCCCTTCTCCCATTGCCATCCCACTGCTTTTCGAAGACGGTATGAATCACAGATGTAAGCCGGCATCCTCCGCAGCACCATCACCACTCTCGTCCTGTCCCCGTGTCTCTGTCGTTGTCGTTGTCGTCGTCGATGACTGCGCCCCGTCCCGATTCGTCGCTGTCGGCGGTGTATTACCTTGTTGCCCAACTGTTTGGCTATCGAAGCGGACTTGCCCGTTGGATATCGTGCCCGTCTGAAATGTTCCGTCTGTCCACGCAGAATGCCGGGGTTCTCCCTCCTCTCCTTCTGCCCCCTGAGCGGTATTACTCCTAGAACTATCACCAGCTTGTGCTGCTGCTGCTGCTGCTGCTTGTCCATTGACAACCTGTTCTCCATTTGTCGTAGCCGTTGTTGCGATAGTTGTGGCTGGGTTGGTGGCCTCGGCGGTGGCATGGTTCGCTTCTCGAACTTCATCCTGGCTCTGAAACTCCGTCCAGCTGAAGCCTCGCTCTTCTACTTCGGCGCGGATAATGGCGATGCGCTCTGCCATGCGGTCTATGACGGCTTCGTTTTCCTTGATGGCGTCGATGCAGTCTTGGTCTGGCACAGTATTCGCGGAAGAAGTGTTGTTGTTGTTGGAGGAGGAGGAGGTTTCGGTGGTGTTGGTGGTGGTGGTGCCTAGAGCAACGGATGTGCCTTGTGCAAAGGGCGCGAGCTGGTCGTTTGAGTACTGGAGGTGGGCGATGGAGTTGCGGATCTCGAGGACCTTGAGGTGAAGCATGCTGAGGGAGAGGTCCTTGATTGCGGAGGCGAAGCGCGCGGGGGATATGGGGGTTGTGTCGGCGGACATGTTGGGCGGGTGTGTGTGTTCTTTTTCTCTTCTTTTTTCTCTCGTCTCTTTCAGCAATGATTTTGAGTATATACGGAGTAAGTAGAAGGAGGTCGGATGTCGCAAGCTCTGAGAGAGAGAGAGAGGAGAGAGGAGAGAGCTGTCAAGGTTGAAGTTATCATGGAGGGGCAGGCGTTTATGAGTAAGGTAGTGGGGGTGATTCTCCAAAAAGCAATGGCGTACCCCTGCCAGCCTAAAAAGCTCCCCCCAGCGTGAGTGGCGCAAGACGAAAGCAAGGCAAAGATCTCGTCCAATGCGGCGGATTTCGGCACAAGGAATTTCTTGGTGGTTGGGCAAAACTATACGCCGATAACACCGTCTCATCGAGCTTCGTGCAATTTCTCTTTGCTTGGGGCAGCCCTTTGCGGCACCCTTTGCACGCAGTTGGCGCTTGTACCAAGATCAGATTTCCTACGTATGAGAGAGAGAGATATCTAAGGCATTGATCGGCGGCAGCATGAACGGGCTCGGCTACTCGAATGCCTCGCGGTCGCTGCTGAGGGCCGCGAGGGGCATCTCGAGACAGGCTGCGGCATGCTCAATTGCCACCAGCGCAGCCAACGCTGCAGCCTCAAGATGGATCTCGTGCTGCTCCTCGCAGGCTTCAGGCAAGGGCGCGCCGAGGCAGACCGAATGGCCAGGTCTCAAGGCCTGTCGGCGGCTTGACGGCGGCCGCCGGACATTCTTTGCGCCTAAGACGATCCGAGACTACGAAGAGCTGCCCAAGGACTACCGCGACCAGACCGGGCTCGCTTTCGGCCCCAGGGACCTGTCCGAAGCAGAGGTGGACAGGATATTCGGCAAGGGCTTCGGCGCCAAAAGAGCAAACCACCTGCTGCGCATCTTGCATGGCAGGAGGGTGGCTGGCACGCTGGAGGACCCTGCGTTTGCGATACACACGGCGCAGTTCTCGGACGAAGAGATAGCCAGGGCGTTGGCGTATCTGCGGAAAACGGTGCCGGTGGAGGAGATTCGGAACGCGGGCCTTCGAGCCGAAGACGAGCTGGAACAGATGGAGCTAGAGATGCAGAAAGCGGCTGAGAAGAAGGCCAAGGCGAGCAAGAAGGACAGCAAGGAAGACCAAGAGGAAGAGGAGGGGGAGGATTCCGCCGATGTGTACAAGCCCGATCCCATCTACGGACGCTCCAAAATCGACGAGATGCGAGCCCGCAACAGAGCCAGAGAAAAAGCCAGAGAAAAGGCTCTCGAAGAGGAGCGCAAGGCAAAGGAAGCGGTCGAGGGCATCTCAGGTCCATTGGCGAAGCCAGAAAACCAAGTCCGAGAAATCACCAACCCTCGCGTGGCGGAATACTACAAGGCTGCTCAGTCCGACCTCGAGGCGCCGCCGGAGATGAAGCCCTGGGAGCGGATTCTGCCGTCTGCCACCGTGGTGGCCCTGGTGCTGGGCTTCATCGCCGCCGTCGCCATGGTCTACGAGGAGCCGGCGCCGCGGTACAGGCTGTTCCGGGAGGTGTCGACGTCGCACGCTACCGTGGGAGCCCTCATCGCCATCAATGCCCTGGTATATCTGGGCTGGAGGATACCGCCGCTGTGGTCTCTCTTCAACCGCTACATGATCTTTGTCGTGGCCACTGTCCGACCCATTACGCTGTTCACCGCGGCGTTTTCGCATACCAAGCTTAGCCACCTGTTGGTCAACATGGTGCCCCTTTGGTTCGTCGGAACGTGCCTGCACGACGAGATTGGACGCGCGGACTTCCTCGCCCTCTATCTCGGATGCGGCTCGGTGGGCTTCCTCGGCAGCTTGATCACGTACACGCTCAGGGGCTGGCTGACGGTAACGTCTCTCGGCGCGTCGGGCGCAACGCTGGGGCTGTGCTCGGCCTACTTTTGGGAGCATCGCACGGATGGCTTCAAGATCTTTGGGCTGCCGCAGGATGGTGTCCACGGCATCGTCTTTCTGGCGCTCATCGCGGCGGTGCAGTTGACCGGCCTGGGGAAGACGGTGAAGCTTAAGGTGGACATTGCTTCCCATATCGCCGGTATGATTGCTGGTATTTTGGGGATTGAGCTCCTGAATAGGACAGAGAGGAGGAAGACGCCGCCGGGAGAAGACAAGGCCGTGATAGACATTTTGTCTGGGGAGACGGAGAACCGCGAGGCAGTAGTAGCTGACGAAAGGAAGTAGATGGTCTGAAGATAGAAAGCTGTATCCATGTAGCAACACCACTTTTCTGTTTTATTTGCATGGCATGGCGTGAGGAGATTGGGGATATATGAGGCCTTTCGAGAGCACTGCAAAATTGATATGTCAGATGATTTGCATGTCCCGTCCCATCTTCGTCTACAGAGCCCCAGCTGATGTCTTGTTTCCGCGATAAGGGACTCTATCGAGTCAATTCCATATCAGTTTATGCGCAGTTGAAGTATTAATTTTGTAGATATATTGACAATGGTCCTCTGCATATAGCCGAAGACGCCTTGCAGGTGATGAGATGCGGTACGTACTCGGTCCCTGTACCTGCCCTCTGCCCTGCTGCAGCCCTTCGTCATCGCTGGTGACACCGGCAGCCCAAGGTTGCAGAAACGGAAACAGCCCCACCATCGAAAATGCGACCCTGGGTCGCTGATTCCCAAGTTCCCTTAGCGCAGCTGCAGTTTCCGGGCAACGACAGCGTCATAACAGACCACCTTGGCAGGAACGAGCCCAGCGGGCCCCACTGAAGAAGGTGCGCTGATGAGCTGGCAGGCGCTGGGCTCGCTTTCTTGGGGGGTGGGAAGGTGCACATCAATGCGAGGAAGAATGGAAGGAATGACGATATGCCTTTGCTCTTCTATTCTGTCTTCCTTGCTTCCTTCTTCTTCTGCGACATGCAGATTGTGTGCAGGTACCTACATACTGATGACTTGAGATCGATTTCTCCGAGCTTGAGAAACTTTCACCTTTTTTTGCTTCTTGTGAACTTGGAGTGAACCTTGAGGTTGTTGCTGCTGTTATTTCATCTGCTTGTCAAAGCTTTGCTCGCCTCATCGCTACCGCCGGCCACATCAGACTTCTCAGCAGGGCTGCCCAATTGGCCACACTCAAGGCCTCGCTTTTCTGCTTCATCTGCTTCTGTTATCTCCCGAATCGTTTAGGCTCTGAGGCGACACACGAATGAACGCGCTTGACGCCACCAATTCGACCATTTCCGTTACAGATACTGCCACCAGCTTGTGACAAAGCCTCACCTAGAAATTGCTGCCAAACCTTCTTGAGTTCGAGTGCCCAACCTATTCCCTACAGACCCTCGCCAAACCCAAAAAGTCTGTCGGAGGCGAGGCTGCCAAGGCGACGCTGTCCGTGACCTGGTCTGCAGACTTGTAAGCCTCAGCCCGCTTCTGGTGAACCTCCTTCACGCACAAGGTGAACTGAAACCCATAAAAAGGGCTCCCCCCTACCGTCTGCAACGCCCCACGCAGCGCTAAGATTGTCGCTGCACGTTCGCGTGCCGGGTTTTAGAAACAGCCAGCTGGAGATTTGGCTGCAGGTTGGGGTATTTGGCGGCGGCCCTTCTTTGTGTTTACTGGCTCGGGTCTTGTCCCTTCTGCCCACCTCCCGGATCTCCGCATCTGGTCCTGCAAAAACCTTGGGACGCAAAGCCGCCTCAAATTCGCTCTTGAACCTTTCACCAACGCGTTTGCTCCCGACTCGAGGCAGCTGGACCGAAGCAGAGTTCAAAGCTCAAGAGACAGGACAGTTTTGAACAAGAGATTTACACACAACAAAGGAAGGGGGGCTTTGCGCAACTGCGAGATGGTCTAGTCTGAGGTCGCGGTGCACCTGGCTTTTTCTCTCTTTGACGACCTCGCGCGTCGGCGGCTGCTACCCTTTTTTTTTTTTTTTTAAACCCCCTGCATCTTTTCTTCTTCCTTCCCACAAAAGCGGACGACTTCCGATTCAGCGACGCCATGGATGGGAATTCAAGTCCTCTATCCTCGCCTCCCGGCTCTTTGCGCGACTCTACCCCGTCGTCGCCTCTCTCGACACTCTCCAGCACACCCTCCTTACCAGATACCGCCGCCTCTGCGCTCGACCCTTCACGGCGTTATCCTTCGCCCATGTCTACGATCGCCTCAGGAGCCCAGTCTCCCAGACTATCTGCTACCATTAGCCTTGGCCAGCCCGTGTATGACAACGAGTCCTCCAAGAGTGCGGATGACGATCAACCTCCAGCAAAGCGACGCAAGGTCTATCAACCTAAAGAACGCACAACCGAATACCTGAACTACTTGAATAAGGAGGACAAGGATATGACGGAAGCCGAGAGGGCTCAGGAAAAGAGGCTGGTTGCGGCGTTGAGGAAAAAGAAGAAGATTGTCGTCATTGCCGGCGCGGGCATTTCCGTCTCGGCAGGCATTCCCGATTTTCGCTCGTCTTCTGGCCTTTTTGCGCGTGCCAAGAACCAACACAAGCTTAAAGGCTCAGGCAAGCACCTGTTTGACGCGTCTGTCTACAGGCATGATTCCTCAACGCAGCATTTCCACGCCATGGTGCGGGAGATGGACGAGTTGTCCAAGAAGGCGACTCCCACGCATTTCCACCGCCTGCTCGCGTCATTGGCCCAGGAGGGACGACTGATGCGGCTATACTCCCAGAATATCGACGGACTCGACGCAAATATGAAGCCGCTGGCGACCGAGATACCGTTGCCTCTCAAGGCTCCCTGGCCGGCTACCATCCAGCTGCACGGTGGGCTGCAGAAGATGGTCTGCAGCAAATGTGGCCACCTGGCACCGTTCAACAGTGAGCTGTTCGACGGCCCCGAGGCTCCATTGTGCGAGGCGTGCACGGTTGACGACCAAGTCAGAACAAGGCATGCAGGCAAGCGAAGCCACGGAATTGGACGTCTCAGACCCCGTTTCGTGCTCTACAACGAATACAACCCCGACGAAGAAGCCATTGGCAACGTTTCCAGTGCCGACCTCAAGGCTCGACCAGACTGTGTCATTGTTGTTGGCACTACCCTCAAGGTTCCGGGCACGAGGAGACTGGTCAAGGAAATGTGCCAGGTGGCCAGGGGGCGGAGAGATGGCCTCACAATCTGGATCAATACCGACGCAGAACCCAAGGATGCGCTGTTCAAGGACTGCTGGGATCTCGTTGTCCGATCTCCGTGCGACAAAGTGGCCCAGCTCGCAGCGCTGCCCGAATGGGACTGCGACATTGGCAATGACTTCCTGGTGTCCGCGGAACAGGATAGCCAGAACCAGGAGCGGCTCAAGAACACCAAGCTGGAGGTCGCGCTCCCGTCCAGCTCTCCTGATCTCCACCATGATCTCGGCCAGGAGGCCATACCCACGCCACGACCCAGCCCCAAGCTGGCGGCTAAGAAGCAAATCAAGCTCGCTCTCGGAAGGGAGCCTCCGCAAAATGACAAGCCCACCAGGGCGGCCACGAAGCCCCGCGCCAGGAAGCCGAAGCAGCCCGCCAAACCCAAGGCACCTCCTAAAAACGTGGTTACTGAGTTGTTCAAGACGGGCAAAAGCTTCTCTCAGGGAAACAAGGACAAAAAGTCTCCCCGCACACCGCTACCATCAGCACCGAATCGAAAGGCTATCAAGGTTGAGCCTCAGACCTGTTCTTCAGCCACATCCCTGAGCAATCCGAATGCTTTATCATCCTTCAGTTCCGCTGCGCCCACGCACAAGAGGCCGAGGGAGACGATATCTCCCACATCTGTACCCAAAGGCATGCGCGATCTACTCCATTGATGAGTCTCTTTAATCCAGGCAACGCGAACGGTGTTCATGAAGCATATGTGGCGTTGATGTAACGACGATTCTCTTTTAGCAATACGAGGGCGAGCAGTTGACAGGCAATCACCAGGATAATCGTGATAAGGGTATATGTCAGTATCTGCATGTCTGGGCCGGGCCATGGCTCGGTCTAGGGACTAAAATGCATGGAAGGTTTATCGGTTAACTGATGGCCCTGATACACATGAGACTTGCTTACTAGGGGTAGAGGAAACCGACCGATGTCTAGGGATGTTGACCAGACGACATCGAGAGTCTGGCTGTCACTCATGCCAGGAAGGAAGATGCAAAAAGCAATATAATACAATCATGATTCATCAAATACGGTTGACTGCCATCGCTGTGGAAACACAGACAAAGTTCCATTTTCTTTACACCTTGTTGACATGGCCGATTCACGCCTTGTACGGATTCCAGAATAGTCCATCGCCATTCCACTTGGCATGTAGCCGATCCAGCTCCGCCAGCTTCTCCTCAGACAGCAGGTCCCGGCGTCCAGGGAGGAACTTCATCGCGCCCGGAAAGGTCCTCGGGGGAAGGCCGTCTTCTTCATCGGCCTTTTGCAGCTTCGCCAGGGTTTCGTCATAGAACACGGCGAGCGCTTCCTGGGTGGCGAGCTCCTGGCACCACAACACCCCCAGGACATTGATGCCTCTGTTGCGAGCCTCGAGGAATTTGCCCGCGTGCTCGGGCGTGGCGCCGAGCTCGGTAGACTTGCGCGGGTTAGAGCTATGGAACATGACGGCGCTGCGAGAGGCGTCGGGGTATCGACCCGTCTCGGCCACGTAGCGTGCGTAGGCGTCCTTGAGGGCCTGAGGCGAGACACGGGCGAGGCGGGCGGCGAACATGGTCTTCAGGCCGCCGTGGGCGTTGAGGGGCTCGGTGTAAGCGTTGACACCGGGGAAGGGGATCTGGACGGTGTCCGTCTTGAGGGCTTTTGAGACGAGGGACGGGCGGCGGAGGGATGCGCCTGCGGGGGAGGCCTCGGCTTCCCTGGCTGGACCGTAGTACGTGCATGTGAGGACGAGGATGGGGGTTCCCGCCATCGGGGTGCCAGGGGGGCCACGGGAGAAGGCGAGAATCATGTTCATGGGCTCGGGAGGGGGGGCGAAGGCGAGGAAAGTGTTGACGGCGGAGTCGATGGCGTCAAGGGGCAGGATGACGGTGCGGTTCCAGATGCTGGGCGTGGGATCCTGGCTGCTGGTAGGGGAGAGCCCGAGGGAGCTGAGGGGGTAAACGCGCATGGTGGCTCTGAGGACGACGCAGAGCCCGTGGCCGACGCCGCAGAGGGCGTTGAAGAGGGCGCGCTCTTCGCTCTCAGAGGAGGAGGAGGATCCGCCGACGTCGAGGACGTCTCCGGCGGCGGTGACGATGCGGAAGGAGACGGCGCTGTCGGCCATCCAGCCGACGATGCCGTTGACGGAGGTGTTGCCGCCGCCGAGGAGGCCGCCGACGACGCCGACTGCGTTTGAGTTGACGACGGAGGTGAAGTAGCCCTCGTCGGCGAGGTGCCGTATCAGTTGGCCCGTGAGGACGCCGCCTCCGACGACGACTTGGTCATTGAGGTTGTCGAGCTCGATGGCGTTGAAGTTTCTCAGGTCGAGGTAGAGCGTCCTGGAGGTGATGGGGACGGCGGAGCCATGGCCGCCTGCGACGGGGAGGACGACGAGGTTGTTGCTGCGGGCAAATGTGATTGCCGAGACGACGTCTTGTTCTGTGTCTGGGACGGCGATGAGGGCTGGCGGGGAGGAGACGAGGGTGTCTGACCAACGGGAGAGGAGGGCGGTGGCGGAGGAGTTGGGGTCGGGGATTGTGTGGGCAAAGGTGAGGAGGTTTGTGTCTTTGAAGGTGGAGGTGGTCATGTTTGCTTTTGGTGTTGAGAGAGAGCTACTATAAGGGGGGGTGGTTTGATGTGTTGAGGCGGTGAGATGAGACTCTACAATAGGAGCATCTCAAGAGGCTGGTTCGGTGAACATGGGCTTTGAAGGAGATTTATAAGTGAAGAAATCTAATGCTGGTTTGTTGTATGGTTGGCGTCTGACGGGAGAGGCAAGCAAGCAAGCGAGCAAGCAGGTTCGTGGCCATGCATAATGAAACCTTACGAGGCGGACATGATAAGCACTTGTCGTTTGAGCATCAGCCACTAGAGGCTGACTTTATGATGACAACGAAGCAACCATCATGTTTTGAGCTATGAACTTACGTATGGGCTGCATAGGTAGGTAGAAAAAAACGACAAAGCCCCCCTTGGAGCTCCCAATTGCTCAAAGGCGTAAATAATACTTCTCACCACTCTTGGTGCTGTACTGCTTCTCGGAGCTCCCAAGCGTATATCGATCGACAACGTCGTCAAGCCACCGAATCATATGCCGTCAGCGGCAGAACAACATGTGAAAGGCAGATGACAATTCATTTCCTTACCCAAAATAACCCCCCCCTTCCAAAAACACAACACAAACAAAAAACACAAATAGAGAATAACTTTTCCCCCATCTCTGACAACAAAAGAGAATCCTCAGTACTCGTTGCGCAGCTTAAAGTCGCCCGGCGAAACAAGTCTCCTCCCCAGGGGCGTCATGTCCAACAGCGTCAAGGTAGGCTGCACCTTTTCGCCGCCCCTCATAAACGTCGAATACGTATGATAAATCTCCCCATCCTGCTTCAAGAAGACGCTGAAGCCAGGAACATCCCCCTTGAAATCCGGCTTGAACCGCGCGTCGTCCTGGTTGAGCTCTGCGAAATTGTACTCCTTGGGGCATCTCTCTTCGTCCAGCGTCGCGTGGAAGTCGTAGTTGAAGTCTGATTCGCCGGAGGAGTACCATGGAAACGTCCATCCTGCTCGTTTCTTGTACGCTTCAATCTTGGCGATGGGCGCGCGGGAGACGGCGACGAGGTTCGTCTGCTTGGAGCGCAGGTGGCGGACGTCTGGGAGGGATTCGCCCATGTGGGTGCACCCGGGACAGCCTGCGTCGTCTTTGGGGCTGAACATGAAGTGGTACACGATGAGTTGGTCCTGGCCGTCAAAGAGGTCGTCGAGGGAGAGCGTCTTGTTGCTGCCAGGGCCTTGGAAGAGGTAGGGCTTGTCAATCTTGACCATGGGCAGGGCGCGGCGCTCGGCGGCGAGGACGTCGCCTCTGTGGGTGAGGTCTTTTTCTTTGGCGAGGAGGGCTCTGCGGGCGGTGAGCCACTCTTCGCGGTTGACGACCTGGTGTTGTTCATGGTAAGTGTGTTGTTGTCGTGTGTTGAATTGTTGTGAGTTGACTTAACTTTGCCTGGCATGTTTGCTTGGATGATAGTGATGAGAGAGGCTGTTGAACGTTTCGATTAGAGCTGTATTTAAGTACCTGGAGTTGAGTCTCTTTAAAGCTCGACTCTTGATGAGCCCCTATGAAAAGGAAGACCTCCCCTTTTCGACCTTATATCGACAAATAGAGCAAAATCGCCACAGCCTCTCATCCCCAGCCATGTGCATGTTCCACGTTCACTAATCACCACATCGAGTAAATCTTGCTTTCCTTCACCACTCCTCCATCAGTTTCACGCCTGTGGCGCTTTCACATAGGGAGAACTTGCAACCGGCCTCTTCAGCTCGGGGGTTTTCGAGGCCGCTACCAAAAGCCAAGTTTTGGGATATCAGTGGCGGCGTCCCATCTCAGACTACCTGCCTAAAGAGGCGCTTTGCGGAAATGGTGATTGGCTCCAGGTATATGCATCGGTGAGGGGAACTGGGGGAGTTCGTGATGGTTCTGGTGGTAAATAGGGGGGAAATGTCACGGCAGGTTTGCATATGCGTGTAGGTCTAATTGAGGTGCTGAAGATGCACTACTTCATGATGGCAATTTCTTGGAGCACAGTGAAGATGCTGTTTGATTGTGTCAGGACATTGCGACGTAATGATGATTGAATGACATGTAGGGGCATATAAAGGGGCAACTTTAAGAGAGCCTTCGAGCGTAATGAGCTACCAATCACTTGTCATTTTGTGATGGTTTTGCTTGCCTCTCATTGCCAATGTAGCATCATCAACATAATCTTTCTGTCTAGGGATTCGAGGAGTCGACGGCGGTCTGCTGTGATGCCATATGCCCGATAACTTGGCCAACAAATGAACAGACATATGACTTGCATCCTTCGACTCGAAAGATAGTGGCAGTTCAACCTCTGGTATTCATCTTATTCTACTTTGACAGAACAAAGTTCACCTTTCAGTCAAGCGATCAACCATCGATCATGTCTGCCACATGAGCCGTCCTACTTCAGTCGATCCATTTAGCTGTATATTCAACACCCCGTTGATGCCAGGGTTTGACCCAGCCTTGTTCACAATCCCTTCAATTTATCTTGGGAAGCACGAGGGCTCATGACCTTTTGAGTTGGGCATGAGCAAAGGTGATGTGATGTGTATCGAAGACGTTGACAGATGATCTGTTGAAAACGGCGTCTATATGTCTATGTGGCGTAAGCCAGCACACAACCGCCCATTGCATGAAGGCACAGGCATCCATGGTCGTCAAGTCCCCATACTGATTGATGGAAGTGACGTTCGTCTTGCTTCCCAGCGCCGCCATATGTCGATGGGACGCCAGCCCCGTGATCTCGCCGTAGATAGACCAGTCATCTCTGGCAGTAGGTCCATAGTCAATATTCACCGAGAAACACGAAATTGCTGCTGAGGGACACCGGGAAGGGACCTGTTCGGGACAGTCATGCTTGAGCTTTCTTCCTTTGTTGGGATGGTTCAAGACACCCATTGTCAGAGGATTCCGCGTAACGTGGTCCTGCGGCTGGTCGTTTGCTACGGCGTAGCTTCACTGTGAAGACGTCAGACGAATGAAGGCAGCATCGAGCAATAAACAGAAGGGTTACTTGCTTGCTGTTGGCTGCTATATTCTCCTTGGCGTGTTGCTTGCGCCGGGCAGCAATAGCTGCAACCTGCTCCTCTGTCAAAAACTGGTCCCATGTGGCCGCTTATGAAAGGAAGTATGGGTGCAAGCCAGCCCCTGCCTTCTTTTCTGACAATATGTTCCAGATTTCTTCTCACTTCTCATGACGGTGTCTTGTAAAAATTCCATTTCTTCCCTCTGCATTGCCCTATGGGCTGACATGATACCAGTCTGTGTTTTTCTTCTTCTCTTTTTCGAGCTATTCTGGCGCTCTTGTCGAAGACCTGTCAGATCTCCGATGGCGAGGACATATCAACGTCTGCTTCGTCACTGAACGGTATAACATTATGGAGGTCTAGTCCAATACTTTCGAGACAGTCAGACACATCTTCGACTTCGACCAGTACTACCGCAATGAACGCACTGGATATTCTGTTGCCAGGTTAATGTAGCAAGCTGGGCATAGGGCTAGGGGGAAAGTGTGCGGTGATGGAGAGACGTGCTCGAGAGGTGTGATTCGGAGACATACCAGTTCGGAACACGGCGTCCAAGCCACTGATTTGTGGCTTCGATGATCTGCAAGGTTGTTTCAAACGAGGGTTGAGGCATCTAATTCATGATATTAGTATGTCGTGCAGAGCGCAAAGAGCAGAGCGCAGAAAGGAAGACGTGACAAAATGAGTACATATAGTGGCACCAGGGCAGACAGCTTGAAGACGAAACGAGGATAAAACGCCGTGGTCAATGTAAACCGGCCGGGTCGACTGCAGCTGAGCCACAGCAGGTCTCGCGGCTGGGTCTCCAGGATCGCAGGGTCCGAAAGAGCTGACGATAGCTCATCAGAAGCAGGTGACGCCTTGCAGGGCCATCCGCAGTATGAGCAGGTGTCTATCGATAGGTCGGCTTAGTCTAGGTCGGACCTTGTCTTGCAGAATTCCAAGGTAGACGGGGATGGTGACAAAGGCATCGAGGAGGATGCAGAGAGGTCGAATGCCCTTCGTCATGAAACGGAGAAGTTGCTGCCGTGAAAGGCCATGTATGGCTGCGGCTGGGAATGTTATAGATGGAATAGAGGGATGTTGTGGATGAACTCAAGGAATGTGGTCAAAGATATATCAATAGCTGTCCAAGCGCGGCCGTTTGCAGGACGTATTAAACAACAATGTTTGGTCAGCAAGACACAACCTAGACGGACGAAGTCGAAGCAGTTACCCTGTTGTAACGAGACATGACGAAGAGGTAAAAAGAGAAGAGGAGGATGGGAGAACAAGTAGAGGGGTCGAGCCATCTTCATGAATATAAATGGGCAGATGCCTTGTGAATCAAGAAAGTAAGCTCCTGGAGTGCCTGAGCAGAAGGCGCGGCCATAATATCTCTGTCATACAAAAAGAGCGCCTGTGGAAGTATCAGGCATTGTCAACTGGCAATTTGGCCATTCTCATTGCAGACGTCTGTTCATTCTCTCACTCAAGGCCAGTTCGCTCCATGCTGTTCAACTCAGTGGCTTTGCAGTAGCCATGTGAGATCTCGTGTCATGGCTAGACAAATGTCTATACGCCAATCATGGACAGCCATAGGCAGAGCCTACTCAACCTGCTTCCAGAGATTCTCCAGCTGCGCGATCCGCACCCAGTCCTCCGTCCGATTCGCATCCGAAAGCCCCTGAGTAAAACTATTCCAGTACTGCTTCGATTGCGCCCCATAGCTCGTGTTGAACCACCCAAGGCTGCTATTCCCATGCCTGTGCCCGTCCCCGTTCCCGAATATCGTCGCCATGCTGTCCATGCCGCTGTACCGGATGCTCAGCATCCCGTCGGAAAAGGCCGTCTGCCGCTTAATGTCCTGCATCGTCCGGATCAACTCAATCTGGGAGATTGTCGCCTCGTACACCTGAAACCTCTGCACGCAGCACGTCTTGAATTGCGCCAGCGCAGCCTCCGATTCTTCGGACCCGGGGTCACCTGCTCTGCAGACTTCGAGCCACAGGTCGCGCATCCGTGGCGACCAGATCTGGCAGATTGTGGCCTGCTCCATGTACTCGCCATTGATCGGCAGCGACTCTCCAAGCGGCGTCTGATAGACAAAGTCGACGAAGCACTCGTGGCAGAAGAGGGCCTCGGGATATCCCCACCACCTCGCCTTGCCGCTCCCCTTGATCCGAGGACAAGCAGGCACGCCGGCAAACGTCATGATAAAGTCTGACAGGTACGAGAAGACGCCGCGGTCCAGCATCTCGCCAAACTTGCACATGTACTGCGAAAAGCGCGGGCTCGCGGGGCAAAAGTCGCACACGTAGGCAGTGTACGTGTCTCGATCCGACAGCTGAAAGAAGCGGTCCAGGTCCCTCGTCTGGACAAAGCCGGCGTAGCACGCCTCGCAGATGTTGAACTTTTCGCATCCCGGAATCGTCCACCAGTTGCCGTAGAGGATTCCGTCTGCCGTACACGGAACGAGGCTGCAGATGATCTGCTCCGCCTTTGCAAAGACTTCGAAATCGCGTCTGCTCAGCGCTGCCTCTAATGCCGTCGCTGTCGACAGATTCTTGTCTGTTAATCGGCACGGCCACATCTCTAGATCCGTGTGATCAGACAGGCGTTGAAACTCTTTCCTGAAAGGGGTCAACGCCAGCTTGTCCAGATAGCACGTCTCGCAGACTTGAAACTTGTCGATTCCGTAGTACTTTGATATATACCAGGGCATGGCATCGGACCGTATCTGCTCGCCCGTGCACGCTGGAAGTCGGAGACGACGACGAGCGGCACCCACGAAGCCGTTCCAGTTATTGTGCTTGGACATGGAAGCAGCAGCACTCGAAATGTAGGGGATGCTCATGTCGCAGCTCCATTTCGTGATGACCCCCTCGGGATAAGTGCCGAAATAAGACTGAAAAATGGTCCCAGCTATGTGGTCCTCGTAGCAAGCCTCACACGCAACAAACCCATCAACCTCGCCGCCCACCATGCCATAGAGGAGTCTGCCCCCGGTGTCCTCAGTTAAGACTTGCCCAGGACAGCGCTTGACCTGTAGACGCCTGGTCATGAATTCACGCAACGGATTCACATTGTTCGTTCGAATGGCCTCGGGCCAAAGGACTTGCTTCACTCGAGGAAATCGAAACCCGCAGGCAGCAACTTCGCCGGCGGGCCACTCTATCCGCTTGAACTGAACTTCAAGATTCGTTCCTTGGATGTGGTCGGCATGGCATCTGGCACATATCAGGTAGTCTGCCGCGTCATCGAATACGTCCGGAAGATAGTACCATGTCAGCGGATAGCTGATAGCCCGGCCTTTGGGGCATTCTGGCATGACCTCTAGCGGAGGTCCAGTTCCTCGCACTGGATCAGGCGGTCGAGGGCCATCTTCCTCGAGTTCGTCTGGGGAAAGTGGGCTTGATCTGTGTTCGCCCGGGTGAAGCTCAAGGTCGCTCAAGTCTTCAGTGGCATCGTCAAACGGGTCGAATCGAACTGATGGTCTCCCAGCCATTGCCCTTACATTGACCTAGCGTCGCCGAAATCAACCAGCCGTACGCAAGAAAGAGAGAGTCCTGGTTGTAAAGTCTCATCAGCAGGTGCAGAATACCTACGAGCAGATTGCGATATTTACCTGGCAGGTCTGTTCAGCCTCGATATGGCGGGCCAGCTGCGGCTGAACAGTCGACAACTGCAAGGCAGAATCTTCATCGTGCCCAAAACGGACAACTACTCCGCATATCCGAATGCACATCTACATGTCCGGACACATATGCGTGCGTTTTCAGGACATGACGTGGCATGCAGGCAAGTAACAGGTCGCTTTTGACACTCCCAACGCCATGCACTTCGTAACTAAGAAATAGTCGACCATTGGCGACTGTTGCTCCCATTTAGCCGAGATATGCAGTAGAAATCAATAGTTCCAATTCCCACGCAGTTTTGCGGCTTGGCTTATTTTCAGAGCTTTCAACATTGTCAAATTCCCAATCTCACATCCTTAGCCTGCTGCGTGCTGGTCAAGAGATGTCTGAAGCTCGACTCATTGGGTAGTGGCAAATAGCTGCCCAAATTGTGCTGTGTGAGCACAGTCCTTCTGGCTTTTGTGCCACCACCACTGTAAGACTTCAGCTGATGAGATTTGATATCCGATCAGACTGAAATCTAGGAATGGTTGTCGAGGGGCGCATATTGTCCACAGCTAGATAGATCTGCAGACTGTTGCATCGCACTCGTAAACTGTCCTTCAGGTCGCAGAAATAGCCGACGGGAAGAGCAGCAGGTAGACTCCGTAGGTTGAAAGAGGCTCATGTCTTTATATCCAGTGGATTTGCTGAGCTTCTTGTCTGCCTGAGAACCCGCATCACTCAATATCGCCTTGATGAAGTCCAGCGTCCTAGTTCGGGGAATTCTGGAGACTGAAACCGTGGCCATCTGTACGAGTATTCCTGCCGCATTGTCATATTGCTCGACATTCAGTCTTCATGTAGGTGCAGGTATCAGAGACAAGGGCGAACCGTCTACCCCAAATGCCTACTCGACAGCTGTCTAGCATCTAGATAATCTCCTCACCCAAAGGCAGAGCTCGGTGGCGCGAAGAGCACGAACTGTCACTTGAAGAGGCCTCCGTGAAGCTATCGCGACGTTGCGTTGAACCCAAACCTAGATTCCCACAGCGGGATCAGAGCAAGGTCGCTTGGCACCTGATCGTCCATCGTACCGTCTCGTCGGTTAACCTTTCCATACTGGCGGTTAAGCTGCTTAAACATCAACTTTGTCAAACCCAATAGCCGCGGTCGCTTATTGGTACGGTATCTTAGTACCTGTCGTTTGGAGTCCGTTCCCCGCGTGCAAGTGCCGTTGTTTTGCAGGAGGAGCCATTGAGTGTCTTGGTCAGAGTCAGCGGCAGCTCGACTATCCGAGAGCTTTCCGAGGGAAAAGATCAGTTCAGCATGCTGATTGGCTTGTTTCTGCTCGCACAAGGGCCAAAGAGAGTGATAGATAGGCTATTCCATTCCAAATGCATGTCTCAAGGGCGGCCGTTGTAAGCTTAACCAGCCCACCTCCTTAGTGAACCGATCAATAACAGTGAGGAGTTGAACCGCCCTAACGAACGCCTTTTACCCCAGATGACAGCAGAAGTCTCGCCCTCCTGACTCCCGCAAGGCTGATAAGCGAGGAGAGTATCTTGCTATTTCCGGTCCCAACCTGCCGGAAGTTAGACATCCACATCTCCGCAACAGCCGGCGCCATGGTAGTGTTAGTCACAAGGGGAGGCGAACAATGAGGGCAAATTCACGGCTGCCACATGAGCCTCCGTCCCCCTCATCCGCAATCAGTGTCAGCATCCAGAGGGAAGCCACTCAGACCTAAAGGGCGGTCGCGGCGATTGATAAGTACCGGCGCTAATCGTGAGTCGAAGCCTGACAAATGCTCGTGCGTCGGTCCACACCCCCTCCATCTCATGGATCGCGATAGACACAGAGACGATCACAAGGGAGTGAGCCGAAGACCCTCGGTGATTGGCTGTTGGAGCCATGTGAGCCTGGACGGTAGTTGGGATGGCTGCAAGTAGACAGCGCCCAAAGGTTAGACGGGTCGGCACTAAATCCTTTGCTAATTCGAAAAAGTCGACTTCTTGGACAGCTGCCAAGGAACAAAGCTCGCAACTCGTCAAGCCAGGGCGTCGTTTCCCTCGTACTCATGCTGCCGGGCTTTGGGCCGTCGAACAGAGGCGTTGCTGGCGATGCTCGATACAGGCTCGAGTCTCTAGCCACCTATAGGCCCTGTCAGCCGTGGACGTTGCTAGGCCCGCCAAAGTCCGCGTGCTTCAACAAAGAGCGTTATGCGGGGGAAGCCATAGCAGCCCGCTTACAGAGCAGAGCGAGATATCCGAGCTCCGTGGACTTTGCTCATTCGCCACTGCACCGGCTAACGGCCACCCCTCAGGCACAACGTCTGGTCGATTTCGTCCGAGCCCAGGCCCAATGGGAGCTCCAAGCTACCATGCGTGTTCAAGCATGTCAGACCTCCGGTGCTGCCCCGTGCTCTGGGCGAGCTTGATGCCGGCAAAGGTGGGGCATCCTCGGTCGTGTGATGGACAGCGATGGGTCCCGGAGACCGAAATGCGCGATCAACCGACCAAGGAGATCACCCACGCCCTTTGGCCCCCCCCCTTGTCTCTCTGGTTCCTGATGGAGGTGATAGTGGACGGCAAGAGAGGGGAGTGTGAGAGTGTGGCGACGGCTGTTGTAAAGGCCGGCACGCCTGACTTGGTCATGCAGGCACCGCGATCGGAGCGGTGGCATTATGGCGAGCACTGAGTCCTCGGCGGATCGGATTCAACGAAGACACCACGGCCTAGAAGACACTCGGCTCGAAGTCACGCGGGGAGCTGCAGATGGCGAATCAGATCGACTATCTTTCCATCGTAAAGAATCGTTCCGGATGGTTCTGTGTAGAAGCAGTGAATGGAAGCTTGGTGTTTTTATGCCTTCTCATTGTCAGGGCTTGGTATGTTCTGGCGGTTGTTCTAGCCTTGACATAGGAGCGCTGCTAGTTGATGTCTGATCGAGACGCCAAAGGTAGAGCCGCGCATGATGTTCGACTTCTTGTAAAGCTCTGGCCATTAGCAAAGCTTTTTCCTGCATTCGAAGCATTGGCGAAAGGACATTGATGTCGAGTACGGAGTAAAGGGGTTGATGTTGGCAAACGACATCACAGAGAAAGAGGCCCTTTCGATCCATCTTGCCTTAGTCATAATCAGCGAGAGGGAAGGAGCAGACAAGCTGCAAGTCGGCATCCGTTGTCTTATCTAAGCAGCCGGTGGTTTCTATCTCAAAGTGGCCTAGTGCTGTTGCCATCTTCCACCTCTCGCAGGATCAACTGTGGCGTTCAACTAGGTATGCAAGTTATGCACAACAGGCAATTAAGCGAAACGTCCTCTTTGTCGATTTTCCAAGACACTTTCCTACATTGTCTGTGGAGGTGTATCCTGTTGATACTTGTAAAGAACCAAGACGAAACATCAGGAATCCTCTGAGTCAATCGGCGACAAACCTGCAACTGCTTGAATCGTTGACATATCCGTTTGATATGATGCCGAGAGCCAGACAGGGCTCGCTGGCGGTTGCCTTATTTGGAAAGGCGCCGGCACTCGTCATATACAAGACCTGTATCTACCTCCTACGTCTGAATGATGATCTTATTCTGAGCATCACATCTCAAGTTTTGTTTGTTCTGTATTCAGGTCGGCACGCAATAGACATTGTAGAGTGTCTTACAGAAGAAAGAGACGAGTTGATCCAACGCCGCCCAGATTCGTTATTGTAGCCGTTGGCTTGCGTATCCCCTTGAGCTCAAATCACCATACCTTATATACTTATCACCTCTTTATAAGCTCAGACACCCGTATAGAGTTCCTTCTTCCAAGCCCGAGCATCTACAATCTGAAATCATACCACGCCAAGGACTGGTGGTGTATTGCCCCATCCCCAATGCTGCTGCAGATTCGCGACCCTCTCCGCCGTTGAGTAACCCGTTTCTCGCTGGATGCTGGTAAGCAGCTGAGCCAGAGCCGTTCTCTGTTCATGAGTCTCGAAGCAAAGCCCAGCTATATAGAGCGGCTGTACCATATGCAGCCGAACAGGGTCGTCCGGTCGCCCCAGAGATATTGCGCATATCTCGGTAGCATGTCCCTCGATCTGGGATGACAGTTGGCGATATGCATTGAGGCGCTTGGCTACAAATTCTGGATGTGTTTCCGATACCTTCTGGTTCAGGGGTTTGTGAATCAACAGAAGGAGCTGGACGAAATGATACAGGACTGCAGCTGTTGCGCACATGGCGTTGGCGTAGAACAACTCCTGGAACACAGTTTGAAATTCCGACCTGGGCGCCATGTTGTCCGAAGGCGTGGGGATATTGTTATACCTCTGAGCTATTCTTGCGCAGGGCTCAAAGGTATCTGGTAGCGCGGCGCACCAATTGTCGAGGTGCCGAGAGATTGTGTCCCAGCGACTTCCATTCGTCTTGCCAGCCTCCGGCGGGCTGATTTCTGATGGTTTAGGGCCACCTTTTTCAGTCGCGACGAATGCTAGAGTCTTCAGCATAACCCAGATCAAAGTCCTGCAGGCTGCCGTCTCTGTCATTTGCAAATGATGGCCCGAGTTCTCGTCGTTGCAGAGCGAAATAGGCATGTGAATTCCATCAACGACACACATCGGTAGCCCCGCCGCTTTCCAGAGCTCGAGATTCTCTATGTCAATGCGCGGTGTGGTCTGTTCGACATAAGATGTAACCGAGTCAATGCAGACAATGTTCCAAAAGGACGCTTGCCATGCTCTTCGAGTGTGTAATCCGTATGTGCCGCCGCGTATATTAAAGTCTGTACTTTCGAAAATTTGTCTCAGGTTGAAAGTCAAAAGATACTGAGCGCCAGACATGTGTCTATAGACGTCACACCGTTAGCTAAGAGGCCGCTGAAGAGAATATGCATTGATAAGCATACCTGGAGACTTCTGCAAAGCGGTTGTCCAGAGACTCGTAAAGAAGAAACACAGATATTGCCGCCAAAAGGTCGTCCACGACGTTGTGAGAGCCCTGGTCGCTTGAAACTCGGCGCCTCTTGAACGATGGTGACACGGCCGAGTGCAAGCTCGTTGGCATGTCCACCGACGCCGGTGTAGCTCCTGGTGATGGGGAAGGACTGCCGTCTCGTAGTGTTTGCAGCAATCTCATCATGTGGCCAATTGCTTTGTCGTAAAAGCTCGCCGCCTTGTAAAACCAGTCTATGTGAGCCGTGTCGGAATACTGCTCGAGCATCGATCGACCAGGGGTTTGATGGATCGACGAGTAGGTCTCTCGCTTCGTCTTCCCAAATTGCTTAGCCGCGATGGCAGCCAAGGCGTTCTGTAAAAGAGGGCTCCTTATTGCCTTGATGGGCACAATGTGTCCGAAGAATCGCTCTATATCAAAGACGTCCAGACACGGGCTGATTCGTTCCGCAAAATATTTGATCAGATAGGCAGTTTCTTGGTCGGCCTCATTCGAAGAGTCCGGCAGCGGAGACGACATTTCGGACTCTAGTTTCTCTGATCGATCTGCATCCATGCCGTATCCGGGTTGAGAGAATCCTTCCAGATCGACATCGCCAAGCCAGGACAGAGACGGCCCCTGTGGGCCATTGGCATCATTTATTAAAGAGAGAGAAGGGATGAAACCGCAGCAGTTGTTCCCGTCGGCAAAGTATATCTGGGGATCAATATCGAAAAAGCTGGCCTCGAAGTCTGCGTCAGAGATATTCTGAGTCGTAAGAAACGACGGGTCAGGTATCCCTTGATGGGTAGGAGGGACGCCTGGAGGCGGCCTCTCTAGGCCAGCGCTTTGTTGAGTCTCATGCTGAACTTGAGCTCGAGCTTCGCCTGGGGTTGAAGCGTCGACCCGGGCCCGATCACGGTCTGCATCGCCCGGGGTCGTCGTAGGCAACGATGCCGTATCCAGCGAGCCAAGGAATGGCGATGAAGCAGAAGACGACTGAGCCACGGGGCGTGACTCTACTGATTTGGCAAGGCTGCTACCCTGCGGGCTTGCACTAGCCGACGAGAACTTCTTGCGGAGGTTCTGGCTCTCATCGAGGAACCGGCGGAGATGGTTGTAGCCAGGGCATGAACGAGACGACTTTTCGCATCGCTCACAGCCGGGGAGGCGCTTGTCGCACTGAGAAGATGTGAGACAACTGCACAACCGAATAACGGGTTGAGAAGCTCTTCTCCGCGGACGCGGTACATACCTTGACACGGCGCTTCCTGCAGAGGGTGCAGGGCACAGTGGAAACGTCCATCGTGTCGGATCAATCAAAGCGCCAGCGACGCTCGATGCTCGCTCCCGCGATCCTATTATAGAATGAGTGCGTCGATGAAAATGAGGCCCTGGGCCAAGTCACCGAGCGGCCCGCGTGAGTGGCTTGACGTGGTTGATGAGAGGTTGAATGAGCTCTGGGGTTGATCGAGAGCAGGTCGGCCGTTGTTCAAGGCGAAGGTGAGCGAGCGAATCGCCGACAATGCCCTTGTTGGGACTAGCGCAGAGTGATGACGCTGTCTTATCCCGAACAGGGCAAAACGTGCAGAGTGACAAAGGTACATTGAGCAACGCACTTTGTCATCCATCGTCGACATTCTCTCATCGATTCGGGCACCTCTTTGGCTGCGAAGACCGATCAAGACCATCACGAGATATCGGCTTCTGCTTTCATTTTCCATTGTCTCACATAACCTGTGGATACCATCCGGCCCTGGACAGTGTAACCCACTGCGACACAAAGAGAAGCCCCATTGACGGGCGTCTTTGGGCAGAGGCTCCGCCAGTCTCAGCACCAGCAATCAACAGCAGCAAACGGTGACGGCCTCACTGCGGTATCTAAGACAGTGGTCATGAGGCCGAGCGCCGAGCGATGCTGAGCGCAAGCCTACATACGCGTGTAGATGCGGCAAGCTTGGCCAGCAGCAATTAGACAGTCATAATGAAAATCCAAAGGGTAATAGCCAGCTCGTTTCCTTCGCCGTCGCAGGTCGAGTTCGAACACCCCTCTCCATGACCGGTATTTATACAGGCCTTATGCTAACAACCAGTAGCTGTTCATCTACCCGGTCAAATCACTCCTGCCGATTGAAGTGTCAATTGCCGAAATCACGAGTGAGGGGTTTCGCTTCGACCGGCAGTACATTCTTGTCAGAGACCCTCGGAGCCATCCGACAATTCGACCTCAGCTCGCCGAGCATCTCACCGTCAAACTTGTGTATAAGCTGGTGCTCTTCCAGCCGTCCATTGACGACGACTGGTCGGAGCTGACTATCAAGCACAGGACAGCCCAGCCGGAATCTTCCATCACTATTCCACTGACGCCGTCACCGCTGTCATGCTTGGAGGCGCCGTCATATCAAGTGAGCATATTCGGCACAGAGGCCACGGGAGTAGATATGGGAGACGGCCCAGCCGAGTTCTTCAGCAAGCATCTCGACATACCAACCAGATTGCTCTACATATCCGGCTCGGGCAGCCGGGAGATCCCAGGGGCTGCGTACATTCCCAAGCACCGGCTGCCGTTGACAATTCGAGCTGCGGGTGACCATTTCCAGCCCCAGCGAATCCGCTTCGCAGACGCTGCACCATTTCTCGTCACGTCGACGGCATCCGAGGTGGATGTACGATCCCGGTTACCGCCAGAAAATCAGCAAGAGGATGTCTTGCTCCGCTTCCGCACCAATATCCATATTGATGTGGGATCTGTTGCGCCGTTCGACGAGGATAACTGGAGGGAGCTCACAGTATTTGCGGAAGACGGAACTACCCCTAAAGCCATTATCCGATGCGTCTTCAAGACGCCTCGCTGTCTAAGTGTGAACGCCGACATAGCGACGGGGAGTGGGTCCCCACGAAGCACACAAGTCTACGGTTTGATAGCGAGGGACAGGCGTGTAAACAAGGCGTATCCTCGTAAGGCAAACCTTTTCTGTTATCTCTTTGAAAATTCAGCAACTAACATATTCCATCAAGTTAAGCCAGTGTTTGGGCAGTGGTCGTTTGCTGGTCCAAATGGGGCCCTGCTTCGAGTTGGCGACGAAGTCCGAGTCACGGAGAGGGGAGCTAACGACAGTTTGAGTGAGAATGGAGGTAACTCGCAAAAGGGAAACTCTATTGCTGTATCTCAGGCTCAATAGCAGGACAATGTTGTGCCGATGTGGCCTTAATATACCCAGGAGGATGGACACTCAATGGGAGCTTAATGTGAAAGTGCCCGGTGAAGGGCTCTATTATCGCTTAGTACAATCAATAAAGGACGATAAAAACGACACACGCCAAGACCCTTTGCACCAAATGCTTCCAATGTATGTTCAACAGCACATGCTCAAGGTATATGGGATCTATCAACTTCCCCTTGACCAAATCACGAACGGTCTCGTATTAGAAACCGGCAAACCGAGAGGGAAATAGGCTATCCAAGAGCAACCTCTCCTTTTCAGAATCCTGAATGGGTGATTGGCAAGATTTTCTTTCTCCGAGGAATGCTTCAAAGAGCTTCGCAGGACCGCGTTTGATCTTCGACAACATAGACGCTAATCCCATTTCGGCAGGCCTCAGCGAGCATACGAGATGCAATCAGTTGTAGTTGTGGATATCACCGTCAAGCAAAATACGAAAACGAAGACCAGCATCAAAACTTTGATTGTTGCTTTCGAACTATAAGAGGGGGCCTAATAGCATAATGGTAACCGGAATCGAGGTTTCCGAAAGCGTTGCCATGAGCTGATATTCGCTTCTGTACGGAAGTGCCTACAAAGGGAAAAGCATGTCATACTGCCACGTATATCCAGGGCAAAAGGAGAGGAATAGTATAACTATGGGCATGATACCATCAACATGAACTCTTTTGGCAATGTCATCATTTCCCTTCAAGGGTCATCACAGAACAAGCTTCGCCACTCTCTCTTTGGCCCCTTATTGAACAATGACGGTCCTCCAGACATGTGCCAGCGATGATGAGACGACTGAATATCTCGAGACTCCGGCTTCAGAAGAGACTCTCGATGGAATCGGTGTTGAGGAACAACTGCAGCCGGATGAGCATGATGGTGGCTACGGCTGGGTGTGTGTGGTGTGCCAGTTGATGATTACGGCGAGCACATGGGGAGTCAATGGCGTACGTCCAAGCACCTCATCACCAGCAGCAACAGCAACAGCAACAGCAACGATCACGGGACATCTCCTCGTCAAGCTTTGAAGAAAACTCTCTAACTAGTTCTTTACATACAGGCCTTTGGAGTCTATCTCACTCACTACATCTCGACAAACGCCTTCCCCGGAACTTCTGAAATCGCATACTCCTTCATCGGCGGCCTCTCCCAGTCCCAGATCCTCCTCATTGCCCCCCTCGTCACGCACGCCACCCGCGTATTCGGCACAAAACCTCCCCTCGTCGTAGGTGCGGTTATGGAGGCCGGTGCCCTGATCGGTGCGAGCTTCGCGAAGCAATCGTGGCAACTCTTCCTATCGCAGGGATTGCTCTTTGGCTGGGGCTGCTCTTTCTTGTACATTGGCACCATTGGCATTATTCCCCAGTGGTTCGCCCGGAGGAAGGGCATCGCGAATGGGATTGCGGCCGCGGGGAGTGGCATTGGCGGTTTGATATACAGCTTGTCGACCGAGGCCATGATTTCTAACATTAACGTCGCATGGGCCTTTCGCATAACGGCGATCTGCACTGCTGCGGTAAACATTATCTGCATCATCCTGATCAAGGATCGAAACAAGCACATCCAGCCCACGCAAAACGCTTTCGATCTTGGCCTCGTTAGGAGACCGGAGCTTCTCCTCATTTCGACGTGGATGTTCCTCAGCATCATTGGGTATACGTGCGTTTTGTTCTCGCTTCCGGACAATGCGGTTCGGATTGGCCTTACAGCCCACCAAGGTTCTGTTCTGGGAGCCTTGGCTAATTTGGGGATGGCCATTGGGAGACCTATCGTGGGCTACTTCAGTGACCGCGTGGGGAGGCTCAACATGGTGATTTCGGCCACTCTGCTGGCTGGCATTTGGTGTTTGTGTCTGTGGACATCGGGCACATCGTACTCGGCGTTGCTTGCGTTTTCTATCCTCGGAGGCACAACGGTTGGTACATGCTGGGCTGTAAGTTTCCTTTTTCGACGCCCAATTTGTTACTGAGACTAACGCAAGGCTCTCACACAGATGGTCGGACCCATGTTGGCGGATGCTTTCGGAATGAAGCTCCTCCCTTCGGCACTGTCCATAGTCTGGACAATTTCTGCTGTCCCCTCGGCTTGTAGGTCTACTGTTCAAGATACTCGTTGAATATGATGCTGATTGAGTATAGTTGCCGAGGCCATGGCGTTGGGACTTCGACGACCGCAGGCCCCCGTCTACCTGGACGTTCAAATTTTCTCTGGGTGCATGTTTATCGGAGCCGCGCTATTCTTAGTGCCGCTCAGATTCAAGAAGAGAATTGAAGCAATGGTTCTTTCCGAGAAGCAATAACGCATCGAGGCTTTCCACGATTGCTTCCTCTTGGCCCAGCTTGGGGTCCAAACCATCCATTACAGAACATAAACTGGGGCAAAGCAATAAAGTCAAATAGATCAAGATGTTAGAGAAGAAGAATATAGAGGAATTAGAAAAGTCAGTTTGGGGTGATATTTCTTGCAAAGGGTCCCAACCGCCTATATGCTTGGCTATAGCAGAGACCAAGCACTATGGGAAGTTCATGATAGGCCTTTGAAGCTAGATGCTACACCATAGGTATTTGACAACTGGACTTGATGTCCATCGGCTCATACAGAACCTATTTGTGTATCTTAGAAGACTGATGAATATCAAGCCCCCTTGCGACTGTTTGCCACCTGCAGTTGCATTACCTCGACTTAAGGTATGCAAAAGACGGTGCTGGGTCAGTTCTCCGGCCATGGCCTGTGGCTTGACATGCTAAAAGCAGCACTGGCATGTGGCGCGAATTTGCACGGCCAGGTCCCGCTGCCGCAAACCCGACAAGCCGGACAAGATCCGCTGGTCAAACTCCGCTTCAGCAGGGAATAGGCAATTGCGTCTCTGAAGTGAGCCTCTCCATTTGACATCTCTCCATAATCAGCATTATAAAGGGTGTGTGCGGAGATGTAGTCCTCAAAGTTCCAGGAAAAGCCAGCTTATGTCCGTCAAGCTTTCAAGCCTCGTAGGGCTCCTGGTGGCCTCCCCCCTATCCCGAATATAGAAGTTGCACGAACTAATGAGCTTTCATAGCAAAGCCAACCACGGCAATAAGGCTACTAGTCAGTGGAAAGGAAGACGGCAAGACGGCAAACTGAAGAGATCGCCAAAAAGATAGCCCGCTAAGATATTACTCTTGGCGCTTTCCCTTCCCATCTCCCCTCCCAGAAGCTCTCCTCAGCACGGCTCGTAGCAGCCAATAGGATAACAAGCTTCCCGAGGTCAAGGGACGCCATCAACACCACAAGCAAAGAGCCGGAAAGCCGACAATTGGCCAAGTAAGCGCGAGGCGGAGGGGGGGAAAGAGCTCAGTCTGACCTCGGCGATGGCGCTTAGAGGAGCGTTTGGGGACTTTGACTTTGAGAGTCTGCCTCGAGATACCTAGGCATTATTTCCGAATCGAGGTCACGGTATTACCACTCCTCTAGCTATTCGTAGCTTTGGTGCCTCGGCCAAGATACACACCCGTCAGCCCTACCTTACATAGTATGAGGCGGGAGGAGATACGCATTGGTGATGGATGGGGGGCGTATTAGAGAGCGCCGCTCCAGCGGGAAGTGTCCTTCAGACGACGGAGCCGCGATTTGAGTAGTTCCAGTAGTAGTATGTATGGTGGAGGACGAATGATACTCGGTAGGGCAGGGATTGCTCACATTGCCTTTTACCCATTTTGCGGGTTTATCAAGGGTGATAAGGCCAGACAGATGGAGATTGCGGAGTAAATCGAACCATGTTTGCGAAATGGGCCGCTGGGAGATCATGGCAGCACCACTGCACCAGATATTGGACGATGCAGAGGCAGCTAGGCACAAGAGACGACAGGGGTCATTGGTTTGCTAAACCGCCAAAAAGAGGACGGTTCACGGACGATTTGAGAAATTATCGTAGCACCTCAGACAATTTTGAGGGGACAAGAGGGAAGAGGGTCCCAGGGGAAGGGGGGGGGCGTGTGTGTTTCTGGATACTACCACATGCCTAATGTACTATAGGTATCATAGCTGATGCTATCGATTGCGCCAAACACACATGGTCTGATAAAGCTGATGGTTCGTTAATCTGTGAATGCCCTCATTATTGCTCCAGCCTCAGCGCTCCGTGGTGCGATCTTGGTCCATGGAGTTTGATGCTCCGTTTCCCCCCCCCCTCGGAGCGGGATCTTTGTGTGAATGTGGGGGAAGCCTAACAAATCTCCCACATGCACTCTCCCATACCCTCGCTATCATCTGCTTCTCCCCATAATAACGCTCTCGCTTAACAATCGCCGCGGCAGCATGTGGCCCATGTCCGAATGCGCTGGTCACTCGGGCAAGGAGAATGGGCAGGGGGGGGAAACGCAGGAGAAGGTACCGGAAGGCACCAGAGCGATCGGGGTTCCCTGAGTCGCTGGCATCAACTCCGCAGGTCCCTTGTGTGTGTAAGGAACATCTAGAGTGCGGCGGGCTTGTGAAACAGAGGCGAGATACTATGTACATGTGCGGGTTTTGTCATGGTGCGGGATTGCGATCTGGAGATGGATGTGCTGTTAGTTGCAAGCAAGTCCGTTGGTTGACCTATGATGGAAAAGCTGGGTATCAAGGTGTAAGCCAAGATTCGGTCAAGGGAGCCAAAGGATTTCCACTCCGTCCGTACATCACAAGCACAGGTGAATAGATGAGTGTGTGTCTGTATGACGGGCTGTAGCAGGAACCCGTCCATTATGCAGTCTGCGGATGCCGAGATTACCTCAACAAGCAAGCATCGGACACTGCATCAAGAAACTCTACACACCGGCTTCCCACCTTTCTTCGTCTCCATGCGATCCCTTGGGAAAAGCGGCAGAAGCCACCACCCCATGTCCCGGCTTTTCGTGATTCATGCGCGCTTGATCATTGGGCCGTTATGCCCAACTTACAGTACAGTACAACCCCCGACGGCCCTCCACCGGCTGACGAATCAGCCTCTGCCAGCTCAATATCGCGAATCCTTTTTCCCTGCCGTTATGGTTATGTTTTGGCGAATCGACGTCGCAGGGTCTCTTTTCATTCCGCCTCGTCTTCCCTGTTTTTGTCTTTTGCTTGCGGCGAGAGTTAAGCAAGGGGGTGGCGTATTGTCGCAAGAAGAGGGGGGGGGGAAGGGGGGCGGGACGGGCATCAACAGCATGGTTGGCGAAAAGAAAGGATCTGGGGAGGATCTCGTCGGCATTGCAAAACACACACACATCACGGCTATGATTTTCCTCTCTTCCATCTTGCATGTCCCTGCTCCCCCCCCTGGTCCGTTCAGTTCAGAGAGAAGGCCAACGCATCGTGAAAAACTTCCTGTACACGCCCCCCCGAGTGTGTCCCATTCTTTCCTACATAGGTACCTTAAGCGGATACTGTTATCCTCATAGCTTTTATCATCTTGCCTCCTTTCCCCTGTCTTTTTCAAAAGGAAGAAGAAAAAATAAACAGGACTACTACTGCAATCGCCGCTGCAGCAAATTTTTTTTCTTTTCGAATCTTTGCATCGCCTCAATCGTTTGTAATGGTAGCCATCGGAGATGCTGAGTCGTGCGTATCCCGGGCCCTTCCTTGTGGGACTCCATTTTTTGCTCCTCTGTGAGTGAGTGAGGTGTCCACGGGACCCTCGTTTTCTTAGGGACCCGAACGCCCGAACAACTTTAAGGTAGAAAGAGTACGAGTAGAAATGCCCACTTGGGCAGATCGAGACCGCCCACTTGGACATCAATATGGAGAGCCTATTGACCTGATTTTTCTCTGCATTTTTTTTTTTTTTCTTCTTCTCCACGCTTGTTTGTTTGACAAGCTCCGGCTGTTGTCTTTTCTTCTGTCTCTTTGGCTGGGATACCGAGGCGGATATTGCGGATCCCTTTTGCTAAGTCTTCCGTCGATATTTTTTTTTTTCTAGCTTCTTGTCGGCTCTTCTCGTCAATTCCCTTGATACAATATCATACGAGTCAAACTTAGCATAACGCCTAACACCAGAAAAGCATTATCAATCAAAATCATTCGAAAAGATGCCCAGTTGATCTTGTCGCAACTTCGAGGGTGGAAGAGCGCAGAGTATCAAGGTACGTACCACTCCGCATTGCCGGAGCCGCAACTCCTCGTCCGCTTCCCGTCTCATCTGACCTGGCGAGGATTTGAAATGCAAATCGTGGGTACGTACCTGACAGGACAAGGACAAGGACTTCGCTCGCGCCCCGGCGCTGCGCTCTGGTTGGGGGCTTGGCTTATCGGCGTGTCACTTCCCACCGATGCCGCTTCGTCCGAGCAGTAATACATACATACAGGTAGCTTACATAGCTTTGAACGTGGCTGCTTGGCTGTAAGGTCAGGTCAGGTAAGAGAAGGCAAGGTAAGGTGGTACTACTCGTAGTGCCTAGAATGTGCCGCTCGGCCCATCCGCCATTGCCGCGGGCTCTCGGACTTTGTCAACCGTCCACGGTTGCCGAAACAGGAAATTGTACCAAATTCCGGCTTTTTTTAGGGGAGGTCAGTTCTGTCAAGTCATCCACCACGGGTCACACAACAGTCACGGCCAAGGGAAGATCGAACAAGCCATTTCACCAATGCACACGATTTTGGAAAAAGTAATAGTAGATGAGTTTTGTGACAGTAATTGTTATTGTATTCTTGTCATTTGGAACGAATTTTTTTTTTCGTTCCCATGCTGCTAAACTCGTGGCTCCACTCGACCAAAGGGAAGACCAGTTCCAGGGAGCGGCCCACCAAGTGCGTTGTACCCATGTACCCATTCCCGTCCATCGCATTGCCATGACATTTGTAAGAAGAACGCAAAGAAAAGACAGTGAGCTGTGAATCTCTAGTGTGGTGTATATTGAACAAATGAAAAAGCTGTAAAACAAGATAAACGCCGTGTGCCTTTTTATATTTTCCCTTATCGGGGGTATCATGTAGAAAAGAACCAGATCAGAAACGCCGTGCCAAATACCCAAAGCCCATGCCAGTCGCTAAATGCCGAAGAGAGATGATGGAAGAAGATCATATATCGTAGTCGTACAGAAGAGTGTTGTGTTGTTGTTGTTGTTATTGTTGTTGTCGCTCAGTAGACTGAGATGGCAGATACCAGACCAGCAGGTGTTCGCTGGCCCAGGTAAAAGTCCTCTTCTTGATAGTATGATTGTTCGCTCTCTTCTTCGGTCTTGGCTGGCAGGGGCAGCTCGGCATCGGCAGGTGAGGGAGGCATGGCCTCGTCGTCTGAAGACTCGGAGTCGTGGTCAATCAGCTCCGGAGGGGAGTTGGAGTGAGAAGGCGTGCGGACGAGCTCGAGCTGGGCATAGTCCTCCTCGAGATCATCGTCGCCCATGATTTCGTCCTCGACGACCTTGACTGCGGGGGCGGGAGAGACGACGACGGTGGAGTTGTTGCTGCTGCTGCTGACCATGTCGAGGTCATTGTCGTAGTCGGACTCGTCGTCCGAGTCGGAAGAGGAGTCGGAGTCGTACTCTTCGTCGACGGCCTCCTCCTCGATCCGGTCGGCCCACTGGATGTGCCGGCTGTTGTTGGCGGCGGCGGTGCTCTTGGTGGTGTTGCGGACGGACTGGTTGAACCAGCGCTCCTGCTCCCGCTCGGCCTCGGCGAGCTCGAGCATCAGAGAGTCGAGCAGGTTGGCGTGTCCGACCAGCAGGCGGAGGTCGTGATCGGGTTGAGCAGCCTCGCGAGAGAGCTTTGCTCGGGCCTTGTGGGCCAGGTAGTAGGTCTGGGTGATGGACATGCTCTTCTTGGTAGCTTGTCGGAGGAGTGATGATGAGGCAGACATTGTGATTTTTTGTGAGAGAGGTGTGTGGAGGTGGGATATGTTATATAGTCCAGGTGTGTGACTCAAGGCAGAAGTCGATGCAGGGATAGGTCGAGTTGCCTGGTGCCTAGTACTATGCCGGCGGCGTGGGTATCAAGCAGTATCAGTGCGAGCAAGTTGAATGTAGGATGAATGTTGTTGAGTGTTTGTTGTGAGTGTCTCAAGTCAAGAAGTAGTTGAAATGTCTTCTTCTTGTATTGATGCTCGCTTGTGATGCTTTGTTCGTGATGGATGATATCGAGCCTCAAGGTCGGGGGAGTCGGCATTCTTTTAACTCGGAAGCTCAGCCGGGTCTGCCATGGGGGTCCAGCAAGAAAGAAAGAAAAAAAAAGTTCATCGGCGTTGAGGTACGTACCCTTACCGGCACGCCCTTTGGGGAGCCCGGGCTAAGCGGACTTTGGCGTGCGCGGGCCCGAAGAGAGAGAAAAAGGCACGCCGAATGCGAAGGGAGGGGCGTGAGACATTGGCTGATCATTCAGCAAAGCAAAACAAGTGACGGGGGGGGGGGTGAGGTATCCCGGGTGCCAGGGGGGGTGGCAAGAGGGGAAGTGCCGCGCTAGGGTGGCTGGCGCTGACTAAATCCGAGGCCCAGCGTCTCCGGCACGGACGTACAGCGAGTCACTTCGTCCGCGACTGGTACCCGACGCCCGGGCGGCCACCCTGCGTGCCGCACAGGTAACTCGCGGCTTCGAGGTACCACGGCAATTCATGGCTTTCGTGCGAACAAGCCAGAGCAACGTTCGGAAAGAAGAGAAAGAATCACAAATACACACAGCCGGTACGTACCGCCGGGCGCGCGCCAGCGGACGGCTTCGGCATTCTGGGTGACTCCTCGCTGCGCTGCTTTGGTGATGATGGATGATGACTGCTCTACCTACCTAGCCTCCATTAGGGAAGCTCGCACTCGCTCGCATAGGCCAATTAGTCACTTGTCTGGTTTGTTGAGTTGCCTCGGGTTTTTACTCTCACTCTCTTTCACTCTCGCTCACGGGTCGCCAGGTGTAAGGTAGTGCTGTAATACTGTAGGTAGTAGCTGGAAGCTTCCCTTTCCTCTGGCCAGCAGGCACCGATAGTAAGGTCCCTTAGGCAACTGACCGCGATTGGTTCCAGCCAGCCGTGCGCCAGAAACACTGCTGCTGATTCGGCCGTGAGCACGAGCCGAAACAAGTGTGGATTATGAATCACAACCGCGGTCCCCACCCGCGCTTCTCTCCGGCTCTCTGTCAATCTATCCGTCCTTTTTCTCTTCTCCTACTCTGCCTTGCCCTTGTTCAGTTGGCCGCTTATTAACAATTATCCCCCCCAAGAACTGAAGCTAGCAATGTCCGACATCACGACCGTCATCCGAGCCGCCTTATTGCTAGTAGTATGTATATTAGTCCAAGCAGTATTTCTCAGCAATTTGACAGCCGGTTGCAGTCGTTTGCGTAGTAATGCAAATCCAAGCAGCACAGTCATCAGCGACCGTAGACTTTTGCGCTAAGCCTGGAATCACCCTTGCGCGATCGATGAGCTTTCTTGCGGATAGTAGTCATCATCGTAGCCTTGGGGGGGAGCAGGAGGTTTTCTTTGCAGACACTCCCCCCTTCGTCTTGTTGGTGTTTTTTCTGATACGTGGTACTATCTCGTCCTTAGTAATTGGATTGCGCGCCGCCCAGTTCATGAGCAATCGCGCGCCAATTCGCATTCGCACTCCACCAATTTGTCAGTACCTTAGGCAGATCCCAAGCGATGGGGTTTTGCTGTTTTGGGCAATCCAATTCGAGAGCAATGCAATCGCGAGGATACTTGCGAATCCCAAGCAAGCACTGCCCACCTTGTTGTTTTTGTTGCTAGTAGTATCGCTGCAATTCACTGCATAATGTCGGCATGGATATGTACATGCGTACGCAACGAGGCTACGAAACAGTTCGTTTCGCCATTGCGCATCAGTGCGCGAGGCTTTGCGCAGAGGGGCCACGCATTCAAACAATCCTTCGGTGGTACTAATCTGAACAAGGGGCAAGATCGGTTCGTCGAAATCTCAGCCTCTCTGCACGCCCGTGATCTGGCCTTTTCCAAGGCCCTGTTTGTGGCAGCCTGGGGGGGAGGGGAGGGGCTTGGGCAAAGAAGTCAGCCGTGTGATCGTGAACCCCAGGTTTCAAATCCTCTTGCGCGCATTCAGCCCCAAAGCGGTGCCCCGCGGATAATGTCGTGCTCGGCGGATGGCATGTATGTACATCTAATTCTCTGCTGTAGTATTGTGGCCTTGTCTTTTTGTTTCTCTTCATTTCTTTTTTGGTGTTTCCGCAGTAGTAGTGGACAAATTAGTTGGTGGGCGTGGTGCTGCGAGTTCTTCTAGCGCAATCGTGCATCGTATCGCATTATCGTACATCGTACGTCGTACGTCGTACGTCGGCAGCGTCGTGGTCCACCCCCAGAGCAACAAAGGCCGCGACAGCAACTACATGGCACAGCCCAAACCGGCATTTCGGAGTGATTGATTGACTGACTGACTTGACCCCATTCACTGTCCTGTCCTGTCCTGTCTTGTCTCGTCTCGTCTCGTCGCGTCTCATCTATTCTATTTTCTCTCGCACACATTCAGCGTAATACATGGTGATTGTCGCATCGCCGAATTCCTTGGCCCCCTCCCCTCCCCTTCACTCCCCCAAGGCCATGATTCAACTCGGCTAGTTTTCCATTCAGTCAGCTAAATGCAATACAACTTGCTAGTTAAAAATGCAGGTCAGCAAATCTTATACTTTAAAAACCCTAGTAACACAGCTAGACTAAAACTAGATACTAGTATCTTACTGCCTTTAGGCTAAATTTAATATTATTTAACTACATCCCTCCTGCCTTAGCTTACTAATACCTCTATTTATATAGTAAAACAGCTATTTTATATATTACTATAAGCCAGTTATTAGTAATTAAGTTATTATAGGTTAGCTCCTTAACTAATTTAGTAATTAGATAGTTAGATAAATAAACCCTTTACTACCTCTTACTGCTTTTTAAGGCCTAGCAGCAAGGCATATTTAATATAGTAAAAAAAGTATACCTGCAGGAAGGTATTAAAAGACTTATTCTACACATAGTTTAGCGCTATTTAAGGCGTCCCTAGGTAATAAAAACACTTAAGAATAAGTACTAATATTTAAAAAAGTTTTAGAGGGTTTTTATAGCAGCTAAAAAGATATTAAGGACCTTATATAACTAGTTAACTAGGAAGCTGTTAATAAGTAAGCAGAATAAGAATTTTATTTATTAATAGCATAGCCTAGTTAAGCATTAGGTTATATTATCTAGTCTTCTTATTAGTAATAGAATAATATTTAAGTTATAGCAGGAGATATTCTTTAATAACCTACCTGCTAGTAAGCATATTATAAAAGCGGATAATAAGCTTGCCTTTATTAAAGACAGCTAAAATATAATCCTAAAAGGTACTGTTATTTATAAAGATAATAGATCTAGGATAGGAGGTTTAACTTAGTTTATAGCTAATACTAAGTAAGTTAGCTATAATGCTAAAGCGTTAGTTATAATAACGCTAGCTATAATAATACTAGACAGCAGTAATAATAAGAATACTGCTAATTAGCTAATTTTATTACTAATATATATAATACTAACTTTAGTAATATAGCTGCTATTAATACTATAGGCAGTCTTTATAAGACTATCTTAACTATTATTAATAATACTATTAGTAGCAGTTAAGGTAAATAGCATTATAAAAAGGAAAAAGAAAAAGGCAGTAAGGGGAAGTAGTATAGCTAAGACCTTTTATAAAATTACTACTGCTATTATAGTATATAACTTATAGCAGCAGCTAGATTACTATATTACTTATAATTATTAAGCTATTAAAGCAGAGGACTTTAAAATTATAATTAAAGATTGCTTTTAATTTGCAGATAAATAAGGCATATAATTTATTAGCTGTATAGTTTATTAAATTTATAAAGATTTACTAAATTTATTAATATAGAATTTAATGCTATTATAAAAGGTAAAGGAGTTATAGTTAAAGATTAATTTTTTTATTAATTCCTAGATATTTAATATTAGGTTATAGATAGCTTTAAAAATATAATAGCTAGTAAGGAATATTAATCTTTTAGACTGCTATATTTACTTTACTTTTACTTTCTGCCTTATAACACTAAATTTATTCTTAAATGCCTACTATAAGCTCCTCTTCTTTTATATCCTTATTTTTATTAATACTATTACTGCTATTACTGCTATTACTGCTAAAGTTACTGCTAAAGTTAGTATTATTATTAAACTTATTTAAATAGCATTAATAATATCTCTAGGCCTGCAAGGTAATATATTCCCTTAAATCCTTGCTATTTAATAGTAGAATAACTGTATTAGCATATTCTTAGGCAGAATTTATAAAATCCTGCTCCTTATTAGTTAAGCTAAGTTGCTCCTCCTTATAGTATTACTTAAGTGTCCTCCCTTTAAGCTTAATAAAGTTAAATAGGCCTATAATAGTATATATAATATAAATCTAGTTTAGGAACTTATACTTTACAGCATTATAGTAAATAATCTTCTATTTCTGCTTATATTTGCTAAAGACTTGCTTAATAATAGTTCTCCTTTAAGAATACTATAAGTTAAATAGCTCTTCCTTATTTTATAGCTGCTAGTTTACTATCCCCTAGTCTTATAAATAGTAATATATATTATTACTATAAGGAGTTATAATACTAATTTATAATTTAAAGCTAGTATTGCCTAGCTAATATTATCTATTTAATATTAAGAATAACTAAGTTAGTATATAATATAAAAGAGCTAAGTTATTAATAAATCCTTTAGTACTAGTAAGGATATAGTAAAATAGGCTATTAAAGGTAATAGCTATAAATATATTTTATAAGATATTATTCTTTCTTAACTAGAATCTTTACTAATATATAAGAGGGATATAGGCTAAAATAAGCATTTTATTAATAGCCCTAATTATGCTGTTAAATACTAGGAATTTAGGCTTAAGCTTAATAGCTAGTAATAGGTATATTAAATCTAGCTGCTAGATAAAGTATATATATAGCTAGCGTATAAGGTCTTTAAATTTATAAAAGACTTATAATATAGTGCTTTAGCTTATTAAGAAGCGCAGTGCTATATTCCTTTATAGCTTGCTATATATATAAATCTATAAAAACACTATTACCTTCTGCTTAATTAACTGCTGCTAGTTCCCTATTATGCTAGCATTAATATACAGCTACTAGCAGAGGTTTAAAAACATAGCCTTTTTTATATAAAAGAGGGTAAGGAATAATATATCTAGTAAGCTTATAAGCTTTATATAGTATTCTCTTAAAGTAATAGAGGTGGCTTAAGGGATCAGGCTGTTATTATTACTAGCAGCAGCTGACCCCTTATTAATAGGGAGGATCCTAAGTAAGTTATTAATAACCTTAACTATTAAAGTAATATATGCTAATATAAAAATAGCTATATAAAGGTCCTTTATATCCCTTTAACAGTTATTAATAATAGTGTTTAACACTAGCTAGCTTATGCCTATTATATTGCTGCTAATTAAATTTATAGCGCATTAAGCTTTAGCTAAATTTTAGCTAACTAGCTAGATAGTGTATATAACTTTTAATAGTAATTATAAATGTTTTTTTTTTATAATAGCTATTTAGCAGATTTAGTAGAATTTTTATAATACTTTTAGTAACTATGCTATTTATAAAATATTATACAGCCCCTGCTAGTATAGTATATTAATAATAGGGGAGGTTTAGGGATTATTCTTAGTAAGGTATTTTCTCCTGCGTTTATGCTGAAAATCTATACTAAATTAGGAAAAGTGACATCTTTATGCATCCTATTTAAACGTTTAGATAAAAACTAGCCGAGTTGAATCACGGCCTAAAGGCGTCGTGTTGCGCTTGCGTCTCCCTGCGTTTACTAGGGGTTCTACCTAGGTACTACTAGCAACAGCCGGTGCTCGCCGTCCAATCTATTGATGCCTGTCCCGTTGGGTGAAATTGCGCGTCATACCGAGTGCCCGCAGCGACTCCCCGGTCGCCGTGCCGCTCTCAACAGAATCATATCAATCAAACAAGAACAAGAAAAAGGAAATCTGTCAATTCGTGTAGTAGTTTATAGGCCCTCGCCGTGATCGCGAGCTGCCGATCGCTGCGTCGGCATCGGGGAACGTGGAGATGAAGGAAGTTATTACGACGGAGCTCCGAGACGGGGTTTGCCTCATCGGCCGGGCTCGTAAATACTTGTGTGCAGGTGCAGGTGCTGCCCTGCGTTATGTCCTATGTCCGCATGCATGCAACTACCTTACCACCATCTTCACCTTACATAGGTACCGTACGGAGCCATCAATCGCTCACTCGCTCACCCCAGACTCATCCCCCATGTGGCGCATGTGTATGTACCCAATCTGCAGGAGGCATTGCAGTCCGTGTCAGCACCATGAGTTCAGTCAATTTCACATCCCAGGCCAATCAGGCTTTGTGATGACAGTCATGACAGGCTGCAACTGAGATTAAGCCGGGGGAGGTTGTCTTGTCTCTCTGTGCGATGCCTGGAGTTTAGACTGTTCATTTGCCTGAAGCGCGGCCAGTAGGGCTGAGTCGATGAGAGGCTCCAGTTTTTGGTGACTCGTCCGGTGGGAACAGGCGTCGATGACGGCCCTCGGCAAGGGCATAGGGGTACGTACTGTACCTCTGCTCCGTACCTTATCTCCCTCCCGCAGCTGTGATCCCGTGCTTGGATCGGGCACAGACCACGTCTATCAGAGAGTAGGTACGTACTGCCTAGTAGTAAGGTACCTTATCACACGCCAACACAAACAAGTCGATCCCCAATTCTCTCAGAGCTGACGATGATAATGGTGATGAGGCTCCAACCCCGAGATCTCAGGCCGACGCGGCACAGCGGTACCTTGGCAGCAGGATCTACCTAAGGTAGCTTGGGTAAAAGGGGGCTTGCCATGTACTAGGTATACGACTACCTACCGCTTGCGACGTGGCGCAGGGATGAAGGAATGCGCTGGCTTTTCTGCACGTTTGTTGGTAGTGAATGCTTACGAGGGGACCAATCTGGACTGGTCAATTAAGGTTGGTGGGATAAGGAGAGAGCCAATGAAGCCTCACGGAATACGGCAACAGGAATTTGTGTTTTTGTGCTTTTCCCTGAGATTTGCTGACAAAGGCCGGCGCGGGAAGACGGGATTGGAAGGCTGAAATACGCGCAAATCTCGTGCCCGAATGCCGAGTCGGGGTCTTGGGATGTGGGTTTCGGACTTGTGGGTTCCTATCATTACGCCTTCGATTAAAGAAAGCCAACATGGGGACGAGGAGAAAGGGCGGAAGCGACTTCTCCAAACACTCCACAGGATCATCGATGGCCAGGCACAATGCTCGATGGCCAGTCGTCATTAGAGACTCCTACTTAGGTCTTCGATCTCAATAGACGGGATCCCGCAGTGGCATCTGGACGGGGGACGAACTCATTGCCCGCTCGTTTTCGTTCAAAGACCTTTCTCCCTTGCAGTGAATAGCGGCATCTTAGCAAGTAGTAGTTGTTTGTGTAGTATTATATTTAGTCCAGATACAATCTGAAGCTTGCCCTTGCTTTTGATTCACATAGTCGCCGAGACACGCTCTCCTCTTTTCCCCCCTTCACTCAGCCCTGCAGCTTCACACATTGTACGTTCTTAGGTACTAATCTGCCAGGTACCATCGCTGCAAGATGGCACGGTTCAGCAAATGCACAGACCGACCCGTTCATCTCGTGAAAAGGAACCCCAATCGGCGGACCTTGCAAGGAGCGCGCGTTCGTGTACGTGTACATACAGTACTTACGTCCATCCAGAGTGAGAGGATGGCCCTGCAATCTTGCCGTTGGGGGGGGAGTTGCAGTCATCATCATCCATGTTTCAAAGCCCCCAGGCACAGCGCAGTATTACAGTACTAAGCCACGATCCAGCGGGCTGCACTCAATGCTGCGCCAGATCGCTCGTCCCTTTCGCAAAACGCGAAATACCAGCCAGAAGGACCGGGGCTTCGGGGCTTGCGAGATGGATGATTAAGATGATTAATACTCGTAGGGCCTGAAGGAAGGGAAGGGAAGGGGGGGGGAGGGGGGTGTATCAGCAGCGAAGGGGGATCCATTTTGCCCGATTTCAAATTGGCCGCTTTAGGCATGGCGCCCAACTTTAAGTGACAGGACAGGGTCCTCCGCTGTCCGTCCGCTCGCTCGGATTCGGCTTGCTTAGATAAGGGCGCTCCACAGCCGGCACATGGCAGCGGGAGTCTCCACAGAAGGAGAGTTCCGTCATGATGGGCTTTTGGCGTTTTGAGGCTTGTTGTAGTACATAGCTCTGGCTGTGGTTCGTCATGGAGCAAGTCCTTTGTTTGCTCGCGTTTTGCAAAGGGCGACAGGGCTTGGTGGCTTTTGAGGTTCTGCACGTTGCTGCCACGCGCGAGGTGCTTTCTATTTCTGTTGTTGCGTTGAGGTACTAGGCATTCGGCAGCGGGTTGCGGGAACGTGACGCCGCTGAGCCTTACACCCCCAGACTTTTTTTCATGATTGTTGCAGAAGTCTGTTGCTTCGAGTTCTGCTGTGTATCCAAACACAAAGTATTACATGTAAGCAACAACCAACGTACTTGGTTTCACTGACCACGAGCCTCGTTCTACTTACTCCTGCATCGGGAGCGGAACTGAGGATCCTTGTCCTCCCTTGCACCTTTTTTTCTCAATTGCAACTGTCTTCGGTCGCTTTTACACAGACTCCCAAGTTGTCATATTCGGTGCGACAAGATACGTATCAATCCAAGTCACCCAGGGTCCCTTTCTCAACGTCATCATACATTTGCGGCACAGAACTGCGGCAATCCGCAGGCCAAGACGATTTAGCAGTTGTTTGTCAGGACCCTGCCTGCCGCCCAGCGACAGCGGTAGATGCCGCCGTATGTCCGCCGAGATGCCGAAAGCCTCCAAGAGTTCAAGAGAGAACGGACATTACCGCACCCGCCCGACTTCAGATGCCGTCATCCTTCATCTGGCCGCTGCACGCTTTCCCATATCGGGTCTAGAAGTCAGCTTTTTTGATAGCAATGGAAGAAGGGCTTTATTAAAGAAGGACGCACAGAAGGGACGTCAAAGCTTCATGTGGTCGCCCGATTGCCGACAGGTTTTCTTGGGTTAGCCAATCAACCAATCACTCGCTTCGATGGCGCGCACACACACCCTCTGACAAAACCCTCTCTGCTCGCCCGGGCGAAATGCCTGCATCTCCGGAACGATATGCCTAATGCCTAATGCCTAATGCCTTACAAAGAACATGCAGCAACGCAGAGTCCTTCTGTCTTCTATCCTTGCCGAAGGAGATATCCGTGGTTAAGATAGGCTGTGCGGCGATGCTTCTTTGATGCTTCCATGTGTCCATGCATGGAACCTTTTTTCTCTTCCCCTCGGCTATTATCCCCTTCTTCTGGACCTTCCATGCATGTTTCCCGATCATTCCGCTTTTTGCTGCTCACAATCGTCTCTTCTCTTTGCCACGCCCCAGATGCCAACATAAACAGCCCCGTGACTTCGCTCTCCGGCGATTCGGTAGCCTCCGTTCGCCGCGGACCAGGGAAACAGTCTTTCTGCCGATGTGTACCTTACATGATGTATCTCCCTTTGAATCCGTTTCTTCTTCGTGGCGCCCCCTTCGCTGTCATGAAAAGGGTTCTGCGGTGAAAAGACAGGGCTTGCCGATGGGCGTTTGGTGTTTCCGGTGCCCTTGAACCCTGGCTCCCCTTGTGTTGGAGCCTTCTTTGTCCCTGCGGGCGTTGAGCGTTTTTGTCTTAAACCCGATGCCGTGGAAACGGTCACATTGGTCCATTGGACTTAGTTTTTCAGACGAGGCCGACGTTCGGACATTGAGTGAGACTTGAGGCATATCCAGACAGCTTGATTAGGCGGCATAGGATGAGTTGAGAACATCGCTTAGACAGGTCTACTACAGAATGTCAAGAGTCATTGACGAATTCTCTCGCTTTCTTTACCGCAATTGCTGTTCATGTTTTGTAAGCAAGTTCCATAGAGCGGCCCGAGTATACATACACGCATGCGGTGCTCGAGTCAACGGTCCCCACGCAAATGCCTGGGGACGGCCCGCATGGATCGCATCACGGCTCAGAGCGTGTGTACGTGTATATCAGGCGCAACGGAATTCATGGGGAAACACAGCTCCATAGGTACTTGTTTGTAATAACTCAGTGGACCTCATCAACCGATTCACACAACAGGAGGCATGAAGACAACATAATACGATCCACACCTCGGCACTTTGCCCAGAATTAATCATCATAACGCCTATGACGGTGGCAAACATAACTCCATGGACATTCAAACGGAACCTCTCTGACGGTGTTACATACTGATGTTTCCCGGTCTATGTAACATCTCCGACAGCCGCCGCTCATCCGTAACATACAGAAGTGCATACAGTTCAGATGGACGTGTTCATGTGATCAGTTAGGAAGGGAATCCATGGCAATCGTCATTGTCCCTCGGCCCTCCGTTCTCTCCGTCGATCGTACACCCCTTGGAACGAAAAGGGGCCGGCCCTGCTGGGGGGGTGGACAGTTGGGCAGTTCGTGCTTGATTGCGTTGCCGTGGGAGCCGATGCTGATGGACCATGGGATCTCAGCCCTGCTGCGTTCAGGGCTGGTGACTTTGATCATCTGGGGTTGTTCCACACGCAGCCGATGCCGTCTGCCGTGATTCGCTATCTGAGCAGGTCACTGGTCAAGGGAGGCATTCTCACGAACACGTTCTTTGGTCTTCACTTGATTCTGGATTCTTTGAATTCCGTGACTGGACGTCCCAAGCAGCTCTGCCAATGCTCACGGGAGAGCTCGAGCTTGATACAAAACTCCACAACTGCGGTTCTCACATCAATATGCTCATGAAACGGACGGAAGGGCGAGCCAAAGGCAAGAATCTACGGCCCCTCCTCCTCTTTATCAGGGATCGCGTATTCCAGAGTGTCGGTAATGAGATCGCCGAGGTCATCTCATCCCCAGACTGTGTTCCTCAGAGCTGAACAGGGCATTGGAACATGCAACAGCTCATTACACACCAACTCGCCGTATTCCCTGTTTCTTAACCCCCATTCCTTGACTTCTTAAGAGTACGTACGCGTAAGCATGATGCTAGTAGATGCTCGTACTGTAAACATCGTCCGATAGCCCTGTCTGCTGAAGAGACAATCCCATTGCATGTCTCCCCAGATCCCTTCCAGTGCATCGCCAGGGGTTGCTTCGTCGTGCCACGGCCTCGGGTTTTAATCTCAGCAATCAGCAAGTTCAGTCTGCATTGGAGTCACTCAAATCACTCCTGAGCCATGGTCTGTCTAGTACTTCCTTCTTTATTGTCATTGGGGGCCAAAATACTCCATCTCCTCTAATTGCACAAATCCAAGTCTCGTGCCATGCTGCGTACATGTAAGCAGAGAATTATTCAATGAAACACATCACAAATCAACAAAAACAGCGTTACTCTGTGTCCGAAAGTTCTTTCCCCCCTCTCTCAGTCATCAAAAACCAATCCCCCGGAATCGCCTCACAAAAGATCTCTTGCTTTCCCCCGGCTTCCTTATTTTTGGCTCCCGCTTCCAGCGCAATGGACCGCCCGCTCGCTACTCCTTCACACACCTGTCAAGATCCGTCTGACATACCCTATGAGTATCCCTCCTCCTCCTCCTCCTCCTCATCCTCCTCCCTTACCCCTGAACATCATCCCGCGTTTCCCCTACGATATTGCCTCTTTGGGGAAAGCCAGCTTACCCGACGGCATGGAACCGGGACCCTCGATGGTCCCGCGGCTCGCTTAGCCTTGTCCCAACTCCTTCGTAATACTATAACTCGTGAAGAAAAACGTGGGCGCGCTGATTGCTTACTGCATACTCAATACTTTATCAGTTACCGCGGGACGTTTGCGAGACGGAACCCTTTTTTTTTGCGGGCTGTCGACAGGTGAGATCCATGCCCGTTGGCTCTGTGCAAGGGGGCAAAACTCGTACGAGCTTGAGGGGGGTCGTAGGGCGCATCGTCGGCTTCAGGGACCCGTGCTGACATCGTTTCCCCTTGATTGACGGTTGTCCCAGACCATGATGCTACAGACCAGCAGGTCGGGTCGATAGTCGGAGGGAAGCGAGCGTTGCGGGCGATGCTTACTGGACGCCAAGCAAGAAAGAGGATGGAAGTGGTCACGGCAATAGTCATGGCAGTTGAGAGCCATGTCCATGGAGCAAATGATTGGAGACATGAAGACAATCGCTGAAATTGATGGTGCTCTGAACTTCGCCAATGGTGATACTATGCCTGAAGCTTCTGCTTCGTCTTCTTCCTCTTGCCACCAACCTCCCTCCCTTCCTCCATCTCCAGCAACGCCTCTCGCTTCTTCTCGCTAACCACCTTGAGCGCATCTCGGATCACTCTCGTCTCCAGGTTGACGCCCTCCTCTTCCCAAGCCTCCATCTTCCTGCCCACGCGCTCTTCAATAGCCAGGACCAGCTCCACGTCTCGCTGGCCCACCAGCGTGACGGCCTCACCCTTGCGGCCCGCACGGGCAGTACGTCCCACTCGGTGGATGTAGTCGTCCGGGTCTCGAGGGACGTCGTAGTTGATGACCAAGCTGACTTCTTGAATATCAAGACCTCGAGCTGCCACGTCCGTCGCCACCAAGATCCTAGCCGCCGAAGCTCGGAAGCGGGCGAGATTGTCCGTCCGCTGTCTCTGGGGCAGCTTGGAGTGCAGAGAGGTGACGCGGTGGTCCAGCAATCGCAGCAGGTGGTGGAGGTACTCGGCTGTCGTTGTACGGTTGCAAAAGATGATGACCGTCTTGTTGACGTTGGCCTCGGTGAGCAGGAACACGTGGAGATAGTGCTCCTTGTGGGTGACGGGAATCTGCACGTGCTTCTGGCTCAGGGTTGCCGGGATGGCCAGCATCTGCGTGTCCACCTCGCAGACGAAGACGGGAGGCTTTCCAGGCCGCTGCGGCAGCTCCTTGAGCGCTCGCACCTCTGGCGTGATGGTTGCCGTGAAGAGAAGCGTCTGTCTCTGAGTGGCAGGCGGCAAGACTGATAGGCATTCCTCGACGTCGGGCAGCATACTGCCTTTCCCACCGGCATGCAGGAGCCGATCTGCTTCGTCGAGAACCACGTAGCGTACTCTGCGAAGCCCGCAGATGGTGTCCTCTCCAGATGTCCTAATGTGGTCTGCCAGACGGCCCGGAGTCGCAATGATGACATGTGGTCGTTGGGCGAGCGCAATGGCTTGCGATCGCATGTCGGCGCCGCCGGTGACAAGGATGATCTTGAGGCTCTGTGGAGACGAAATCGCCTTGAACTGCTCGTAGATTTGCAGGGCAAGCTCTCGGGTGGGCGTCAGGACGACAGCAAAGATGGCGGTTGGATCCTCTGCCCACTTCTGAAGCACGGGGACGGCAAAGGCCACCGTCTTTCCCGAACCTGTTCTGCTGCCTCCTATGCAGTCCCTCCCCTTCAATATCTCGGGTATGCAGCCCTTTTGAATGCCGGTTGGCCGTCTGATGGCCATGTTCCCGAGCGACTGGACAAGCCATGGCCGCACGTTGAGGGCAGCAAAGGTGGTATTTGGATCGGTGGGTGCCAGAATGGGATTCTGCGATTGCGGTAATGGTTGCGATTGCGAGGTGCCTGAGGGTTTGCTGACAGGTGTGTCTGCTCTCTTTTCGACATTTCGCTTGATTCGAGAGGGCACAGCTATGGCAGGCACTACCAATTTCGGTACCTTGCTGCCACCATCTTTGTCTTCTTCGTCGTCCTCGTCATCATCATCAACATCGTCGTCGTCCTGATCGCTCTCGTCTTCTCCAACTTGAAGCTCGGGAGAAGTGCGACGCCGTTTCCTGGCAGCGGCGCTGTCGAGGTAATCGGACTCGTCGCCGGAATCCGACGCGTTGGATGAGAGCTCCGGATCCGAAGACCGCTCCTCGTATGTAGCACCTGCAGACGGCATACTGAAAGGCCGAGGATGTGCAGTTTGCAGATGCTCTCACAGCTATTCTCGACACAAGATAATCTGGGACTACTATCACCAACTGCCCGTACTCGCACCTGGGAAAAGAAAAAAAAAAAGTTGAGAGTCGGCCATTAGGAGTGGGGCCATGGCAGCTTGGTGGGGTTGGCCTCCCACCGCCTGCTGTATTCGGCAGAAGCGCATCAAGCGGTCGTTTCGCGTCTATTTTCGACGAGCAAGATCCGAGCTTGGCTGTGCATACATGTACTCGTGGTATGTATTACCGAGTCAAGACAATACGAGCAGCAGCTTCTCAAGATCGATCGAAGCATTGTGAATGCATCTATTTTTATCAACGGCCGATCAGACAAGTCCCACCTCTACGACACCCGAAGCACTCGCTTCTTTGCTCCTTGGCCGGCCCTGTCACCTCTGCCGCGTCGCATGTATACGCATGTATACTAGACGCAATAAAAGAGGGCGAACCAACCATCGGGCGAGGCTGTAAACGCGCGCTTGGAGAAACGCCAGGCTAAGAAGCGCACGACGCTCATTGGCTCGATGACGGGCATCTGCATGCTGCGCCGCCCTTGAAACAGCATCATCAGTCGAGTCGAGCAGCAGCGATGACATTATCATGGGTGACACTGTTCGAGGCTTGAGCTGTGCCTCTTCCACTGCCCGTCCCTGTTCAAGTTCAATACGGCGGCCGTATTGCACGAGTGGCTGCGGCTGGACTTTTGTCTGCCCTCCAACTGGAGATTCCCGGCCTTGGGATCTTCTTCTTCATCTTCTTCTTCCTCTTCTAGCACCGAGAGCCCATGCATTGGTCCTATTGGCCTGACGCTTGCTGCAGTGTGTGTCAGACAAGCAAACGCCTCGCATTGACGGGATTTTCTGGGGCCAGGCCAAGACAGATATCGAGTGAATGGGGTGGCAGCCCACTCCTTCCAGCTGCTGCAGGGTGTGGCCGCTGGTCTTACATTCCACGTGTCGAACCAGTTCGGGACTTTTATGTCCAGCTCAGGGCTGATGGTTGAACGTGATCCTGGTAGCATTGCAGCTGCCACCCGACCTTTAATCTTTTTGGCACGGCTCAGGTGAGGGGAGATGGTCAGCAGCGGGCATAACACGGCGGTTTTTTGAGGACATGCACCTCTGGTTCGAGGGTCCTTTGTGCCATGCGCACTACATGTATTCACCAAATCTTACCTGTAGTTCCGGCTAATTGGAGCCACAAGGCGCCCCCGATTGATTCTGCAGGCGCATGGATGGACCAGGGGCGTCGAGAACCGCGTAGTTGGAGCGCCGCCAGCACACAAAAGTGGTGTTGTAGGGTAAGCTGGGGGAGCATTGCAGCAGCCACTACTACCTAGGTACTACCCGTGCAGGACGAGATGGAGGTCATGGTTGGAGAAGGGCTCGATACTGCGCCTGCGCCGAGCCATGGACCCTGGCTAGTGCTTTGTTCAGAACCTGGAATTGCAGTTAAAGTACATACTATTGATTATCAAATTGGATGGCTTCTGTTGTTTGTGCTTGTGTGTGAGTCGACCTGGGACTCGATACATAATAATATCGACGACGGTCAAAGAGGCGGCCACCAATCTCCCTGATGCCCCAGCCCCTGGCTCCAAGGACGGCTTGTCGAAGTGCTGATGGGCCTCGGCCGTGCCGTCTTCCGCACCAGAAGCCCGCTTACGCCTGCTCTCGGTGCATCTGTATCACCTCTCCCATCACCTGGTGCCCCTCTGGTTCAATGTTGTTTGCTCGCCTCTGCGTGCTGATTTGCCCGGAGCAGCGCTCCCGCCTCATCTCCACGTCCCAACCTTGGTTTCACCAGCATCAGCACCAGCCGCGGAAACCGGCTGCAGTCCAGTCCAGCCCAGTTCCATCACGGCCCAGGGCAGTCCACCCTCCCTCAAATGTCCACAGACACCAGTTGACATTAGCGCCGCCAGTCTGGCGAGCACGAGAGCTCATGCAGCTGGGAGTCTTCGCGTCTGGTTGGGGGGATTGGTCTGGCACTTGACCTGCAGCCACAGAGCCCTACGGCGCCCTGGGAGCTCTCCCCACAGGGGACCCCGTGGTGCGCCTCTGCAGCGCCTCGACGGGTGCTATTACAGCGCGTGGATGTACCTACATGTCGAGCCATCCTCATGTCCATACATGCGGGTACAGCGCCTCTGCCGCTGGCTGCACTGCAGGGATGCAGCCCCCCATCAACCCGCCACTCGCAATGCCCTGCAGAGCGCTGCCAGGCCTGCACAATGCCACACGGCTCCGCTGGCGCGCATCTGCCGCTCTAGACAGTACCTGTGGGTACTTGCGATGTCCTACCAAACCCCAGCAGCCGCTGTAACTGTAACCCACACACTCACCAAAGGCAGTCCTGGCTCCAGTCTGCAAGTTGTCGGTCCCCCTACAGTCGGTAGGTACCTTAAGAGTTGAACCACTCCATGAGCATTACTTGTACTGCTCAGACCCCGAGCTGGCCATAAGCTTCACCTCAGCACCAGCACCGACCTTGTTCAGCCATCATCGTCTTCAAATCCTTCGTTTTGACTGCTGCCCTCTGTCTCAAACCATCCAGTGCCTCAATTTTGCCTTCTTTTTGTTTTGCCTTCCAGCGGACGTTCAACGGTCGATACATACTTGCACATCCATACCTCTCAACTTCAGCCGGCTATCCCCTCTTGAGCGGCTGTCCCCTCACTCGCCCGTCGCCTTCGACCCACGCTGGCACCAATCGAACTGTGCATGCGAGCATTCGCCTCTTGCGACTTGAACAATCACTTTGCCAACGCATCGCAAATCGCCCGCCAATATTCTGCATTTTTTTCGTTTCTGTTTCATGTTGGCATCAGCGTCGCTCTATTTTAGCTTCTGCCCGCCCTCTCCCTGTCCTTCTTGCACAGCTCTTGTCTGACCATCGTTCGGATTGCTCTGCTTTTCTTCTCTCTCGCTCTCGTTTTTTCTGCAGCGGCTGTTTGTACTGCTCCGTACATACTACCTAGGGCCTGCGCGTGTCTCCGTGTGCCGCTCCGACCTCCAGCCTCGCAAAAGTCCCAACCGCCGGCCTCTTTGCCTCTCACCAGCCGCCAAATTCGCTCGCTTGGACGCCGTCGCGATAATTTGCCTTGATCGGCACTGCTCACCACCATGGCTGACGCAGCTCCTTCACAATCTCAGGGCAGCGACCCCGCCGCCCAGCTCGTGAGTCGCATGCACTCTCTTGAACCTCACCCCCCCTGGACGGACGTGGACAGCACGACTGACTGAACTCTGTGGCTGCAGCATCCCGCCTCCTCCTCGTCCTCGTCTTCCTCCTCCGCCGCTCTCCCGACTCCCATGTCCGTACCGATCATGAACTCGCCCGCACCGCTCATGCGTCCTGCCATCCCAGGGAGCCGCGGCCGCGCTGCGCCCAGATTGGGCCTGGCCATCCCGCCCTCACCAAACGCCAAGCCCGTGGGCAACCTGACGATCCAGCCGCCCGCCAGACCCCCTCTGCCGACGCTGCACCTCGCCACGCCCATGGGCAGCCAGGTCACACCAGTTGAACAGCCCGCGAGGCCACAGGGGATACAGCCCGGGCAGTCTGCAGGCGGCGGCAGCGAGAGCAGCGCGGCGCATTCGAGGTCTGGGAGCTTCGGCCCTCTGGACGGGCGGGCAAGCAACCCCACGTCCGCCGGCTCTCAGTTTTCGGCCCTTTCCTTTGCCTCCCAGTATGGCATCCCCGTCACTCGAGCCCAGGGAACCCCGGATCCTGTATCTGCCGTTGGCTCCATGAGGAGCGAAGGCGGTGTCTCTATGGAGAGAGATGGAAGCCTGCAGGGCCTCGAGGGGTTCGACAGACTCAGCATTGAGAAAGCAAGAACTGCTGATGTCGAGGATCTGGACGACGAGGGATGGAGAATTGCCAGCCTGGAGAAGCGAATCGTTGAGCTGGGCAACCTGGGTGAGGGTGCAGGAGGTGCTGTGACCAAGGCCATGCTTAAAGGCGGCAAGACCGTCTTTGCCCTCAAGGTATGCTCTCTAAAAATCAAATTCAACCGCCATGTCCGATGGCTCACTGATCCCACGTTAGGTCATCACTACCAATCCCGATCCTGATGTCAAGAAGCAAATTGTTCGAGAACTGGGTTTCAACAAGGAATGTGCCTCGGACCACATCTGCCGCTACTACGGAGCATTCGTTGACCCCTCTACCGCCACCATCTCCATTGCCATGGAGTTTTGCGAAGGAGGCTCTCTCGACAGCATCTACAAGGAAGTCAAGAGGCTAGGAGGTCGTACTGGCGAAAAGGTACTGGGCAAGATCGCCGAAGGCGTTCTTGGTGGCCTTACCTACCTACACACGCGAAGGATCATCCACCGAGACATCAAGCCCTCCAACATCCTGCTGTGCCGCGACGGCTCAGTGAAGCTCTGCGACTTCGGTGTTTCGGGCGATTTCGGAACCAAGGGTGAAGCCAACACCTTTATTGGAACCAGCTACTACATGGCTCCGGAGCGTATCACCGGCCAGTCCTACACCATCACCTCGGACGTTTGGTCCACGGGAGTCACGTTGCTCGAAGTCGCGCAGCACCGATTCCCCTTCCCTGCGGACGGCACGGAGATGCAGCCTCGTGCAGGCCTGATCGACCTGCTCACGTACATTGTGAGGCAGCCAGTGCCGAAGCTCAAGGACGAGCCCGACAACGACGTCTACTGGAGCGACAACTTTAAATATTTCATCGAGTGCTGGTAAGTTTTGCTTGGACTTTTTTTCTGTGAGGCTTTGGCTTTGTGGCTAATCATTTTCGGTGTCTCATAGTCTGGAGAAGCAGCCTAACCGTAGAGCGAGTCCCTGGAAAATGCTAGAACACCCATGGATGGTCGAGATGCGATCAAAGAGAGTCAACATGGTCAAGTACCTATCCTTTGTATGGGGCTGGGACGAGAAGCAAGTCAAAACTTCTCAATGAACATGACACATACCCTGGCAAAGCTTGAAAAAACGATGACAATGCATTGCTGCTCATTACGGCTGGACCAGCGGGCTGGCCTTGTCGTGCGGTGCGAGGATACACGTGCTGAGATGAGTTTTCGATGCATTATGACGATGCTGATGAGGGCATTTGAATCATTGAACCACCAGCGATGGATCTGCAATAGAAGCATATTTCTGCAGAAAGAGGAGGACGAACAAACGAACGAACGAACGGGCCAGAGAGAGAGAGAGAGCGAGAGAGAGAGAGTGATAGAGAGAGAGAGAAGGGCCCAAAGGCGAAGAAAGAACGGTTCATGAGAGGAGCTGTTCATGCTACATCTTGAAGTTGTCAACGTGGGACATTTGACATATTCTTTGGCTATCAAGCGCGAGCACATAGCGGTTATTTTCTTGTTCCCCCCTTTTGTCATTGTATTCACACTCATCAACGCGGCGTTATATAGTTGGGATCATTTTTTCTCTATTTATCCATATATATATCGAGAAATAGCTCAAAAAAAATGTAAAAATATGCCAATGTATTCCAAAAAGCGCAATCATCATTGCTACGACAGACCATTATAATGTTTGAAAGCAGACCACCAGCATGTCTTAGTACTCATGCAATAGTATAAGATTGTGATGCTTCTTCCCTCAGGCGGTGTTGCTCTCCGGGGGGTCGCCCATGAGCTCTCGCAGCGTGACGGTTGCATAGGCGCTTCTGCCGAGCTGGAACTTGATGACTGCTGCAATCTTGAGGGGCTGGTCTACCTCCATGGTTTCCTGTGCGCTTGTAGTCTCTGCAGACTCTTCGGCTTTGTCATTGCCGGTGGCGGCAGCTTCGTTTGTTGCCTCGTTTTGCGTGACGGCGTCAGACTCTTGGTCTTCCTGTTGTACCTTGGCCACCTTGCTCGGTCTCGCATCGTCACTCTCTTCGCGAGAACGCTTGTTGCTGTTGCTGTTGCTGTTGCTATTGTTGTTACCGCTCGCCTTACGAGCAGCTCTGATGAGATCCAGATCCGTCGGGTGCATCTGCTCCTCGTCGCTCACATACGTCTTGAACTCGACGGCGGGCGTGCCGAGGAACTTGTTCATCAGCTTGCGGTACCGCCCGGGCAGGCTGAACTCGCGGCGCATGCGGCGCATCTTGTGCGGGTCCAGCCCGCCGTTCTCCTCGCGGCCCATGAAGTCGACGTAGAAGTCGCCAATCTCGTTATCCGGGTAGATGACGTCGTAGCCCGGCGTGGGGAGGACGACGTCGTGGATCGTGTACTTGCCGCTTGCCGCCTCTTCCTCGGTGAGCGGTCTGGCGCGCAGGGGCACGTCGTCGTCGTCCTCAACGACGGGGTTAACAATGTCGTCGCCGTCTTGGTCCTGGCCGCTGATTTGCGGCGTGGCCTCGGTCTCGGCGATGACGAGGTCTCCCTTGACGACCTTTTCGCCGTGGAGCTCCCATCGCCTGCTCGCCGCGTGGTTCCACACGTAGGATTGTAATGCGTGGAGATACATGGAGCGCAGGCCTCGGGTGATGTGGATGAGGGCGCCGACAAAGTCTCTTCGGGACTGCTTGCCCTGCCTGTTGAGATGACGGAGGACGCATACTTCGGCCGAGAACCGCCGGGGCATGATCTCGATGGCCTTGTCTACGTCCTTTTCCGTCTTGAAGAGCATGCAGGCGAGGTGGCGGTTGTATTCGTCCCTCTTGGCCGGCTCGTCCGGGATGCCCTCTGTCTCTGCCTTGTGGGCGATTTCTTCGTCGTAGGCGAGGATGGCGTTGATTGCTGCCTCGTAGTTGTCGCCCAAGATGAGCTTTCCAATCTCGTGCGTTCCGATCTGATGAGTGCCGAATCTCTGATGGCCAAAGTAGTTGATCCATCCATGCTCCGTCATGTGGTCCAATGCGGACTGGACATTTTCACGCATCAGCTCGACCTGCTCGGATATCGGTTTCGTGCTGGCATCGCCGACAATCTGGCAGTTCTTGATCGTTATGACAAATTCGTTGCCCAGCAGCTCTCCTAGGTGGATGGGCTCCGACTTGTACTCATAATCGCCCGTCGTTATGCCCCAGAGCTTCCCGTTGATGCCTGCAAGACTTCGGTCCCGCGTGTATCGGACGGAGCAGCGCTGGACTGTGGAAGCACGTCGGTCCTTGGTACCCGCGTAGTTGATCACCTGAGGCTTCACCTTGAGGATGCGGGCAATCTGGTTGACGGCATCCATGGTGTCGCGGTTATCCTTGAAGAGGGTGAAGTGAAGATACTCGCCAATAGGCTGGTCGTCTTGCCTGTTACGGTTCCGATTGCGTCCGCCCCGGCCTCGTTTGCCTCTCCGCGTGGGCGCCGCATAGCTTGCAACGATAGCGCCGGCATCGTCTGTGCTGGTCTCTATCCTGGAGTTGAAGATGCGTCGAATCTCCTGGTGAATCTCTCCGCGCTTGAACTTGTCGTCGACGGGTTCAGAAGTGACCGACTTCTTCTTCTCCGGAGCCTCTACCTGGCTTTCTTGGAACAGGTCCACGAGCTCTTGCGCAAACTTTTCGCCAGCCAGGTTGCTGAGAGCTGTGACGTCTTCTGCTGGAACCTCGATAATTTCCTTCTCCTGGGGTGTGTCGTTGGCGCCATCGGCATCGTTGGCATCGGCGTTTTCGGCTGCTTCATGCTGCTTCTTAGGCGTACCGACCTCTTCGGCTGGCGCAGCGTCTGTTGTCTATCAAGTCGGTCAGATCCAGCTGCATCTTGGGTCAACTTCCGGTCATCAATCACCTGCTTTTCCTGGCCACCCAACCCGATCTTGCGCAGATGCACAACGGCACCGTCTTTTCCAATCTCATTGACTTGAAAGTCTGAGAATCTATAGATGCATCAGCAACTCGTCCACTCCTTTGGGAGCATATCAGGAAGCGCGTACCTCACGCGCAGGTCGCCCACCCACGGAAACCGCAGAGGCGTGGCGCGCTGCGTGATTCCTATCGACTTGGCGTGAGACGCACTCTGGCGCACATTGTAATGCGCCTGCTCGCTCATGATCACGGTTGAGGCAGCAAAGAGGCGTGGACTCAGTTTCATTCTAAGCTTCACAATGATGGAAATTCTCATCAGACACGGGCTCTTTGAGTCTTTGTGGGGCGCATTATGCCGGCAGTTGCGCAGTCTCTGAGTACATACGGTAGGCGGTGAGAAGTGCTGGGTGGCCAAATAGGTAGGCGGTAACAGCTGGCACTCTTCTTGGTGACATGCGAATTTGGGCATCTGATTGCTTTCAGGATGCAAACTAATTTCATGTCTAATTGATTGCCATTTTAGAATGAGCCATAATGGGCTTTATAAGAGGATCTTTAGGTACCTACCTAATATACTCCTTTGATTGAAATTAGACAAGTACCTTATCTGCTAAAAGCGCGCAGCGCTCCTTCCATCTCGATTGATGCATCACGATGTACATGTACTTCATGCCACATCAAAAGCAATGCTTCAAACAGCAGTTATTCTTTCCAGATGATGCACACGCACGTGATGGAAGAATCAAAACCTCAAGGGCACCTTTCGAAGCCAGTCGAGCTCCTTTGACTGCAAACTTGCCCTAGTCACCTATCTCACATCATCCCCTTGGAATAACATCAATCTCCGTTCTCACAAACCACGTCTCATATTGCATCCGTGATACACATATATCCCATCCTTAGATCCTATATTATTTGACATTAGTTCTATCTTTGCCTTCTGGCTGAGCACGGCCACATCTCCAGATCCCGACCGTATCCCAGGCATCCGCTCTGTTATTGGTTCCACGTTGTTGCCTCCTTTCAGTAAAGGCAGACGCTTTGCGTAGGAAACTGAAGGCTCGGCCTCGGGGACCGCTTCAGTAAATGCGGGACAGCAACTTGAGATAGTTGTCTCATCAGCTGAAGTGGATCATGCAAACTGTACGGTTTGCAGCCGACTCTGCAAAGCCTGACCAAGGCTCGCGGTCAGGCTCACTCTCGGGGGAGCTACTTGAGCAGCCAGGTATACCTTCTCTGGAGACATCTAGACGATTTGCTTTGCTAAGCGCTTCCAGATCCGCATGGCTTGCTGACGCCCCTTGAAATGTTCGACTTTGGGGGCAACGGGTTGAACGAGCCCAAATTGTTGGACTTCTCCGACGAGATCCGCTCTCACCTCCTTGAAGACCATTCGCTGGGCCCCTGGGCCGAAACGGTCAAGAGAGTCTTTCGCAAGCTGTTAAGGGACGAGGGTGCCGCCTTGCCGGCCGTGAGCTTTGCGACAATCCAAAACGCTCGGCTGGATAAGTTGCTTTCCGATATCTTGACATTGGGCCATCAGCAAGTGTCGTCTCGCCTCCGGCCTCGCCTCAACATAGCGATAGCCGAAAGGCTACAGAGATCATGGATGGCCAGATTCCGCGAAGAATTTTTCAACATTGATCAGACTCGGCAGGAAGACTTGTCAAAGTCTAGTAGACTGAAAGATGTGGTCTTCAACAAGAAAGCTGCCAATGGCTGGGAGCTCTGGAAGGCCGCGAAGTGTAAGACGGTATCGGGGCTTGAGTGGAACCTGCAGTTCAAACCAGGATAGTGAGTTGCATAAGACATGTGTTCTCTTACGGTTTTATACTGACAGGTGTGACAGCTAGTGGCTGAACCTGGCGTGTGCATATCGAGATGGCATTGTGGGAGCCATCAAAGAAACGCCCACAAAAGGCAGATACGGGGCTGCCGCACTTCCATTACTGACGGGCCGCGAAGAGGTGGTGTCTACGGATACCGTTCGCTACATGCGAGAAGCAAGGCTCTCGGAAACGCACATCTCCCTGATATCCCACGTCGGGTCTCAGATTCGTATCCTTCGAGGCCACCGGCTCAGAAGCCCGCTTTCGCCACAGGCGGGCATACGATATGATGGACTGTATAGCCGTTCCCTCTCTTTTGCTTTATGAGACACGGGTAAAGTACTGCTACTGACAGTCTTTCAGATACATAGTCAGACGATACAGCCTCAAGCAAATCTCGCAGACTCGGCTGCATCGAATCGTTGTCACGTTGGAGAGAATCTCGAAACAGCCCAGCATGACGGAGCTGGCCAGAATCCCCCTTCCCTCGCAGATGGATGACTGGTTGCTGTTTGAGAAACACGAAGGCGAGATGATCCGGCAACATCGCGGTGAGCAGAGCTTCTTGGAGTGGAAATTGATGAAGGCGCAGGAGAGGATGGACCGACGTCAATGGAGACGTGCCCTCGAAGTTGGAGCTGCCTTGACCAATGCCCGGAATGCGAATACGGCTCCAGAATGTGTGACTTGGGGCTCCAGCAAGATGCTCCCCACTATCTCGGACCTCCAATAAGTATGCAGTATCGCTTACATTGCTGGTGCAACCTCACATTACCATTTCGACAGGATGAGGTTTCATGAAGAAGCACATGCAAGATACTAGGCTGGGGGTCTGCCCATCTCACTCATGCTTTTTGGAGGGGCTTTCTCAGAGGCGGGGCTTACCAATTCGACGAAACTTCACTCGTACAACTATTCGCCAAATTGCAATTCAGAACCTGCAGGATGGGCAAAAACGACAAAAAGTCTGGCGACAAGGGCGGCGGCAAGGGAAAAGGTGCCGAGGGTAAAGAAAGCGGAGGCAAGGCAAAGGGAGCCATGTCTATCAACGTCCGGCACATTCTGGTACGTCATGAGAGGAAGATGATATGCGATGGGTTGACGCCCCAGCCTCACTCCCTTGTCATCCTCTGTGGTGACGCTATTGGTTTATCGAATATCTGCAGAGAACAGGGCGAGGAGCTGACCACTAGAAAGTGTGAAAAACACTCAAAGAAGGAAGAGGCCCTGGCGAAGCTGAGCGAGGGCGTCAAATTTGACGAGGTGGCACGCACTTACTCGGAAGACAAGGCACGACAAGGTATCATTCTGACCCCTTATGAAATTCCTCCAAGTCACTTGCTCACCAGTTTTGTCTGTTCATGTAGGTGGTTCTCTTGGTTGGAAGACAAAGGGGAGCCTGGATCCTACGTTTGAAGAAGTTGCCTTTTCCTTGGAGCCGAGCACTACGAGCAGTCCCAAGATTGGAGAGGCCAAGACATCGTTTGGCTATCACATCATAATGGTGAGTTTGAGAGACGTCAAATCAGCATGAAAAAGAAGGGTCCTAACAAGCCGACGCATAGGTCGAAGGTCGGAAATGAACATGGACAAATGGCCGGATGTCAGGGAACAAGTTCACAGAAAAGAAGCCAGCAGGTCACTTGATTCTTAATTCCTTTTTTTATTTCCCCGTCATGCAAGATGGCCGTGTTGTTAGGCCTAGAGTACAACCCTAAAGAAAGTCGTTTTTTCCACGCGTCCTGAAGAGAAACCAAGACCGCACCTCTATAACCTTTTTATTTCAACGCCGTCCATGCCCTTACTGGGAAGTCTGGAAGTAGTTCAGGATGATGGAGCGCTCCTGGGACTCCTCACCCCAGTCCTTAACCACGACGCAGGAGCAGTTGACGACCTTGCGGGCGTTACCCTCACGGTCCAGGACGCCTAGCAAAAGTGTAAGTAAATCGTATTCCCCTCTGCTTTCTTCTTGGTCTTCAAGACCCAGATCAGGGACATCACATACAGAGACCGGCCCACTCGCCGAGCTGCTTGCCATCGGGAACCTTGATGAGAGGGATCTTGTGCTCATTGCAGAGGGCGATGACCAGCTTCTTGTAGGCCTCCTCCTCGCAGTTCTCGTTCAGGACGCACATGTGGGCCTGGCGACGGTCCAGAGCCTTGGAGGCTTCACGGAGACCGCGGGCGAGACCGTCGTGCATGAGGGCGAGCTTGAGAACACCCTTGAGGGCGTCCAGGACGGACATCTGGCCCTTGGGGGCATCTCCGGAAACTTCAACCTCCTCGGCGACCTCGGGGGCGTTGTTCTCTTCTACGTCCGACTGCAGTTTCGCAAAAATCCCTTTGTTAGCGCTGCGCTCCCAATTTCCTGCTTGCTCATGGAGGGGAAAAGTTTCGCGAATCGACGAGTTCGCATGTTCGGCGAGGGGCTCAATTCCTCCGTGCAATTCGCATTTCGCAAGCGCAAGGCGCAGAAAGAAAACAGACGAGAGGCGAGCTTCGTTCCGACATTGGCGATTCCCGGGAGTCTAGGAGCTGGGCGATAAACTCACCATCTTGATTGTTGTTCTTGTCGGGCGATCCTCGAAGATTGAATTGATGTGTGAAGAATTAGTGACGGGGGTTTTTGCGTCGTGCGCGGAACAGGTGGTAGTAGAGATTGAGGATAACGGGGATTTGCCGAAATCAAGGCAACCGAGTGTGCAAGCGTTAGGGCATTTTTGCGCGCACGGGCCACCAGGGCACACAACGCACCAACGAGGCTGGACCCGCAGCAGCCGGAGCCTGAGCCTGAGCCTGGCGGGAACCGAGTTTTCGCTTTATCGATCTCAGCTCCTCCTACGATCTTTTTTTTCCTTCCTACCTACTCCTCAGCCAAACTCTTGGAACAACGAGGTACGTATGGCCTTTGGTCACCGCTGACGGCGATACCGACATGGCAGGATGACGCCTTTTATTGTGGCCGGGGACAGCAATCGTCGACGCCGGCCCGGATGATGAGCGAACAATGTCGATGGGATCAGAACGCGCCGTGATGCTGCTGCATCGCGCTGCTGCTGTTCCCTGCGAGCACACGTCCTTCTTCGATGGCCGGCGTTTGGCGATACGCTGCTTTTCCTCTTTCCCCTTCGGCAATGAGCGGGCTGAACCCTCGTCGACGGATCGCTGAGGGCACTCTCCATGCTCATGGGCCACTCCGAGTCTAACGTCGCTTGTGTGGCAGATACCTCATTTCCAAACCCGACTTGAGAATCTCCTCTCGACACCAAATACCGCCAAAATGGTCCGCACTTCCGTTCTCCACGACGCCCTCAACTCCATCAACAATGCCGAGAAGGCCGGCAAGCGTCAGGTCCTGATCCGACCTAGCTCCAAGGTCATTGTCAAGTTCCTGCAGGTCATGCAGCGCCACGGTACGTTTGGACGGAATTTGCGATGCCTCGTCTTGTTTGCTTTTCTTTTGCCCTCCTCTTCGGCATGATAACTAGGGCTACGATCGATACCGCACCACGGTCCAGCCCCTATAAGTTGCCGATATATTATCCTGCGGTGGATTTTCTACAGATTTTTCACGCTCTTTTTATCACGTTACAAGTCGCCTGAGATCTTCCGCAACATTACTGACGATGTTCTCTTTGCAGGCTACATTGGCGAGTTCGAGGAGGTCGACGACCACCGCTCTGGCAAGATTGTCGTCCAGCTTAACGGCCGGTAAGTCGCCCTTAGAGAGTGGCAACACCGCGCAACTTCGTTGTCTAACTTGCCCGTGAATAGTCTCAACAAGACTGGTGTCATCTCCCCCCGCTACAACGTCCGCCTGGCCGATCTCGAGAAGTGGGTCGTCAAGCTGCTGCCTGCCCGTCAGTTCGGCTATGTCATCCTCACCACCTCTGCTGGTATCATGGACCACGAGGAGGCCCGACGAAAGCACGTTGCCGGCAAGATCATTGGCTTCTTCTACTAGACAAACAAAAACCAAAATTTGGCGGTAGAGAGGAATCAATAAACAAAAAAGACGGGTTTGGGCATTCTCGGCGTTCCAATGGTGATCGCGGTGACAGTGATCAGCATCTTCTGATTTATACTGGGGTTTTCCACCTTTGAGCTTAGCGTACACTGGCAATATACCACAGATGAGAAAGCCCAAAATTACGTTTCCGTTTCAACTTGTTTGTGATTCCTGAGTCTGTATGCACGGCATCTCAGCTGAGACCCCGATACTGTCCTTATGTAATCTCTGGTCAAGCTAGCACGTCTCCACCAATAAGGTGGACAAGTGCCTGCAAATGGGTTGCCATCACCACCTGCGCAAAGTAAACAAAACAAATCATTTTGCTCCTCATCAGGAGACAAGCTCCGTTCAAGAACTGCCATGACTTGATTATCATTCTTATTAGCGAAACTGAGTCGCTAGGCTGTTGCTCTATGAGCTCTCGTTGGGGAATTGGAATTGGTAGTTTTACTCCTTCTTCTCCCGCCTTGATTCCAGCGATGCGATTGTCTCACCTTCACTGAGCGAGTGGATTCTTGGGTCAATCTCGAGATGCGGCGGCGTCCCCTTTTCATCGCTGTGGCTGCTCTGGTCTTGTGCTTTTGCGCATACTCTCTCATCGGAAAACTTGACGATGGCCTCAGGATAGCAGCAAATCCTCTTGCGGAGCCTCAGCACCATGAGAAAGAGCATCAGCAACCACTGCAACAACCCGCCTCAGCATCAACACCACCTTCACCAACGACATCAGCACAAATCTCAGCCTCACCAGGTCCAGTAACATGGCAGGACTCACCCGTCGTTACAGGAGGCCCAAAGCCGAAAAAGGCCCCCGATGCAGCATCACATCCAATCATCCACCTCATGAGAGATGCCCAGCACGACTTCGCCGAGGTCAGGAAACGACAGTCCACGTCTCTGGAAGAGGCCGTCAAAGAGTACCGCAGGCGATACGGCATCCCGCCTCCTCCGCACTTTGACAAGTGGTACGACTTCGCCGTGAGCAACAAGGTGCAGCTGATTGACGAGTTTGACACCATCCACGACATGATGACTCCCTACTGGGGGCTGCAGCCGCGGACGCTCCGCGCAAGGGTGACGGAGGCGCTGGGATATGATAACGGGCTGTTGGGTGTTGCTATCCGCGATCATGAGATTACGCACATGGAGCATGGGTTCGAGTGGCAGAAGAATGCCACAAAGGGCATGATGGACAAGTTTCTACAGTACCTGCCGGACATGGATCTGGCATTCAACATCCACGACGAGCCTCGAGTTGTTGTTCCGCATGACGACCTGTCTCGCCTCGTTAGCAAAGCCAAGGACGAGACCATGGCCGCGTTGAGCGGCAAAACGAAGCTCGTCAACGACTTCTCAGCAAGGCCATCCGACCTCAACGACGGCAAGACGTTCAAGGAGACAAAGCTCACGCGCTTCAGCAACATCCGGCACCAGTCCACCTGGGCAGACTCCCGCCTGTCCTGTCCGCCAGACAGCCAGGCAAGGATCCTCGAAGACGAGCGCGCCGACGATCTGAGCCGGTACGGCGTCAGCGATCTCGCTTTCGTGTACAACGCCACTGCCATGTCCGACATCTGCCTTACGCCGTCCCTCAGCTCGACGTATGGCTTCTTTGACCGCCCAAACACGTTCATGATCACCCACGACCTGCTGCCCGTCTTCTCCCAGTCCAAGATATCGTCCTACGGGGACATTGTCTACCCGTCTCCGTGGTACTGGTACAAGAAGGTCGCGTACAACGAAAGCAACGACATGTCCTGGGACGACAAGGAGAGCAAGCTCTACTGGCGAGGTTCCACGACCGGAGGCTACAGCCGCAACGGCGGTTGGAGGCGGCATCACCGCCAGCACTTTGTTCAAAAGATCAACTCCAAGGAGCAGGCCAAGATCATGGCCAACAGCGGCACCCCCGAGAGCCCCCAATGGGAGCCCAAAGAGGTGCCCCGCGGCGACTACCAAAAGCTCGTCGACGTTCACTTTTCTCACGTCGGGCAGTGCGATCCGGGAGACTGCGAGGCCCAGAAGCAGTTCTTTGACGTGGTCGATCCGGTCGACCAGCAAGACGCCTGGGGGTACAAGTACCTCCTCGACATGGACGGCAACGCCTTCTCCGGCCGGTTCTACGCCTTTCTGCAGAGCCGCAGCCTGACTTTCAAGCTCGCGCTGTTCCGGGAATGGCACGGCGAGTGGTTGAGGCCGTGGGTGCACTACGTGCCGCTGAGCCTGCAGGGGGACGACTGGCTCGAGGCGGTGCGCTTCGTCGACGAGGATCCCGAGGGGGCTGCCGAGGGGCGCAAGATTGCGGAGGAGAGCCGCGAGTGGGCGAATCGGGCGGTGAGGAAGGAGGATATGGAGGTGTGGTTTTTCAGGTTGCTCTTGGAGTGAGTTTCTCTCTCTTGCCCCCCCCTTTTCTTCTTCTTTTTTTCTTTGATTTCTGTTGTAGCGTGAAGGTAAGCTCTTGTGATGGGTACTGACTGGGCTTTCTTTTGCAGATATGCACGGGTCATCGACGATAACAGAGAGAATCTTGGATTTCAGATACGAGCTGGGAGGGCATGATGATGGGAGAATAAAGCATCATTGGGCCTTGTATAAGAGTAATACTACCATAGTTTACTACATGTCTCTACACTCTACATCATCTTGGGGATACACGAACTCAAACAGGACAGACTTGGGGGGCAATTGTATACATATACTCGTGAACGAACTTGGTCCGCGGTAGAATTACTAGTAAAAGGGGCCACGCATTTTTCATTACTGTCCATCTATATACCTGATGAGAACCGTTGTGATGCAAGGCCCAACCTTCACTCATCCCCTCTCAAAGATTCGGAAAATCACACAAAGATAGGGAAAGGAAAAGATGCCACTTTTAACGAAACACGTCCCCAACTCCCAACTTCTCCTCAATTCACGCCAGCAAAACGCTCCTAATCCTCATCCTCATCCTCGTCACCCTCAGCATCGCGATGCGCAGAAGGAGACCGCTCCTGTCCTCCCGGGCTCGAGGCTCCATTCCGCTCGGCCTCTTCCCCGTCGGCATCGACGTCGGCGTCCTCAATCGACTGCTCGATGTGCTCGTGCTCGTGCTCGTGCTCCTGCTCGTGCTCGTGCTCCTCGGCGCCCTCCTCCTGGTCCCAGCCGAGAGGGTGCTCCGCGTACATCTTCATCGCGCCGCGCATCTCCTCGGTGGGATCCTCGACGGTGAGGTCCAGCTGGTCGACGACCTGCGCCTCGTCGTCGTCGGCCAGGCCATAGTTTGTGCGCGCAATGTTCTTGGTGCGCTGGGGCCGGATGGTGGACTTTTGCATAATGGGGTAGTAGTAGACGGCCTTTTGCTTGGGGTACGTCGTGTCGTCGTTGACGGCCAGGATGATTTCGTCCTCGTACTTGGTCGGGTGGTCGAGCTCCGTCTCCTGGGCCGTCTCGTACGCCCGGATCCTGTTGAACTGGAAGTAGCCGCCCGTGTCCGCCTTGTGCGTGTACAGGTCGTCGTCGTCGTGGCTGGGGTCGTCGACGTCGAACTTGCGGCGGAAGCGGTCGGCGTCGGCGCGGGTCTGGCCCAGGTAGAAGTCGTAGTTCATCAGGTTGGCCGGCTTGGGGTTGTTGACGGGGTCCTGGGTGTAGGCCTCCATGGCGGCCTCGAGCGCGGCCTCCTCGGCGGCCGTGCGGTCTATCGGCCGGAACAGGCCGCTGCGCAGGCGGGTGTCGTACTCGCTGGAGCTGGAGACGGGGTTCGTGAGGAACTTGATGGTGACGTAGGCTCCCGAGTCGGGGAACGCGTCCAGGTCCGGCAGCAGGGGCGCGGCGTCGACCAGCTTGAGGTGCTTCTTGGACGGGTGCTTGACGCGCTTGGGGTCCTTGAGGTCCTGCTCGGCAATCTCGAAGCTCTTGTCAATCTTGCGCTTGATGACCTGCGGCGAGTCGGCGGCGGGCTCGGGGCGCTTAGCCGGCCGCCGGTTCTTAGCCAGCAGCGCTCTGGGGTGGTTCGCCTCGAGGCGTTTCGGCATCAGGGACGAGATGTATTCCGTTCGGCGGAGGAAGGAGACGTTTGCCTCGGCGACCTTGGGCTTGCCGAGGGCTGCGATGGGTCTGAGGAGGGCGCGATCGTGCGGGTGGACGGGCGGTGGCTGTGATGATGCTTGGATTGCTGGCGAGGACACGTTCCCAGGTCAGAACTTGGGGGTGCCCCGTCACGAAAGGAAAGACATCAAACAGGAAGGGTCAAGTTAAACTCACATCGCTCGTCTCCGTCAAACACGCCCGGCATTCCCACCAGATCCAGCGGCATGCCCAGCTCTGCATCAGCCTCAATGTTCAGCGGCTGCTCTCGCGCCAGACGTGAGGCGAAGCCAGGCGTCGTGTACTGTCCGCTCGCGAGGCCGGTGTTGGGGATGTCGAGCAGCTTGGGGGGGTTCGGCGGAGGGGGCAGAGCATTGGAGAAGCGGATGCGCGCAATGAAGTCCTGGTGAATCATGCGCTCGCCCGAGCGAGCTGCTGAGGACGACGACATCGTGGATCCCTTTTCCCCCCGACTTCTCGTTTGCTGGCCAATCTGTCGACACGAGGCTGAGGCTGCCAGCTGCAAGCAGGGTTAAACTCCTCTTCAATCGAGTTGCTCCTCAAGGGCATTCGACGCCGATGCCCTCAATTGCCGGGTTCGAGGGGCGATCTGGAGAGGGACGTGGTGGAGTGTCGGTGATGATGGGAGGGAAAAAAGAGTCGCGCGCAGCTCAGAAAAGGCGAGGCTGCAATTCTGCGGCAGCCTCAAGTGGCTCCCCACCAACGCGACTGGCTGCAGCGGATAGGCCCAATATCAGCAGCAACAGCAGCAGCAGCAGCAGCAGCAAATTCCCACCCAACTTCAAGAGAAAGAGAGACTCAAATAAAGCAAGTTCAATTAATAACAGGAATAATTGAGGGAGCAACCAAGAAAAATAAAGAGAAAAGAATACATATTGCTGTCTTGTAAAGCGTATAAAAAGCTATCTCATTAAATAAATATAGGTAACTACTCGCTCCCTGCGAGAGCTCGTCTCCAAGACCTGGTTCCCATGCGTTTCGTATCAGTCATCCCGAGTCTAACCCATCCGTCTACGCCTTTTAAGGATTCAGTTAACAGGCCCTGTGCTTTTCTTTGCTTTTGTGTGCAAGAGTAAAAGATCTCTTCCCCAGGCCCCATTGTGTCCCGCACACGTCTCTGTTGCACCAAGCCCGTACAAATCATCGTGACACGCGTAGGCAAGTGCCCAGTGGCTCGGGGCTCACGCCAGCCCAGCAAACAGCCTCCCGCTTCCTTCGATTCGAAGTCTTGTCGAGCAGAGACCACCTTTCTGTCTCCACCCTGGTCGTTGGCCAGTCCGTCTACGATCGGTCCTTGATGTAGGACTTCTTGCCAATGGTAAAGGGCACGTAGCGGTACTTGATCATGTGCTGGATCTGTCGGCGCACTGCAGGGTTACGTTAGCAGATTGAGGGCAGACGGAGGGTCTTTTGGGAATGACGCTTACTCGTGAGGACAAAGAGAATGAGCCAGTACATGACCAAGACGGGCCAGAAGACGGGCACGTCAAAGATGGAGAACCAAGTGCAGACGAACGAGATGCCAATGGCCCTCGTGGCCCAGTACCAGAACTTGAACTCGGGAAGACGCCTGATGAAGGGCTTGAACTCCTCGTCCTGCTTGGTCGGCAGAGTGCCGACGGCGCCATCCTCCATCTCGTTATCGAGCGCATCGTTGGAGGGGTCGAACTTGGGCTGGAGGAAAGCCAGGAACAGGTTCAAGAGGTAGATGCCGAGCGCGTAGGCAACTGCGCAGATGAAAAGACAAAAGAGTCAGCTTCGGATCTCGCGTTGCAACCCCATTTCTAGTCCGTATCAAACTTCTTGATGGCTTTTTCGGGCCACGCTGCACTTACCAATGTACCATCCTTGCGCGAAGAAGATGCGCAGGAAGAAGACAACCAGGGCCACGCCGGTGCCAATCCATCGGTACATAACATACGGAGTTGACTGGTCCAGGATCGCTTGGTAATGCTGGCCACAGTTAGCAGGACAGGCCAACAACGCAAGTTCAACCAAAGGCCGCGCAAACGCACTCTCTGCAGCCTGGTGGTGTGGGCTGTGACCGCCGCGAAAGGGGTCTGTTCAGGCTCTGGCGCATCCATATTGGAGGGCTGTCGATTGGTCGTCGCCTCGAAGGAGTTTGAACCGGGGGGGAGAAGAGGATTGCTTTCGGCCAGAGCAGACTGGAGACGTCGAGGAAGGGATTGAGAAGTCGCGAATCGGCGGAGGAGACTCGCACAGCCGGGCAGCGAGATTGCGTGAGCAAGCAGTGAAGAGGAGAAACAAGGGACACAGGAGGATTGGATTGGATGGCCAGCAAAAGAAAAAAGACAGTCGATTGATCGCGGCGAACAGGATGATCTGGCGTGGGGCGCAGTCAGCTGTGAGAAGGCACACGCACAGCACAGGCAGCATTGAATTTCAGCCACGTAAGGCTTGCCCCTGGCAGCCGCTAATCTTGTCGACTTGAGACGAGGCCGACGTTTTGCCGGTCCCTGCAGAAGTCTGGTTTGGAATTAGTATTATTATGGAGATACTCAAAAGGCGAGCAGAGGACCGATACCCACAGAGGTATCGTGCTAACTTTCAGACGGTGACGTTTCTACCTAGGTAAGGTAAGTCTGGGACTGGTGATTGTCTAGGTACAAATGCAGTGTCTCATTCAGCGATACAGCATACCCATGTCCCTTCAATTCGGCATTGTAGTTGTACGCCCACAATGAATGTCTTGGTAGACAAGTTACCTAGTACCTATCCATACATGGTAAGGTAATACTAGGTACCTAGGTAGTACTAGTAGTCACATGCGAAAGAGCTGGGCTGCCCAAACAAAGGGTCTATAAGAGCAAAGTATAACGCTCAAATTCCGTCAGTGGGTCTCCGCTTCCGGCGGATTATCCAACGCACAGAGGCGTCATTGGTCTAGGGGTTAGGATTCAACTCTTCCATTTCACGATTGAAAAGTTGAGGCCCGGATTCGAGTTCCGGATGACGCAGTTTTTATGCTTTTGTTTTTTTTTTCTCGCTGTCTGCATTTCTTATTTATAGAGCTCCATAGTGTCTTGTTTTGAAGAAATTCTCTTGTTCCATTTGTTTGTCCCATGTACTCAACCGGGAACAGGCGTAGAGGTAGAGTTTTCCGCTTCCGAGCTTCTTGCATCACGATAGGTACTTATGTAACCGAAAGAAGTAAAGAAAGTGTGCAAACAGCCGATATAGAAGCTTCAAAACTACAATCGAGTCATTCGATGTTTCTCCATCCTTAAAGATACCTTATCTTACTACTACTAGGTACTAAAAAAATCATGATTTGCAGCTTTGACACTTCGTAGTACGCGACATACATACCTATCAGTCCATAGCGCGCAATAGGTTTGTCTGCATTGACGTCACCCCGCCTCGAGCTGACTCCGACCTTGAGCTTCAAATCCCACGAGAGCATCGTCTCTCAAACTCCCCCTTCAAAACCACCTTCACTACACCAAAACCCCGACTTCTTTTTCCCCCATGCCAACCCTTCACAAATCCATACTCAGCGCGCTCTCTCCACCCGCAAAACGAGCACACCAAATCACACGCCTCTCTCTTCCGATAAGCAACCTCCCACTCCCACGAACAACAACAACAACCAACGCCGCCGCCGCCGCCGCCATTATCATCCCTCGCATCTCCGCGCCAACACCCCGATTCCTATCAAGCACACCACCAATTCACAGAAAAATGGCCAGCGACGAAGACTACATGGCCTTCCTCAACAAGGCGAACCAAGACGCCGACGAGGGCAGAGCCACAGCAGCAGCAGCGCAAAGATCGCAGGGAGGAGGAGCAGCGCAGCGAACATTCAAGGCTACGGACGACGGCGCCGAAATCCCAAAAAGCATTGCCGAGGCTCTTCGGGATGCCTTCTACGTCAGTGAGGCGGACGAGCCCTTTAGCGGGGTGTCGTTGCGGTGGAAGGGCGAGGGAGGACTTCCCGACGAAGGTCAGTTTTCCAATTCCATCCCCGCCCTCTCTTCCACACTTTCAAATCATGAAAGGAGAAAGAAAATTCCTACACAAGGATTTATGCGGGCAGGTTTGCTAACGTGTAGGCTGGGGGGGGGCCGCCCGGATATAGTCGAATTCGCAAAGCTGATTCACCACTGGGATGCCGAAAACGCTCAAATCGACATCATGGATCCCGTGGACTGGGATTCGGAAGGGCAGTACGCCAACCTCATCGACGCCGTGAGGGAGGCCACAAAGGGAAACGACGTCAGAGTGTACAGAGTCGCGAGGGACCTGACGCGGGCCGAGTACTTTGTGATTTCGCGGGATGACGAGGGCGGCAGGATTGTGGGTGTCAAGGCGCTGGGTGTTGAGTCTTGAGCGGCGGAGATATATGGTTCTCTATTCATTTGGAGCAAGATGTAGCATGAATCTATTACACCGTTTGCTTTACTATTCTTCAGAGCCTTTCTAAAGTTCAGGTGGGCTCGTGAGGAAATGGGCCCAGTACATACCTCAAGACTACTGAATATTGAACTGGCCCGACTATTTTGGCTGTCACGGCATGTCTTGCATCACGAGGCTCGCCTCTCGATTGTGGAAGAATGATCAATTGCTTCATATTGTATGTACAGGAAGCATTACCTGACCGGTATCCTTTCATACTCATATATCGTACACTGGTGCTACATTTGATACTACATTGTCCAAACACGCCGACCCCTATACCCTTCCGAGGGGGGCGGAACATAATGAAAGGTGGTAAAAGAAACCAGGCAGACAATAAAGCGAGTGAAAAGGAAAACAGCAGACATCGTGAAAAAGAAGGGGAAGAAGAAAAAAAGACACAACCCTGACCGTAGACCCGACCGCTTACCAAACAGCAACCGTATGCGCCACCGACACAGTGAATAGACCTCGTGATGACGTCGAAAAATCCTCTAATTAGTTCTCCGTAAAATCAAATGCGAAAAGATTCATGCGTGACAGATGAACCCAAGTCTTGGAATGGCACCACACCCCTTGGTGGGAGCAAAGCGAGCGAGCTTTAAAAGTGAACCTGCATGACATCCATCTTGTCGAATGCCCTGGAACAGCTCGGACACTTCCGCATGCGATTGCTGATGCGGTCATCCACGCACTTGTTACAGAAGAGATGGCCGCACGTCTTGAGTGCTGTGTTCTTGAAGTTGGCATGGCACACCGGGCACAAAGCCATGGTCTACAACACACAAACTGTTAGTACTTCCGGAAGGGCAAAGGGCGTGGCTCAAAGGGGTAGCCACAAAGAGAAAAAAGCATAAACGTACCCGAAGCATGTCTTCTTCCTCTGATGAGTTGCTCAACGCCTTGTTTTTCCAACTATCCCGATCCTTCTGCACGTGCTCGATCCGGATCTTGAGCTTCTCGACTTCGACTTCCTGCATGGCGTTTCGCTCCCGAATAATGGCTGTGGAGGAGTCCTTGGATTTGACCAGGTTGGTCAGGTCCGCCACTTGTTTCGCGACGGACTCGGACCTCCTCGCAGCCTCCAGGCTGCTCGCTTCCAGCTTCTTGTTTTCGGTGACCAGAACCGCATTCGCTTGCTTCAGGTCCGCCAATTGCTTCTCCAGGTTGGTTAGCAGGGTCCGCGTCTGGGACTCGAAATCCTTCAACTGGGCGATGAGCTCGGCGGATTTGACGCTCTGGTGCCGCAGGGTCCTGATTTCGCCGTTTCGAGTATCGGCATCCTTCCGAGCGGCAAAGTACTTCTGGTCTGCCTTGCTCTTTTCGGCAATGAGAACAGCCACCTTCTCCTCCAGAGCGACAAAGTCGAGAACCTTCTTCTGAGCAAGGTCCTTCATCTTCTTGTAAGCCTTTTCCATCGCTGGCAGCTCCTGGTTGATGGAGTCAAAGTCTTGCTTCAGTTTCTTGTATCTTTGCCGTAGCTCCTCTTCTGATAGGGCCTCGGCGTCTGAGCCACCACTCGCTTCTTCGCCTTCTGTTGGTGAAGCGGGCTTCAGACGAGCAACTTCCGACTCCAGCGCAGATATTCTGTCCTCCTTCGCCGCTACCAGCTCCTTGATATGCTCCATGGCGATGCGCTCTTGCTCTGCATTTGCTCGTCGCTGCACGTTTTCCGCCAGAATCTCGTCTCGAGCAGACCGTACGCGAGCCAGGTCCTGGTCTCGTGCCGCAATATCTGCCTCGTAATCCTGCGCCACCTGGTTCATATCGGCCTCGAGCTGAGCCCGGAATGCTGTCCGCTCGGCTTGGAACTTCTCGGCCTCTTCGCGCAGCTGCTTGCTCGAGGCTTCTAGCGTGTTGACTCGCTTGATGAGCTCCTCATTTTGGCTCTTGAATTGCTTGAAGACATCAGTCCGGATGTAGTCTTCGTCGGAAAGCGTTTCTCGCCGAGACTTGAGGGTGGTGTTTTCCTCCTGCAAGGATTTCAATTCTGCAAAGAGCGAGTCCAGCTGCTCCTTTTGTTTCGATACAGTCGCCGCCGCCTCCTCATACTTCATCGTGAGTTCGAGTGCATTGCCGTTGGCTTCGCTGGGTTCTGATCCTCCCTCGGTAGGCGTCGTGACAGGGCGCGTGGCATTGGCGAATGCCTGCTGCTCTAGCCTTTGGACTTGCGCGCTCTTGGCACGGTCTAGCTTCTTCTCGGCTTTGAAATACCTAAGTGTCGCGGCGTTGAGCTGCTCCGACAACTGTTCCTTCTCCGCGCTCAGCCTGTCGAGATTCAGATGATACTCCTTCTGTTTGGCGAGGAGGTTGGCGATTTGGCTTTCGAGCTCCGCTGTCTTGGGCGCAATGTTTTCTCTCTGTGCAGCGAGTCGGTTGATCAGGGACTCTGCCTTCGTTTTGATTGACTTTCCCATTTCCTGCAGATGGCTCTGGAAATGCTGTAGATCCTTGAAGGCAATGCCTGAGACATAGGAGTATTGCAGCTCTTGGGTTTGAATATTAGAGTTTGCAATCACAGTCGTCGCATTGCCATTCGAGGGAAACCTACCGCGTGACTCGGTTGTAGATACTGCTGATTCCACTAGTAATTCGAGTTCTTCTAACATCTGCAATGGCGAATTGGTTAGATGCTGCGTGCTTGACGTGACGGGAACAAATGGAGGCAGCAAACAACATTGTCGCAAAAGTGCATACCTGTCGCCACCAAGCGTCGACGATCCGGATATGGTCGTCGTGATGGACGGATCGTTTGTGTAATTCTTCTAGTCGCGCTTCGGCCGTCGCAGCCTTGCGACTGTATTCTTGCATCTGCCGGTAGATTGCTCCTTTCGTAAATGCCTGGATTTTTTTTTTTCAGCTAGTCAGCGCCACGCATTGCGGTAGTCGGTGTGTAGTGATGACGGGTTGTGGAGTCACGGTAGACGAAGCGCGCGGTGAGGTGATGTTGAGGCAGAGAGAGCGGATGTGTCGGAGTACCCTTCATCTTGTGGATTTTCCCTCCTCAAAAAAAAGCAAAAGAAGCCGACTGACTGCCCTCGCTGGGTAACGAGCAACATCACTGGCTTGGTGAGCACGATCATCCAGCAACGACACCCCCCAACGAGAGCGGCAGCTGACAGGGCGAGGGCGAGCAGGTTGGTGTGCAGGGTGGGCAGGGAAGGCCCGGGGACAGTTGACGGGATGCAATCCGCGTCAAGGCAATCTCGCGGGTTGGACGGGAACGGGGGGTGGAGAGGAGGGGAGGGGAGGGGGGGAAAAGCATGCGACCTACCTCGACCCAGTAGTCTTCCTTCATCTCCGCGTTCTCGTCTTTGGCCTTGGAGCCATTGATGGCAACTCTCTTGGAGGGAGGAGGCGCCAGGTCTTCACCGCCGCTGATGGCGGGTCGTTTCCTGTCCTCCATCTTGGCGAGCGTGGATGGACGAGGTGAGGCAGAGGGGGTCGTTGCAACAGGCATGAGAACGCGTCACGCCAGTGAGTGTCGAGGACGATGGTGCGGCTGAGGGATCATGAAGCAGCGCAGCGCTAGGCGAGCGACATCCTCTGGCTGACGGGAAGCGCGCAGAAGCTCGTGCAGAGGCGGCGCGACAGCGAGGGGGAGGGCGGAAGGGCGATGCAAGAGTCAAAAAGGCCGCCAGGAGGTTGAAATTTCGAAGTTGCCGCAAAGCAGAAGAGGCACGTCCACGCACCTGTATGCGGACTAGCGCCGTCCTTAGCCTGGCCGAGTTTTCTGCTTATCGGCTGCATGTCCCGGCAAAACGTCGGCGGCGCTGCGGCTGCACCCCACCTGCACTTCTGCAGTGTCTTTTTCTGGCCTTATCCGAGGCGCAATCAGTCTCTCGTGCATGGAGGAAAAAAAAGTTCCATTGGCCGGCTTTTGGAGCATCTCGCCCGTCAACGCTTCCGTCCTTGTGCGCCGCAACTTCTCCGGACCAACTTCAAGGTTCTTGCGCCGTCAGATGGATTGAGCGCTGAACCTCCCCCAAACGGAGCGCCTCGTGATTCTGTCGCCGCAAATCCAGAGAATTTTCCAGCAATGAGCTCCATGTTCAAGAAAAAGGGCGGCCTCGCCTTCAAGCCAAAGATCCCGTCTGCTCGCCCTCGCCCCGCGGTCCCCGCTACCGACGTGCAGGTCGACAAAGATGTCGCCGAGACAGAGGCAGCAGCATCGATCGCAGCGGTAGAGCGCCCGAGCGTTGAGACCGAGACCAGGGAAGGCTCCAGCAATATCGCCGGCACCAGCGAGCCTGAGAATGTCGCCTCTCCAGAGCCGTCCAGCACTGCCAAAGCCGACTCGATTGCCGCATCTGAACCGCCCGCGCAGGATGTCTCTGGCCTGAAACCTCAAGAACAAGCCATCCCGGCTAACGAACAGCAACCAAGAGCTCCAGAGCTCTCAACTACACAGCAAAGCGCTCCACCACCCTCAACTACACAACCAAGCAAAGAGGCAGAAGCCGCGACAACGACAAGTCCCCAAACCTTGGAACAGCCAAGCGCCCCCAAGCCCCGAGAGCCACTTCCCGTCATCGCAGATGACAACATTGCGCCGGAACTGCGAGACCCCCCACGCGCTCCCCAAGAAACCCAGGAGAATGTCCCCGAGGCGGCAGAGTCAACTGAAGCCACCACACCAGCACCGCCCCCGGGCCCCAAGACGAGGAGTAGGAGGAAAGCGCCCGAATCAGCAGACGCGGATGCTGAAGCGCCGCCGAAGAAGCGGCAGCGCAAAACACCAGCGAACGAAGATGGATCGACGGCCCCGAAGCCCAGGCAAAAGCGCAAGTCGCCTACCCAGGATGGGACAGCAACGCCGCGGACACGAGCGAGGAGAGCTCGCTCAGTAACACCAGATGACGCAGAAAGCCAGGTCGTCGATCTGCAGAACCTCAAAATGACCGACCTGACAAAGGACTTGCACATTGGCAAGAAATTCAGCCGCCACGACGAGCTGCGAGAGCGAGAGCGACAATCCAGGATAAAGTCCAAGCTGAAGAAGCTCATGGGCGAGGGCAGCCGCGACGGATCCGAAGCCCCAGAAGCATCGCCAGACGACCCGTCCGTCAAGAGCAAAAGCGCTACACCAACAACTACAACAGCAGCAGCAGCAGGAACGGCCCTGCCATCATCCAATACGCCAGCGCCCGCCTCCGGGCCGCAGTTCCGCATCGTCGACGGCCAGATCATCATCGACCAGAGCTCGCTCGTCATGGACAGGCACGCGCGCGCGGCCGCAACAAGGGGCGACATGGAAACGGTCGAAGAAAACGACTTCACGCGCCTCATCACCAGCAGCTCCTTCATGAACACGTCCAAGCTCAAGGGCCCCAACATCTGGACCGAGGAGGAGACGGAGCTCTTCTACCGCGGCCTGCGCATGTTCGGCACCGAGTTCGAGATGATCTCCAAGATGTTCCCCAACAAGCAGCGCCGGCACGTCAAGCTCAAGTACAACCGCGAGGAGCGCCACTGCCCGCACCTCATCAACGCGGCGCTCATCGGCGAGAAGACGGTGCGCATCGACATTGACGAGTACAAGGCCTTCACCGGCATCGAGTTCGAGTCCGTCGAGAGCATCGAGGCCGAGCAGCGCAAGATCCAGGAGGACTTTGAGGCCGAGCAGAAGCGCATCGCCGACGAGCAGGCCGAGGTCATGCGTAAGAAGCGCGAGGAGCTGTTTGCCGACGAGGACGCCGCTGGCAACGGCAAGAAGGGCAAGAAGGGCAAGAAGAAGGGCAAGCAGGCCGTGCAGTATGGGCTCAATGGCGAGCCGATTCTTGCTGGGGAGGCTTAGGCAAAACTTTCCTTCTCTTATTTGCCCCCCTTTTCTTTTTCCTCTTCCGCGTCAATTTCTTCCGTGGGCAACACCGATATGGCTCATCTCTTTTCTTACTTTTGCACTTCTGGACCGTTAGCATAGAATCGGCGTTAACAGAGACACTCAGAGAAAGCTCGGGCAAACTCTTCAGGGACGGAAGGGTTCATCTATTCAGGACAGGCGGGCTTTGCGATTGCTTAATGGGTACTTTTTCTCTCTCTCTCTCGCTCTCATGTTACTTCTCTCCGAGCATGTCAAATGCAGAATCAATCACATACTACATGTTTCTTATTGACAAAGGAGCAAACAAGACAAACTACTTTTTTTGTTTTCCTGTTTCTGCGTTCCGGTCCAACCTATACCAGTCTTACTATGCGCTGAGAGGACCACCGAATAGTAAGAGGCTCAAGACACACAAGAGTCTTTTGGCTTCGAGGACATTTTCGTTCTTTGCCAAGATCCATCCCATTACCTTCCATCAGTTCCTGTTTAGAGCGGTCTCGAACTACCCAGTTCCCCATCCATCTCCAAGCCCTCCAAGCCGGCACTTTCTTCGTCTGGCCGGCTAACCTGTAGACGAGACTTGTTTCTTCCATGAGCAACATGAGTGTGGCGGTTTGCCATCCAGTTCTCCTACGCCCCATTGTGTCAAGTCGTACTGATAGTGTCCGATTCGTCCTCCCACGTATTTTCCTACTCATTATCATATCTGACCACATCACTCATCCTCTCGGATTCTGCGCCTAGTTCGTCGGTGGCTCGTCGTCCTCGGGCTGATCGAAAAGGAAGTTGGCTGCGAGCTCTTCGTTCTTGTCGCATGCAAAGTAGGCCTGGATGGCCTGGTCACGATCAAAGCCGAGTCGACATAACTGGAACAAAAACAGTTAGCTAAGCTCATCATGACTGACCCAATCAAGGGTCTGAGGCAGGAAAAACACCAACCCGCTCAATCGCATCGCGCTCCTCTTCTGTGACGGAAATGGCCTGGGCACCGGGAGGCAACGGGACGTCATCGTCGGCATCCTCGCCAAGCAGCTGGAGGAACTGGTCCGGATTTGACGCAATCAGCTGAGCAAGCTGGGGGTTGCCAGCACCAAGCTGTTGCAGGATGGGCTCGAGCATCTGGGGCTGCTGTTGGACCACCTGGCGAAGCTGCTGGAACTGGGCATTGTGGCGCAGGAAGTCGAGGTTACCCAAGTCACCTTGGGCAGCAGCAGCAGCAGTGGCCGCGGCCGGTGAGCCGCCCGAGGCGGGAGCGCCTCTTCGCTGGGCAGCGAGGTCAAAGAGATTAACGCTTCCGTCGTCATCACCGGTAGGGGCAGCAGCTGCAGGGGCGGCCTGCGGTGGGTTAGCCCGCTGCTGTTGCTGCTCCTGCTGGATGCTCTCCGGGATACCCTTGAAGTCCCCAGTCAGCTGTGATAGTTCCATCCTAAAGATACTGGGTACTGCTACCTACAGTAAGAAGATACTCGACGGCTCGGTCCGGGTTGTTAAAGGCAGCGCGCATGGCCGCCTCGATTTGGGTCCTCTCAAAGCCCATGGCCTCCATGTTTGCGATGGCCTCGGCCCGCTCAGAGCCCATAGCCAGGCCCGAGGGCGTCCCCGTCGAGCGGTTAGGAGTCGGGGTTGCGGGAGGAGCGGCGGCTTGGGTAGCAGACTGGGCGGGCGCAGGGGGAGCGGCGGGTGTGCTGGCGGCCGCTGGCGGCGCAGGAGTAGCGGGCGGCGGTGCGGCGGCAGCAGCAGCAGCAGGAGCAGGCTTGGGCTACGTGGCAAAAGGTTAGAATCAGACGATGAAGCATCGCAGCCGAGGTTCTTTTAATAGTTGAACGTACCTTGTTCACCATGCACACAACGAAACCCTTCTCCTCGATGTTGTAGGACTGGACGGTATCGTCATCTTTCAAGATCTTGCCTATGCCAAGTCAGAACCAGGTGTGCAGTGCGACGGAGCAAAGGCGAGCTTTGTCAAACCTGAGTAGATCAGCTTCTGGCTCTTAGGATCCCAGCCCTTCTCGGCAGAGATTTTCTCCTTGACGGCGGAGATCTGTTCAAGCAGGCACTTGTTAGCAGCCAAAGAGCGTATAGGGGGTTGGCCTTCTGAGAGGCAACAGGGCAGGCAGTCGTACCTTGTCCGTAGGCTCAACGTCGAGGACGAACTTTTGTTGCTTAAGGTCCTGATGGAAGGGAGGTATACGTCAGCCATCAAAAGCACCGATGACGAGGAGAACAGAAAGACTCCAGGTGGATGGCAAAGCTGTAACAAATCTCTGCGCATATCCTTCCGGGGCCAAGCGTCACAACGTACTCGGAACGTGACCTTCATGATGGGCAGCTGTGCTGGTTGCGGCCGGGATTCAGAGGTCGAGCGGGATGCCCAGCTGTTGTCGTTGCCAGACGGGCGGCTGCGAAGCGGGAGTCGATGCGCAAAGAGTCGAGCAGCGGGAGCCGGTAGGAGAAGTGCGCCGCAGTACAGCCGATTCTATAGCGGAAACAGCAGCAGACGCGATGCCCTGGCGAGAGTTGGTGATGGAAGGCCGAGATTGAAGCTATGGCGGAGGGCGAGGCGAAGGGTTCGAATTGGAGGAAGTGGCGCGGGCTGGTGGAAGTGATTCAGGCTGCGGTTTTGCACAGCAATGGGAAGAAAGGGTACTTGCGAAGAGGTACCTTAGTACTTACCTTACCTCCAGCCTAGAGGTGGGGTTTGGATACAAGTGGCAGAGCGGCAAAAGGCAACTGCGAGAGGCGCAAGAGGTCTGGTGCAAGAGGGTCCACGGGCGAATGAGATGCCAGGGATCAGATGCCCTGAAAGAGCCCTGTGATGTGATTCGGTTGCGGTACTTGGGCCTGGGTGGTGCCGCTGGTACCGCCGCCATTGCGTGCAGATTGTTTTTTGGCGGTCCATGTCTGGCATGTGCACGGTGGTGATGTTTGCGCAAGTGACTTAATGAGCAAGTACCTTTGCCTCAACCTGGTGATTGCTGCTGAATATCCATGGTATTACATGGAGGGCAATAATTGTTTGCATCTACCCAATTCCACCATTTCTCGCTGTATCTGCCTCATTCAATAGCTAAGGTACACCGCAGTAGGTAATTCCTGTCTCACAAGCACATCGCAATTCCCCAGCAGATGCGGCCCCAGCCTCGCTGACGACATGCGCCGCGACTGCCTGCTGCCTGGTGATATCACGATAAGCGCAATCAGAGGCCATCGATACGTCAAGGCTGGCAGTTGCTTGCGATTGGGGAAACTGGGCGACTGCCTGCAGCCTTTGAATGCCCGGATCAGCAGATGGACAGTCTTCTAGCGCCATTTGAGCCTCAGTTGGGGAGTGGCTAGGTAGGTAGCCAGCACTTCATTGGCTCCATGTATGTACCTACCTACCTATTCAACGTTCCAAGTCTACCTGCATTTAACCAGAGTAATAGGCTGCTCTAGGGTGATGGCATAAATATTTCTTTATATGATATATGATGACTACCTACCTATTACAATAGCAGTAAAAAGTGGCAACTATTTCTGATAGCTAGATGAGTGGTGATACCCTCAACATGGGGTGCTGGCTAGCCACTCCCCTCATTTGTCATCTAAGCGCCAGACGAAAGTCGCTGTCTACATGTACTTTGGTAGGTTCCCTTTAATCGCGGACATACTCTAGTATGATCATTGTGTCAGGGCAAGGTAAATGTAGTAGCTATTCACTCTATTCAGCTTTGATCCTCAGGGTCTGTGAATTTCTTGCTTCCATTTGCTAAATAAATATTGCGAACCAACGAATATAAAGATTCGAGGTGTGACGTATATACCTGGATCGATATATGTGCGGGGAAGAAACAAAAGGTAACAAGTCATACAACGCCAACGCTCATCTAAAAATCTTTGGCCCAATCCAACAACAAATGGTATCATCGCCATGTCCGTCCCATGTCCCCTTTCTAACTTGCAATAAGTAGGTATTTCCCATTTGGTCCGCTCTCCTGGCACCCTCTGAGAGAATTTGATATAAAGCGTGCGGTTCTCGTCAGAAGCCAAAGACACAAAAAGAAGAAGAAGAAGAGAAAGAAGAAAATCGAATACGTCAAGTCGTTAAAATATCCCTATCACAGCTCCCTCCGCAGCCATTCAGGCGCAGGAGGGGCCATTCCCCTGTCGGGAAAGGGAAACCCCTGCTGGCTGCTGAGATCCAACTCTGACCGGTTCCCCCTCAGCGACCTGGATTCAAAGTCGTTCCTGGGAAAGCCCATGGGCGAGCTGGGCATGCTGTCGCTCCTCAGACGGTTGAGCGACAGGCTGCTCGGTCGATGGACGAGGACCCGCGCCGTCTCCGGAGCCGCCATGACGATGGTGCCAGGCGTCGCAAAGGGGTGCGGGTCAGGGGAGTCGGATCGGAACAGGGGGTGGATGTGAGCCTCGCTGCCTGAGCTGCCTGGGGTCGGTAGGTCGCGGAGCTCGCGCGTGATGGATACCGGGCTGTAGCTTCGGCTCCGGCGTCGGGTTTGGATCCGCGGGGGCTCGAGGTCGGCAAAGGACGCTGGCGAGGGACTGCGGCTGGGCACGGGGCTGGCGGGGATCGTCTCGAGCCCGCGAGGCTTGCTTTGCGTCGGCGTCGAAATCTCCAGCACGGCCTCCCGGTTGTGAGCGTCGACCGCGGACGTGTCCCAGGAGTCAAAGGCATCATCAGCCACGGTGCTTCGGTTGGCGGTCGAGTCGACGGACATGGAGCGGCTCCTCTCCTTTTCCCTTGAGGAGCGCGTCGTCTTTGGCCTGCTCGAGACGGACCGGATGGATTGGGCCACGTACGTGACGGACGAGGCAACAGTCTCGGCGACTGACTTGTTGTCGACGGAAGTCGGGCGGCTTCGAGTGTGGAGCTTTGCCATGGGGCTGGGCTCATCCACAATGGGCATCGTCTGGCTATACCTGATGGCCTTGAGGTTGATCTTGCGTGACCGTCCGGTCTCCTCGTCCTTGCGGCCCGGCCAAGAGACGCCACCAGCATCAGACGAGATGGGTAGGACCTGGTATATGGAGTATACCAGCTGGGTGGAAACGGCCAGTCCGAGTGTGACGGAAGACGCAACGAGGAGGTGCTTGTTCTCGCCTCCGTCCGCTCTCGCCAAGTACACCAGAGCAGCGAGCGAGGTCGCAGTCGCAATTATACAAGCCGTGACTTCGAGACCGGAGACGACCCCCCTCCACAATCTCGACTGACCCGGGAACGAAGGGATAGTATCGGCAGCGATGAGCCATCCGATGAGGATGAGAAGAGCAGCTTCGAACACTGCAGCGGCAGTCGAGGATCCTCTGCCGGGGGAAGAGTGGGAGATGCGGACGCTGACTGCGATTTGGGTGCACAGCGTCGCCGTCGTCGTGACCAGAGCAAGCGCTCCCAGCGCCAGAGAAAATATCCGAGGCATATTTTTGCTTCCCGAATGAGAGTTTCGTGATTTGATCCAAACGAGGGAATTCGAGAGAAGAAGAGAAGGATTGCTTTTGGAAGAATTCCAGTCCTATCGATCGAGGAGGGAACTGAAACACAGAGATACCCCGAGCCAACCACAGAAAGATCGATTAGCCCGCCGCCTAAGAGTGACACGGTCCAACCGACGACCTCGATGAGGAATTTAATCAAGACGCTATGGTATAAAAAAAAAAGACTTTTTTTTTCTCCTCTTCTCGATGGCAGCCAACAGAAGAATCGCGATCAATGCGCTTCGTGAAGAGCGAGTGAGGTGATGCTGCTTGTAGTGGTTAGGGGTGTCGGTGCTCTAGTGTGTTTTCCTTGCTAGGCCCGGTACTTGGATGGTGGGAATCCGGGGCTCGCGATCTTTTCCGATATGTGACAGCAGCGGTCGTAATGATTGATGAGGGTGACAGCAGCCACGGCAAACGAAAGACGGCAGGAAGCCAAGTGACGATTTCATTGATTCGATGGGAGGAAGAAGGAGAATGAGGAGCGTTGTGCTACAGTGGCTTGAAAACAGGCATCCCGCATAAGAGGGGAGGCAAGGGGGGGGGATAAGGAGAGACTGCACAACAGGAGGGTTGGTGACCTGAATGAAGAAAAGGAAAAAAAAGAAAGGAAGAAGAAAAGAGGAAGAAGACCAAAGGCAGTGCCTGGCGAGATGGGGAGGGGAGGGGGGATAGTTACACTAAAAAGAAGTCTGGGACGAAGAAGTGTCATGCTGTCGGGGAATAACAGCGAGTGCGCTCGAGGGGGTGTGTATTATTATGACTTTGTATATACGTGTACTAGTAGTAGGTGAGGTGAGGTGTGTGAGTGAGAGAGAGGGGAGGGATCCCTGGCATACGTACTGTAAGGCTTCTTCTTTTTTGTTCCGCTGCTCCATCATGCGCGGAAGGGCATCCGGGGCGTGTGCACGGAGCAAGGGTAAGGTACTTTGTCATGTTTGGAACAAAGCGGGCTGATGAAGAAGAAAAAGTACACTACGAGGACAGTGTTACGGAGCCCACGGCAGGGCCAAAAGGATACAGAAGAAAAAAAAAGAGTGAGATTTTTTTTATTTTATTTTTTCCCTTTTTTTTTTTTCCTTCGTCGCGGCCAGGTGGATGCAGGGAACAGGGGACGGCGCATCTTGGGAAGGGCAACCTTGCATCGTGACAGGGGTCTGGGCAAACCTTGGCCCTTCAGCCCCAAGCTTGTTTGTTTATCCTCTGCAAAGGATGTATTACTTACTGTATAAACAAGCACAGGCACAGGCACAGGCAGAACCAACACAGGCGGAGCAGCCGGGAGACATCATGACAGTCTTGTTGCCCTTTAGGGGGGCAAACATTTGTTTTTTTTTTTTTTTTTTTTTTTTTTTTTTCATCTCAGCCGCAAGGTTTGCTGGTCAAGTTCCACGAATGACATGGACTTTGTGCCTTTTTAGATCAAAAGTCTATTGCATGAAACGGTGCTGATAGAAGCTGAATATGCTTTCTTTCTCTCGTTGCTCGCCGAGATGGCTGCTTCATATGGAGCAAAAGCTCCAATTCGGACGAGCATGCCCAAAGGAGAAGATGCCTGGAACTTTATTCATGTGCCGAAAGAGTTTGAAAGTCTGTGAAGCTGAATCTGTCTGATCTTACATGATGTATCAATACATGCCCCTTGGCAGCTGAAGCCCGTTTTTCGTCAACCTACATGTGTAGGTAAAGAGGCAACTCCCATCATACGCGGCACATCAAAGGGATAATTCGTATTACATGAACTGTAAGGTGCACGAAGAAGGCATACAAGGTTGTACAGTCATGTGTTTGTATACAGTGAAGAAAAGAACAAGAAAGAAGCAAAATAGAAGCCCATCCTGCCAAAACGACCAGGGGCACGAAACCGCCCCAGCATGAGCCAGTCATGGGACGTCCAGTCCTTTTTTTCTCTGGGAAAACGAAGCCGCGCAAGTCAGTCTTGTCAGGAACCAGGGGGCGGTGAAAAAGAGGGGCCCACGGCGCTGGGACGACGACAACGATGGCCGGTGCGTTTCCATGTTAGAAGCCAGCAAGCAAGCAAGCAACACTTCGTGTAAAGTACCCATAATAAAAAAACGTGAAGTTCTGATCCCGGCGTCGTGGAAACTCCCCTGGAAGAATGGGTCACGGATCCATTGAAATCGGGCAGAACTGAGCTAAAACGGTGCTTCTACTAAGGTACTTGTACAAGTCTGGTAAGCAGCACGGGATTGACAGGCACCGGCAAAAGGGTGGTGACGAGACGATGAATGGATTGGCTGTGGAAGAAGCAGAGAGAGAAGAATGAGAAAGCGAGGCATCTCCATAATTGCGCACACTGTTTGTTTTTTCTGCTGCCGAGGTCTCGGTTGGAGTTCTACATAGGTATATCCACTTGATCGTGGTGTTTTTCTGCCCTTGTCCGGCTGCTTCTTTGATGACTCCGCCCTAAGACACCTATCGTTAGGGCTTTGTTGGTCATCAATGACAGACAGGACGAACTCGAAGAAAAAAAGCATCACTCTATCAGGGGCACTCATACGATACTCATATTATCTGGTCAAAGTATATCCGTCATCATCTGATCGGTGATTCCATAAGAACCCGAACAGGGCAATAAGCAGTAGCACGGAACTTTGTTCGCACCTCTTCTCGTCTCTTTTGCTTCTTAAGGTACACACATCTGTGCCTTTATTACCCATGCATCTCACATGCTTTTGGCTGGCGAATGGTGCTATTAACCTACAACCTCATTCGGGCAAACCCACTCGCTCAATGCTACCCTCCAGGCAATACTCACTCACTCACTCACTCACTCACTGACCCGTCGAAAAGCACAGACATTGTTAACAGCCCAGAAACAGTTTTATTTCTTTTTTTTTTCTCCTTCTTTTTCTCGCCCAGACTCCATGGATGGATGAATCATGTGCCTCTGTCCCACCCATGCTTCAGCGATGGGGTTCCTTACAAACCTGTGTACACGTAGGTATCCGACGGTTAGGTACCTAGGTACATCCACCTGCTAAATCCGTTGCAGTAAGACAAGGTACCTTACACATCATCGATTTTCTTCATCTCATCTCAGATTTCTGAACCCGTGTCTTTGGCTCGCCAGGTACCCAGAGACCGTTGCTCGGCTGCCAGCTGCCCCCTTTTAACCACGTTGTTGGAAGGAGGGGGGCGTGAGAACAAACCCTGACCAGCCAAAGACAAAAAAGACTGCCGTTTTGCCGTTTCAACATCTTCAATGTTTCTCCCCTGGTTTCAGTCACCAACTGGTAGTTGGGTACCTCAGAATTGAGGCACACACGGAATAAGGCGCTTACCAAGCATCAAGTACCTAGTAACCGTGAATAATGGCTCCAGTAATCATTGCATGTGCCTGCTGCGCTCTGGAAGATGCCGAGTCCGCGGCAATAGGTAGGTAGATACATGTATCTTCATTAATATCCTTCTTCGTGATACAGTAGGTATCTATCCATTCAACCATTCAATGACTTGCAGCGCCCCCAACGCCCTGCATCGCCTCTTTCATGTGGAGAGAGCATCTCTCGCTCGCTTGCATCGCCCCCTTTTGACGCAAATCTCGCCCACTCTACTGTGAACACATAGGGTCTCACCACATACATAGTATGCCCAACATCCACCGTTCGTCTCTGGGGGGTAGGCAAATCTCGTCTGGAATTCCACGACCACGTGGGGAAGCATGTGCGACATTGGACGGTGAAGTGGATTGCGTTGAAGAAAAGGGAGAGGCAAGAGGAGAGAAAGAGAGAGAGAGAGAAACTGGTCAATCGGTATCCGAGGTAATACGAGTACTATCATGGCAGACACACACCGTACCTGCATTGGCACATCTGCACGCGATCCTTCCGAGCCGTTTGGTTCCGCCTGGCCGCTCTTCCAGGATAGGAATCTGCTTGTAGTATTGTCGATGCACTGATGCTGGTGTTTTGCATGTGAGAAGAGCTCCCACCTTGCTGCCTGTTGTTTCCATGTCCAAGTATCGAATGTGAATACATAGAATATAATCGTTGCCTGCTCTCCAAGTGCCTTCAATCAATCACACCAACATGCTCTCCTTCTCGTTACCTCGGGCGGATGCTGCATCAATCTCCAACGTCCAGCCCCAAGCGCGGCCCGCAGCGGAAATCGCAACGCCCACCAGGCGTCGGACCGGCGATTTCAAAAATACTGCCTCTTCAGGCAAAGGGGGATAACAGTCTTTGTTTTGCATTGGATGCTTGTCAATCTCTTGCATCCCAAGTGGAGCCGCTGAAGCCTGAGGAAGCCGAGAAACTCCCCCCTTGAAGCTCAGCTTACTCCGTGCCCTCTGTATTTACGAGTTAGTACTCCGTATCTGCAGGTACCTGAAGAGAACCCCACCAGAAGAAAACACCGAAGGACAGCAGCAAAAGGATTCCGACATGGCCTTGTGAGAGTCAGCAAATATTACGATCCCTACCTATGTACTTCCTCCGTCCATGCTGTACTCCTCTGTATGACACGCGCTATATCACGGGGACACGAAGCATCGTAGGTATCTTGTACCTAGTATTTGCGCATAAACCTCATCTTTCATACCTACTACTAGGTACCTACGCGTGTGTATCACAGCCGCGTCGTTCCCAAGGTAGGTAGGTAGTAGTTAATTACACACGCTTCTGCACCTCCGCAATCTTCGTACGACGCGACGCGGAGACTTGGAACTCTAAAAGTGATCAGCTGTCTATTTTTAAATCTGCAGCAGCAGCATCATCATCATCATGGTATCGTATGTATTGCCAATCTTGCGCATGGACGTGACGTCAGCATATCCAAACAAGCTTCTCGCGATTCCGCCTTGATCAGCGTTCCAGAGCCAATGAGGTTGGATGAGGCATCGTAGCGGGCGATTGGGGGCAGTTCAGCTGGCATGTACATACTAGAGGTTGGCAAGGGGGGGGTTCCGCGAAGCCATTGAAAGCTTGTTGGCAGTCGGCGTTGCTTGGCGGTGCCTGGATTGTGGAAATCATGGACCGAGATATGGAGAAAAAACGAGTAGGAGTTTGAGGGTTCTAAGTTGTGTCGTGTCGTGTCTTGATGTTGGTTCTCAAAGGTGATTGTCATGGAGTTGGACCACACGAATGTGATACTACTTCGTATCCCAACTTCGACTCGCCCGACTGGCATGTAGAATCAGAGAATCGAGCTGAACATGTTCAAAGATCCAAGATGGTGGCTCAAATCGCCACGAGGGCCGTGACGAACCACGTGAGACCACGTCTGGAATGCTCTCAGCCGGTCCGTCAGTGTTTTCTTTGTTCCAACCCAGCTGCTCCAAGCTCCCACCAAGTTCAACCATACGCACACATCGCGTCTTTTTGACATACTACATGTACTCCTAGTGGCATGGAAGCAGTGCCAGTGCTGTGCTTCGCTGTGCATTTTTATTCATGTACGGCGTCGTTTTTTTTTTTTTTTCACCAGGATGCATGCCAGCTACAAAGTCCGTGCCCTGGTTCAAGCTTCTAGAAGGGGACACGATGCGCTGAACACCTTCATCGTCATGGCAGCTTGGCAGCTTGTCAACTTTTCTCTCTCAACGAAGCTAGTTGTTGGCATCTCGCTCGACCTTTTCAGTAGATCTGAGATCTGGACCGATCAGTTGAAGCCAACAGTTGGCTGTCTGGGTACCGACGTCGAATGTTTTCAAAAGGCAGCCGTTCTAAACTCGAGTACATAATCTGAGCTGCTAGGCTCTCAACGGCAATGTCTACAGCAACATCGTCATCATCTTTGGCATTGCCTCCGTTGGTGATGACATGTACACACTGCCTCTCAGTTGATGGATCTTCACCTTGCACAATATGCACAGCCTTGGGGCATTGATGTAGACGAATGGAACCCTGATGGCCGGCCAAGGCACTCTCCATCTCCCATCCAGATGATCATATGCTCTCCTGCAGCTTCTGCACGGATCACGAACATCCGTCTGTGCATTCATTCGCAGCTCGTATGTGGAACTGTGCGCAAGCATTCCCCCCCCAAACCAATCCCCCTATCCTCCCAATCTTATACATAGTAGTAACACTTCAGATTTGTCGAAAGAGCTCAAGACCACAACCTCAGCCCGCGACGTCCATTGCTCTCAGTGTAAACCTTGTGGTACGCATGGCCCCTCGGCTAAACGGATACCGCTGTTATTTCCCTAAAGAAACAAAGAGTCCCTGCACGCTCCCTAGATCGTTTCAAGCTTCCCGTCGCTTCGTGCCATGGTTGTATTACCAGCACGCCGGATCCCGCTTCGATTCGGCCGTCGTAATACTCATGAGACCAAACACATGGACCCCTTTTGCTCAAGTGAATGTGCGCCCTACCTTGGGTCTTTAGAACACATCTCAAATCACAGGCACGCAAGCCCAGCTTGGTTCAATACCGACGGCATGAATCATCTCATCATACTCAAAACGTCAATGCAGTAGGAGCAAGCCCACACCTCGCCCATCTAGTATTCCGTGCGCGGGTCGCCCAACTTTGACCACTCCTTGGCCCATCGCAGAGACTCTTGCCTCGACGCCTTGTCCTGTCCCGCCTCGGCAGCCTTGTCCAGGGCAATTTCCGACAGCACGCTGAACATGTCAGCCCTGCCTTTGGAAGCCGCAGCAAAGAGATGTCTCTCCGCGGCATCCCTGTCGCTTACGCGCAGCAAATTGCCGAGCTCAACATCCGCCTCGACGAGCCCAGCCTCGGACAGGGCCTCCAAGGTTGCCCTTGCCTCGTCATGCCTGCCCAGCTTGGCGAGCGCCTTGCCCATGCACAGCTCGCAGTAGGGCTTCCACTCGAAGCTTGCTGCTGCTGGCCCCCCTCCTACCTGGAGCGCCCGCTGCAGCGCTCTGATGGCAGCCTCGTAGTGGCCCTGCTCATACTGCAGCTCGCCCTCCACCGTAAGAGCGTCGGCGTCTCTGGCCGTCGCGACGAGCTGCTTGAAGCGGGCCTCGACTCTCCGCAGCTGGGGGACCCGTCCGTAGGCCCCTGACCGGGCGAGGTGCCGTGCGAGGGACAGCGTGGACGGCCGGTAGCCGGCTTCCGAGGCGGATGCCCAGAGCGCGGTTGCGAATGCGTCTGCGCTGCGAGGGCCACGGATGAGCCGCATGATGCAGGCCGTCTCGTGGATCACCTCGAGGGGGAAGCCGTCCTCTTAATGGCATGGAATCAGTAAAACACGCAAAGGTCGAAGAGCTGAATTGAAGATGGGAGACGATGCGTACTGCCTGTCAATGAGACGGACCATGGATCTGTGCCTCGACTGATGGCCTCGTGGAACTTTTCGGCGCACCGGTAATACTCGGCAGGCGTTTGCCGCTGAAAGGCGTCTCCATTCCTGCTGATGGCGGCCTCGAACGACGACAGCGGGATCTCTGATAGCTTGTACACCTCGAGGGGTGACGGTCCTACTCGTTTCATCCTTGGGATTGCATAATGGCGGAGCTGCCCCTGGCTGCTAGGGTTCGCGACATGTCGCTGGATGGGAATGGTTGTAGAGGCGAGTCTCAATGAGCGTGCTGATGAGATGAGGGGCCCAATGGCCTTGCAGCAGCGACAAGCTGACATACTGGGGACGTATCAAGAAGCTTCTGCAGAAAAGAATCGTAACTCTTATTCAGCGCGCATCAAGGGAGTCGTGATATTGAGGCGAGTAAGGAGAATGAATAGCTCAGGAACAGACTGTTCTGTTCTTTTGCGGTTGCTGGAGGAACAAACAAAAGATTTCAATGAGACAAGATGAGTATAATCAAGTATAATATGCGCTCAGAATACCAATTGCACTGCAGAGACCAAGATTGCAGCAATTATCTTGAAGATGAGATGAGATGAAGCATCAATAGTATTGCAACAGTCATGAAGCACGACAAAGTGTGAAGTCGGTTTAATACGACGTATTCGCTCAAGCGCACAGCCAATCAGACGCGCTCACCCCCCAGACCCATTGAAATTTTTCTGAACCTCCAACCTTTTGCACCAGCGCGGTGAAACTGACAGCACCGGAGCAACAAAAAAAAAAAGACAATCTTCTACAGCATCTCCAAGCGAAAGTCAATAAAATTGAATCATCTGTCCATAAGTTTGTTCAATCAGAGGACGGATTGAGGCGCTGCTTTCCCACAAAATTTCCCGGTCAACCATAACCAAACGTGTCGGACCAGACAAGACACAAAATCCAGCCGGAGAATTTTCACACACAAGCCAACATCTCACCCGCAAACATGGTTGTCCAAACAAGGCGAAGAAAGGCCCTGCAGGAAACTGCCCCAGAAGACCAGCCAAATACCACACAGGAGCAACCAAACACACAGCCGAGCCCCTCAAAGAAGAAGAAGAGGGGATCCAAGGCAAACGCCCCCAAAGAGGTCGCAGAGGAATCAAGGTCCGAGCCGGCCAAGGGCACTCTCATGGTCTTTGGCGACGACGATGAGGAGGAAGTGAAGGCGCCCGTTGAGGACGAAGCCGCGTCAACTACTGCTGGAAAACAGGTCCAGGTGGAAGAGGAGGAGGAAGAAGAAGAAGAAGAGGAGGAGGAGGACAGTGATGATGAGGCTCCCGAAGCAGTATCTACCGCCAAGGCGGCTGAAGAGATCAAGAAGTCTACTCAAGCCGCTCAAAAGGCAGTCCAAGAGTACGTTTGTTCTTGGGTTTTTAAAACCTTCTTTTCGATGCTATCAAATTACATATATGCTGATTGTTCAACAGACAAGCCGCTGCACAAAAGCGAAAGCGCCAGCAGCTGGCCGAGCTTCTCAAGAAACAAGCCGAGGAGCGCAAAAAGGCAGAAGAACACCTTACATCCCAGGGCGAAGGAAAGCAGCAGCCCTTAGCCAAGCCAGCCGAGCCCTCCACCAGCAGAGCACGGAACCGCGCAGACAGGTCCAGCATCCCCGCCGTCCTGCCCGCAGAATTCCTCACAGACTCCTCAAGCGAGGATGACGAGGAAGACGGCGAGGACGGCGCTGCTGCTGCTGCTGCTGCAGGGCCCAAGAGGCGCAAGGTGTCTGGCGTCGAGAAGAGGCTGACGCGTCTGGACGCGGGGCCCAAGGACGAGGTGGTCAAGTCTACGGTGTACCGCGTCGAGAAGAAGATGGACCAGAGGCTGGCGCCCAAGGTGAAGAAGCATTCGAAGGCGTCCAAGGAGTTGCTCTTGAAGCGGAATAGGGCTGCCGTGACGTCGGGATCTGGGTTTCTCAAGAGGAAGTGAGGGTTCGGCTGTGGTGGGCGCTAGCTACATCAACTGCATATGGTGATACCCCGTATCGTCTTATCTAATATTTGCATCTCATCTTCTTCTAGCCGAGAGATGTAAGAAGAGTCTTTGTCGAGAAGTGTATGGTACACGGGATATCATGGGGAGAACTTGTAGATGACTGAAGATGGTTGCAAGGGAGGCTGGGGTTCAAGAATGGGACCATGGGGGAAACTGTCAACTCAAGAGTGAGATCTGCTCAGCAAACCAACAAGCGGACGGTCCTACAGAGTGCTACCTATAGACGGCCAGGGAGTTTTTGTGTGTATAATTACATCGCAAGGACGGGTAGAATCCTACAACAACATCTTTTGGCTCCAACCTACTCTGCTTCAGTCACGTTCCTCATCTTTAACTTGTTCATCCGCTTACTTTTCGCAGACGAGGATTAGAGGCAGTCAAGAAGTTTACTTCCAGTAAGAGTGTCTCCTAACAGCCCATACATGCATCTGGAGGGGACCCTCCAAGCTATGTTGACAAAGACAATATCTTTCAACATTCATAGAGGCCCTTGTTGCAGTTTCCCCAGAGTATTACATGCTCCAAACGAACCACCTGCCCATATTGTATGATGGCATACGTCCTCAAGCCTCATGCAAATACCCAACAAGGAGAAAACCACAGAAAAACAACCCAAAACGACATATTCTCTCAGATGCCCCCCCCCCCCCCCCCCCCCCCCCCCTCCTCTCCCCAATCAACGTCTTCAAAGCCATCACATACAGACAAGGCTACCAAAACCCTCCTCTAATAAAACTACAACAAACTCCCGGCTCACTCTTCCATTCCCCTCGCTGCCACATCACAAAAGAAACCTCCCCTTCCTTAACCCCGATGACCCCCCTCACTCCTCTTCCAATCCCTCTTCATTCCTTTTCTTCTCCTCTTTTCCTCCAAATCCTTTTTTTTTCTTCCTTTTTCAGAGAATCAAGGTCACAGTCACACGAAAAGGATTGCCGCAGCATCGCAGGCACTTGTGATGCAGCCCGCATCCCACTCCTAGCCAATTATGACCCCTCAGATGAGCAGATGGAAAAAAAACATGCCGGCAAAAGCCTCACAGGGAGGGGTTGGCAATATGTGACATTGAACTCTCTGTATGTGCACCGCAAACCCGGCGGACTTCTTCTCGAGTCCTCCATTCTATTTGGGGTAATACCACTCGCATGAATGGCTTGCCTGGATCCTACTCTAAAAGTTCCTTGTCTTCCTTCCGCTGACGAAGGGGGCATCTGTTCTGCTGTGCACTCGTTACATCACTGTGAAGAAATAGGGGCAGCATGGCGAAACCTGGAGGGAAACATGCCGGTTCCTTGTGGATGAAACGTTCTTGACTCCTTTTCTAGTCATCGAGCTCCTACAATACAATCACTCACATCACTCCCGGTCTTTCATTCAATCGATTTCTCGACCTGACATAACCAAGAGCGGCAATCCCATGGCAGGCTTGTGCCCACGACTGCATCCGCAGGCAGCAAGTCCTGCCGTCACGCAGCTTAACCCGCAAACTCCAAACCCCCTAGGGGTGCGTAACATACATACCTTACTCGCAGGCGCGATGTCGGCACTTGCAGGGCATAGATAGTACTAGTACGAGTACTGCATGTAAGCCAAGAGACAAGACGAAAGAGGCCAATAGGCAAACAAGGTTGAGAACCAACAATTCGGATCGTGGAGGAGGAGGATCCGGGTGGCAGTGCCGGTACGAGGGGGGGGGGCAAACCAAGTTTTGTGACCAGTCAGCTCAACCACTTGGCTTGCCCCAAAAAGAAGAAAGAATAAAAAAAAAGAAATCGTTTCATTGCTTGGGCGGCAATTGGCCGGCTCGGCTCTGTCATTATACATACATACATGTTGCCACTGATGGCCGTTGACACACTCTGCTGTCTGGTCATATGTGATATTAGTATTACTGAATCGGCAGTCGGGAAGCCTTGCCGTACATTTAGCACTCCGGAGAGAAACGCCAGTAGGGCTTGTGGCAAATACCGGCTCGGAGTCGTTTGCAGCCGGTCGACGTCAAGCGGTAGTCGTAATAGCAGTGCACACACAAGCAAAAGGGCTGTTGCATGTAATAAGCTGCGCGGCGAGACGCTTGACTGCCAGAAGCCCATCTCTATGTACCGTCGTGGGGCGCTAGAGTTGTCCGATCTTCATCTCGGACATGCTCCAGTGACACAGATGAAGGCTCTCAGCAAATGGTCGTCCCTATGATAGGTAGTGACCTGTCATCAACTCTGACCATGCAGGGGATCATGATCATGATGAGGCGTCTTTGCGGCAGAGTGGCTGGCTGTGGCTTCAGCTCAGGAGCGTAGTATGTGCCTCGCTGTTCCTTCAGAAAGTGCAAACATTTGTGTTCCCAGAGCAGACCGGGGACAAGCAGCCGGATGGATGCAGTCCTTGAGGCGTCTCGGCCTCATCCTCCATGACCGAGCCTCGTCTCTTGGCCTGCTTCGCTCATCAGCCAAGGGGGGGAGAGGCTTGAACCAAAGTAAAACAGACTACTACTACTATGTACATATGTGCTTCTAGTGGCCCGGAAAAAAAGCTGGAGCCCGGACGGGATACGCGGGTGTGGCGCGGCTTGAGGCTTGCTGCACAACCTTGTCCTGGGAGAAAGGGCTCGCCCAAACGGACCCCCAGTCCACGTCTTGGTTCCCTTGTCCTACGCCGACAGCAGCTGAGTCGAACTTTGCCTCCTGTCGTGACGAGTCATGTTCGCTGCCCAGGTGACACATCGTCCTGCTGCCATGAGATCAAGTGGGGGATGGAGGGAGGGCTTGATGGACAGGGCAGCAGACCAACGCAGAATATAGTAGTATTGCCTAGTAGTATTGCCCCGTGCGGCAGTTGCGAAATCCACCCAAGCCATATGCCGTCGGCCGTTAAAGGCGTTGAAGCCGATGCCACAGTGTTAGCAGCGGCAGTCGCTGGGTGCGCGTTGGTGGGTTTTGTTGGCATGTACAGTATGCAGCGTCTCTCTCGGAGCACTCTCTGTAGAGGGTAGTCGAGGCCGCTTGCTTCCAGGGCCATTGCCGCCTCGTTTGGCGTATGCGTCTCGTCAAAAGCCAGCATCCCGTAGCCGATATACCAGGAGTAATATCGTAGATGGCAACAAGGCCGCATGTGATGGTGACTACCCTAGAGACGGGGGGGGTGACAAGCAGTGGAGTGAAGAGATGCCTTTGCTGCATGGCATTTCGCATGCATGAAACATCAGACTGTATGGATGTGATTGGGCTGCTCAGCTTTGCCCGTAAGTGAAACACAGCGCTGGCTATTCTAGGGAATGGGGGATGGCAAGTTCTTGACCTCCCAGGGGAATCAATACGCTCGCTGGTGAGGGCAATCAAGCCGGGGGGGGGGGTTGAGATCGCACTGCCTTGCAGCTCCAGACCGTGGCATCCATGGAAGCCAAACTACCAAGTAGTAGTAATCACGAGTAATATCACTGTTGCATCCTGGCAGTCGCTGGAGTGCCGTGGAAGTCGGCCAACGACAATGAAACACAGGGGCCATCTCGTCCGACTTGTCGGATTTGCTTCCTGCTGCTCGGGTCGGCACATACGAGGTGGTAGTATGTATCTCGGTCCAGACATGCACGGGGGGGCTATTACTGTATGTATTGTACTCGTATGTTCCAAGCTTCCAAGGCAGGCATGCCGGAATGTCAATCTCTGCACGTCGTAAACGGCAGACAGGTGCCTTGCAGAAAGGCAGCTCGACAAGCGACCCCATGCCCAGTTCCCCTGGTCCCACGGCCAATGCGACCTGCTTCACCTCGTTGGCGAATTGCGTGTCATCGAACGGGCAAGGGTCGGTTGACCCATTCACTCCGGCTCGTTTCCTCCCATGTTCCGCCGGCCGCATGGTGATTCAAGAAGAGGAAAACGGAGCAGGGGACAGGAGGTAGGAGAAGGGGGAGAAAAGACACAAAACAAAAAGCCATGTGGCAAGTGCCGTGGACTGACTGATCAAGTTGCTTGGGAATGACGCCAGCCCCCGTGATTCAGATCCATCCCTGGGCTCTTGACAGCCTCTCCACCGCAGCTGCAACTTGCTCAGTATGTACACGTACTGCTTGTGTATTGCCTTGGCGGATGTTTATCGGTTTGTGCTGGAGCTGTCCTTGTCTGCCAGAAGCAGCAAGTCGCAGAAGCGTAGCAATAGCGGCTGAGATTTGTCTCGAAATATATTAGACTGAGAGCAAAGTAGTAGTCCATACTGCTGGTACCCCGCAGAGTCAGTAGGAGGACAGAACCGAAGCTGACACTCGAGCAGACGATACATGCGTTGTGCCGGCGAGGACGCGCCGCAGAAGCATCCTAGGCTACCCTGCGCTCTTCTTCGTGTGAATCGATCCGTACTATTTCGCCTGCGAAGCTGCTGATGCTGGTGGCAGACATCCGAAGGAACTCACGGCCCCCAAGCCCCGATATGATGCCACTGGCTGGACTCTCAAGGCGGGGGGGACATGCATGTGGCGTAGCGTCCTTGTCCTTTGCGTGGTTATGCCATATGTAGCTCAGCGACTCCACGACGCCATGGAGCGCCGCCTGTGATGCTATGCCGTGTTCAGCTTCGCCCAAACGCTTCTCGACTTCATCACGTTTCTAGACTCTTGGGCCATGGCTTGCAAGTGGCATGTCGAAGCCCAACACTACTGCCATGGCTGCAGTTTCGGCCGGGATCAAGTGGATGACTGAGACACAAGCCCCGACCTTGTGCGCTGCCCAGCTTTCCAGTCACCACGTAGTAGTATCTCATAAAATTGGTAGGCAAGGTATTAGGCCCAGGGCGGCGGGAGAAACAGTGGGATGGAGTCGCAGATTGCCTACGCTCCTTTTGTCTCTTCGCGCAGGTCGAATGCATGGGCATTGTGGAGGATGGAGACGGAGCGGACATTGCCTAACCCTGGCTGCCCATCATCATGGGCTCGCAACTTGGGATGAACCCCCGCGAACCAAAGAAACCTGTGCTATATCAGGAGATATGATGGCATCCGTCGTACATGTGCGACCACTCCCCGCCGCGCGCATGTAAGCTGCATATACCGGTTTGATGACCGGACCCTTTGGTATTCGGCTCGGCTACCAAGTGTGCCCTCGATTCTCACTGGAGCCCCTTCAGGGATCACGTACTGATCGCATCTTGATCGCATC